CTTGTAACGGAGTGTCTTTAACCCCTAAAAGCTTAAACATAAAAAAAATGAGTTAATCAAATTAATTAGAAACTTAGGAAAGAGAGACTAAGAATATTAAAAAATAAAATGAGGAAGTAAATCAAATATTTTCAAATTTGAATGATAAATCAGTTCATCTAAAGCTTGAATAGACGCTATTTTAATTTAAGTAAGCCAATTTTTATTTCAATCAGTAAGTTATATTTAATGAAACCTCAATTTTTGATTTCAATAATTAAAACTTTTATTTATATTCTTTGTTTTATTTATTTATCTTTCTTCAAACATACTTTTAATGATTAAAGTAAAATAATTTAATAAATTGTTATTGCGATAGGTTGTGTAAGAAAAAAGAGTTTTAATAATCTAAAGGATTGAAATAATAGATTATTAGTGAAATTGACTAGCGAGTAGATGAAAGTTTAGATTATTATTCATTTTATAAAGAAATTTTGTTATTGAAGAAAGCTATTATGATGATTTTAAATAAATAATAACTGGCTGCATTATAAGTAATTGGGATTGATATTGAAAGACAGAGTAAAAATTAGGAAAATTCAAAGAGGAATTATTTATCAGGTATTATCTAATTCGTTTATTAATAATTTTTTATTAAACAAAATATACTTATTAAAATAAGAGGAAGCAACTGAAAATCACTTCAAGGAGCAGTATGAAATTCTTTAATCAAAAGAATTATAATTATAAAATATTCATGATTTTTTAAAAAAATGTGAGTATAATAGATCAAATTTGGATAATATTGACAAAAGAATATTATCTTCTTTATTAATTTATTAGTAAAATTGATCAAATAATTTAGCACATATAATTTAAAATTATATATTGTAAAATTGCATAATTTATGTTTTGTCATAATATTTTTTTAAATAATAAATTCTAAGTTAAAACTCTCAAAATTTTGAAAAAATAATTGAATATTGTATTTGAACTCTTTTTATACTCTATATATATTTATATATTATATTCAATTTATGTATTTTATTGAAGAATGCCTTTACATACTTTTTCATAAATATTTTAAAATATTTTTTTACATTTAAAATTAAGCATAATCCAGGTATTAAAATATAATTCTATCCAGTTCATCATATTTTAATACCTGGATTAGTAATAAAATATAACATAACAAGATTAAATTTTAACAACTAAACAGAAGAAATGTTAAATATCAAAGAAGAGTAGATTAGATCCTGAGATTGTTAAATAAGTTCACTAAAATCATGATGCTTTTTTAAAAATGGATATTTCATAAGCATTTATTTGTATTTTTGTTTTCTAATTCTTTACTCTGTGTGAGTGGTAAAGAAAAGTAGAGATAGAGACATTTTTGGATAAATCATTCTATTTTGATGAAATAAAAAATGATTTCCCAATAATCAAAGAGGTAAGCCTTGTAGTTTCTGATGAGATTACTTAAGATCTAAATAATAGCGCTTAAAAAATGATTCAAGTTGTAAAATCTGTGAAAAATTAACTTCAGAAGTTGCCTTTAGAGCGTTTTTCAGCTAAAATTCTAAGAATATTATTATTAAAAGGGAAGATGGGAGTACTATTTTATTTTCATCAGAAATTGTTTAATTGCTTATTGATTCAATCCGTATTCTTTAGACAAAAAAATTACTTCTACTAAAAGATGTAATTTTAAAAAGGAAAAGTTAGAATATTTTCCCTATGAAAAAAGAAAAACTTTATTCTCTTATTTAAATGTATATATAAATATACATTTAAACAATTTATCATGCAAAGAAAAGAGGAACTTTAAAAAGATCCTTCCTTATTTATAAGAAATTTCTTAGACCTCTACTTGAAAGAAATCCCTTTGAATGAAAACAAAGAAACTATCATAGATGAAATTATTATTAATTTATGTGCTCTCATCTTTGTAGGAACTGATAAAATAGGAAATATGACAGGTGTCTCACTTTACTATCTTTCCTAAAATTCAAAAATTTAAGAAGAGGCAAGAGATGAAGTAATAAATATCCTTAAATCTATAATTTAAAGCTAAGACCCATAAGACTTATTTAAAGCACTTACATTCGAAGATCTCTCTTAAATGCTATTGGTTCATTCTATTTTGAAAGTATCCTAAAGACTTATTCCTCCGTCAGAGCAGTTTTAGGAAGATATGCAAACAAAGATATAGAGATAGGTGAATTTTTGGTTAAAAAAGGATATTTAGTAAATACACATTTTATCTACAGTCAAAGCAATCCAGACTTATACCAAAATCCTGAAAAATTTGACTTTTATAGATGGATGAATTAAAAAGAATAATTTACTTAAAAAAATTACTTATTATTGTTGAAACATTTAAATTTATTTTATTAATATAAATAAATGCGTTTAACTTTACTCCCTTCTCTCTAGAAACTGTATTGGAAAGTATTTAGCTATTGAAGAAAATTGTATTCTTACAAACTATTTGCTAAATTACAACATTTTACCTAATCCTAGTCAAGAACCTATTAAAAAGACTAAAAAAAATGTATTGTTTTTTTCCAGATTAGTTAGTTTATTTTGAACTTAGAAAATGGGTTCATCTTTAAAGAATATTTGTAATTAATTAATCAAATTTTTGAAAATAGCTTCAAAATTGCTTTTTACATTTAAAAAAATTTACTATTATATTTAAATAAGTCCACATTCCTAAAATTAGTTTGTTGATTCAAAAATAAATAATGTAAAATTTAAAAATCTGTTAAATACACTTGAATCCTTGCACTTTTTTTGCATGCCCGAAATGAAGTTTTTATTAATTGTTAACTGTCAGTTCATCAATATTATTAGAAGAAGAGGAAGTATATTGTATTTTTACTATTTTAAAATTTATTTTCAACTAAGATAGCAAACAGTTTTTTAATATTGAGTCGAAAGACAATATTTTATATTATAAGTTAATCTTTGGAAATTATTAATAAATTAATTAATAAAAAAAAAGCAAACAAAATTGACATAAAAATAAGTAGAGATTCAAATGAAAATATTAGAATATTTAAAAGACTTTGACATTTTCTCTGAGTCTATTTAGTTCAACGCTAATACATAAAGGTTAAGAAAAAGGACTGTTTTAGGTGCAATTTTAACAATATCAATTATCATAATAACTCTCATTTATTTTGTGTATTAATCCAACCAATATTTTACTGGATAGATGGATCCCAAATTCAGATAGCAAAATTTCCTTCCTGGCTAGGTTAGCATTGATTTAAACAATGAAATGTTTGGTTTTGATTTTATTTCTCTTTCTTCAGGATAATACATAAGTTAACTATAGGCCCAATAAAATAAAACGTATTTTATTTATAAAGCAATTTTTTAATATACTAATTCAAGTAGTAACACCAATAATTCATATGTACCTTTAGATATAATTTAATGCTAAAGGTAAGAATTGTAAGGTATGAGCTGCTTTGATTTTAGTAAATTATCTAATCCTTAGCTAGTTATAAACACCCATCAAAATATTTTTTCTTACATAATATTATATGTTTATAAATGCTAAGTTGTTGATTATATTAAAACTGAAATTCCAGATAATTGTGCTGAAAAATAAACAATAGATTAGTTAATTAACTTTTCTCCCTATAGACTCCTACTAAAAACATAAATTTCTTAATTTAACATAACTACAAGTAAAATTGAGTAGTAATATAAAAGTTAAATATTGGCAAATACTGCTAAATCTCTCACGTATAATGAGTTCAGAATTCAAAACTAAGTTACTTCAGTGTAGTAAGGTCTTTTAACTTAGCATTAATAAATTTTTTAATCCCCATCAGCATACTCATTCATCACTTATTCCTATGATGGTAGCACATTTGCTTAAGAGACTGGCGTTAATTCTTTAAGTTAAATTGTACTTGGTGCAGAAGAAAGTTAAACCTACATTAATATACAATTTCCAATTTTTACAGAAGTTTTAGCACTTTGTAATAGTACATTAGCAATTTTACTGCTTTTAGGCTCGTTTTGTAGGAAATTAGCATAAAAATTTATTAGAAGAGACATTTTTTTGATCATAATGAAGGACTTCTTTTCAGGAACATATTTAAAGATTATGTAGCATAATAAAATTGTCAATCCCAATAATTAAACATAATAAAATGAAATAGTCCATGATGAATAGGTTGAAGAAAAATTAAATAGTAATTATGATGAAGACAATAAAAAAGACATATTTATTCCATCTTTATCACCAAAATCGTCCAAAAAATTATTTTAATAACAGCTAAGCAATGATACATAAAATACATGTTAATACTAAGTGTTAGAAGAGTTACAAACTAAAGTCTAAAAACCAGATGATTTTTTAGAATCATTAAGAATTAATTAAGACAACATAATAAACAATTAAACCAACTTAGGCAAATAATCAGATTATTAGATTAGACTAAATTTAAATAAGTCTGATCAAAATTAAAAAAAATATGCGCAAAGTGGAATTAGAAATATTTAATAATAACAATAATTCTAATTTTTTATGAAAGATTCTAGTAAAAAGCTTGTAAACGGAGTGTCTTTAACCCCTAAAAGCTTAAACAGAAAAAAAAAAATGAGTTAATCAAATTAATTAGAAACTTAGGAAAGAGAGACTAAGAATATTAAAAAATAAAATGAGGAAGTAAATCAAATATTTTCAAATTTGAATGATAAATCAGTTCATCTAAAGCTTGAATAGACGCTATTTTAATTTAAGTAAGCCAATTTTTATTTCAATCAGTAAGTAATATTTAATGAAACCTCAATTTTCGATTTCAATAATTAAAACTTTTATTTATATTCTTTGTTTTATTTATTTATTTATCTTTCTTCAAACATACTTTTAATGATTAAAGTAAAATAATTTAATAAATTGTTATTGCGATAGGTTGTGTAAGAAAAAAGAGTTTTAATAATCTAAAGGATTGAAATAATAGATTATTAGTGAAATTGACTAGCGAGTAGATGAAAGTTTAGATTATTATTCATTTTATAAAGAAATTTTGTTATTGAAGAAAGCTATTATGATGATTTTAAATAAATAATAACTGGCTGCATTATAAGTAATTGGGATTGATATTGAAAGGCAGAGTAAAAATTAGGAAAATTCAAAGAGGAATTATTTATCAGGTATTATCTAATTCGTTTATTAATAATTTTTTATTAAACAAAATATACTTATTAAAATAAGAGGAAGCAACTGAAAATCACTTCAAGGAGCAGTATGAAATTCTTTAATCAAAAGAATTATAATTATAAAATATTCATGATTTTTTAAAAAAATGTGAGTATAATAGATCAAATTTGGATAATATTGACAAAAGAATATTATCTTCTTTATTAATTTATTAGTAAAATTGATCAAATAATTTGGCTCATATAATTTAAAATTATATATTGTAAAATTGCATAATTTATGTTTTATCATAATATTTTTTTAAATAACAAATTTTAAGCTATTGTTCAAATTTTATTAAATCTTAACTAGTTAGTTCACCATCCTTATTTGCAGAAGAGGGAGTATATATATTCTTTTTTTATGACTTTAAAATTTATTTTCAACTATCATAACAGTTTTTAATATTGATTTGGAAAAACAATATTTAATATAAAAAATTAATAACTTAGAAATTTCTAAAATTCTTAGTAAATTAATAACTTAGAAATTTCTAAAATTCTTAGTAAATTAATAAAGTAAAAGCAAACAAAATAGACATAAAAATAAGTAGAGATTTAAATGAGAGTAGTCGAATTTTTAAAAGATTTTGACATTTTCTCTGAGTCAATTTAGTTTAACGCTAATAGATAAAGGTTAAGAAAAAGAACTTTATTAGGTACAATTTTAACTGTATCAATTATCTTAATAACTTTGATTTACTTTATATATTAATCCTACCAATATTTCTCTGGATAGATGGATCCAAAATTCAGGTAATAAACTTTCATTTCTGATTCAATTAAAATTGATTTAAACAATGAAATGTTTGGCTTTGATTTTTTCTCTGTTTATTAAGGATAATACTTAAATTAATTACAGTCCCAATAAAATAAAACATATATTGTTTTTAAAGCAAAATTTATAGCTACTAATTCTAATAGTAGTATCAATAATTTAAATGTACCTTTAGATATAATAAAATGCTAAAGGTAAGAATTGTAAGGAATGAACTGCTTTGATTTTAGTAAATTACCTAATCCTTAACTAGTTCTAAAAGACCATCAAAGTATTTTTTCTTATATAATATTACTTGCTTATAAATGCTAAGATGTTGATTATGTTAAAACTGAAATTCCAGACAATTGTGCTGATGAATAAGCAATAAATGAATTAATTAATATTTCTCCCTTTAAGTTTTAAATAAAAACATAAATTTCTTAATATAATATAACTGCAAATCAAATTTAATAGTAATATCAGAATTAAGTGTTAATTAACACTGCTAATACTTTCACGTATAATGAGTTAAAAATTCAAAACTAAGTTACTTCAGTTTAGTAAGGTCTGATAGTTTAAGATTAACAAACCTTTTCATCCCCATTATCATAATCACTAATCACTTATACCTATGATCGTAGCTCTATTATATAAGACACTGGTCTTAAATGTATAAGTTAAATTGTAATTGATGCAGATGAAAGCTAAGCCTACTTTCACATACAATTTCCAATCTTTACAGAGGTTTTAGCACTTTGCAATAGCACATTAGCAATGTTATTGCTTTTAGGGTCATTTTGTAGGAAATTAGCATAAAACTTTATCAGAAGAGACATGTTTTTTATCTTAATGAAGGACTTCTTTTCAGGAATATATTTACAGATCATATAGCATAATAAAATTATTAATGTCAATAATGAAACTTAATAAAATGAAATTGTTCTTAATGGATAAGATGAAGAAAAATTAAATAAAAATTATGATGAAGAACATAAAAAAAATATATTTATTCCATCTCTAACTCCAAAATCTAGCAAAAAATCATTTTAATAATAGCAGTTATGTGATTCATAAAATACATGTTAAGACTAAGTATTAGAAGAATTACAAACTTAAATTTAAAAACCAGATGATTTTTTAGAATCATTAAGAATTAATTAAGACAACATAATAAACAAGTAAACCAACATTGATAAATAATCAGATTATTAGGTTAGACTAAACTTAAATAAGTCTGATCAAAGTGAAAAAAAATATGCACAAAGTTTATTTAGAAATATTTAGTAATAATAATAGCAACAACAATAATTCTAATTATTTACGAAAGACTCTAGTAAAAAATTTGCAAACAGCGGATCTATAACCTCTAAACGCTTAAATAGATAAAATTAGACTAGTTAATCAAATTAACTAGAAACTTAAGAAAGAGAGACTAAGAATATTAAAAAATATAATGAGCAAATAAATAAAATTTTTTCAAATTTGTATGATAAATCAGTTCATCTAAAACTCGAATAGATGCTCTGTTAATTTAAGTAAGCCAATTTTTATTTCAATAAGTAATATTTAATGATAAAGAGAAATCTCAATTTTTGAGTTCAATAATTGAAAAATATATTTAGATTCTTTATTTTATTTATTTTCATTCAAATAATCTTTTAATGATTAAAGTAAAAGAATTTAATAAAATATTATTGTGATAGGTTGTGTAAGAAAAAAGAGTTTTTACAATCTAAAGGACTGAAATAATAGACTATGAGTGAAGTTGAGTAACGGATAGATGAAAGTTTAGATTATTATGCCTTTTATAAAGAAATTTTGTTAATAAAGAAAGCTATTATGATTATTTTAAGTAAATAATAACTTGCAGCATTATAAGTAATTGGAAATGATATTGAAAAACAAAGCAAATATTAGGAAAACTCAAAGATGAATTATTTATCAGGTATTATCTAATTTATTTATTTATTAATATTTTTTTATTTAAAAAAAATACTTAAAATAAATAAGAGGAAGCAACTGAAAATCATTTCTCAGAGCAATATGAAATACTATAATCAAAAGAATTATAATTATAATATATTGATGATTTCTTAAAAAAATGTGAGTATAATAGATCAAATTTGGATAATATTGACAAAAGAATATTATCTTCCTTATTAATTTATTAGTAAAATTGATCAATTAATTTAGCTCATATAATTTAAAATTAAATATTGTAAAATTGTTTAATTTTTGTTTTGTCATAATATTTTTTTAAATAATAAATTCTAAGCTATTCTAAAATAATGATGCCAAAATTAATTATGTTAGATTAAAGTTTTTAATATTTAAAATAATTTATTAAATTTGAATTTAATTTAATGTACATATGAAACATTTTAAAGAAAAATTTAAAAATTAAATAGAAATTAAAAATTGAGGGGCTTTTCTCTGAATTTTTATTTGACAGAATACCATATAAATTTTATTATGTTTAAATAATAATATACAGTAAATCCAATTATAATATATGAATTTATTCAAATTTTCTTAACTAGTAAATTTATTATTGTTATTTGTAAAAGAGAGCATATATTGTGTTATTATTACTTTTAAATTTATTTTCAACTGCCATAATTGTTTATTTAATCATTAGAATTTTTAAATTTGTTAGTAAATTAGTAAAAAAGTAGAAGCAAACAAAATTTACATAAAAATAGGTAGAGATTTAAATGTAAATAATAGAATTTTTAAAAGATTTTGACATTTTCTCCGAGTCTATTTAGTTTAACGCGAATAGATAAAGGTTAAGAAAAAGGACTATTTTAGGTGCAACTTTAACAATATCAATTATCTTAATAACTCTGTTTTATTTTGTGTATCAATCCTACCAATATTTTACTGGATAGATGGACCCAAAATTCAGATAACAAACTTTCATTTCTGACTAGATTACTATTGATTTAAGTAATGAAATATTTGGTTTTGATTTTTTCTCTGTTTAAAGTGGATAATATTTAAGTTAATTATAGGCCCAATAAAATAAAACATATTTTGTTTTCTTCGCAAATTTTGCATTTACCAATTCTAAAAATAAAAACGACAATTTAAATGTACCTTTAGATATAATTAAATGCTAAAGATAAGAGTTGTAAGGAATGAACTGCTTAGATTTTAGCAAATTATCTAATCCTTAGCTAGTTCTAAAAGACAATCAGAGCATTTTATCTTACATATAACTATTTGTTTATAGATGCTAAGATGTTGATTCAATTAAGACTTCAGTTCCAGATAATTGTGCAGACGAATAAATTATAAGTTAATTAATTAACTATTCTGCTTTTAAATTATAAATAAAAACATAAATTTCTTAATTTAACATAACTTCAAGTCAAATTTAGTAGTAATATAAAAGTTAAGTTTTCGTGAATACTGCTAATATTTTCATGTATAATGAGTTAAAAATTCAAAACTAAATTACTTCAGTTTAGTAAGGTCTGATAATTTAAGATTAACAAACTTTCTCATCTCCATTATCATAATAAATTGTCACTTATTCCTATGATCGTAACTAAATTATATAAGACACTGGTCTTAAAGCTTTAAGTGAAATTGTAATTGGTTTAGATGAAAGCTAAACCTAATTTCAGATACAATTTCCAATTTTTACAGAGGTTTTAGCGCTTTGCAATAGCACATTAGCAATGCTACTTCTTTTAGGGTCGTTTTGTAGGAAAGTAGCATAAAAATTTATTAGAAGAGACATGTTTTTGATCTTAATGAAGGACTTCTTTTCAGGGACATATTTATAGATCATGTAGCATAATAAAATTATCAGCATTAATGATTAAACTTAATAAAATGAAATTGCCCTTGATGAATAAGCTGAAGAAAAATTAAATAAAAATTATGATGAAGACAATAAATAAGATATATTTATTCCATCTTTAACTCCTAAATCTTGCAGATAATAATTTTAATAACATCTAAGCAATGATACATAAAATACATGTTAAGACTAAGTATAAGAGGAGTTAAGAACTTAAATTTAAAAACCAGATGAAATTTTAGAATCATTAAGAATTAATTAAAGCAAGATAATAAGCAAGTAAACTAACTTCGATAAATAATCAGATTATTAGATTAGACTAAATTTTAATAAGTCTGATCAAAATTAAAAAAAATATGCGCAAAGTGGAATTAGAAGTATTTAGTAACAATAATAATTCCAATTATTTATGAAAGATTCTAATGATAACCTTGTAAATGGAGTATCTATAACCCCTAAACGCTTAAATAGATAAGCTTAAATGAGTTAATCAAATTAATTAGAAACTTCAGAAAGAGAGACTAAGAATATTAAAAGACAGAACGAGCAAATAAATAAATTTTTTTTAGATTTGAATGATAGATCAGTTCATCAAAAGATTGAATAAATTCTCTTTTAATTTAAGTAAAACAATTTTATTTTCATTAATAATTTTAAATGAAATCTCAATTTTTTAGTTCAATAATGAAATCTTTTATTTACATTCTTTATTTTATTTATTTTTGTTCAAATAATGTTTTAGTAATTAATTTAAATTAATTTAATAAATTATTATTGTGATAGGTTGTACAAGAAAAAAGAGTTTTTATAATCTAAAGGACTGAAAAAATAGATTATTAGTGAAATTGAGTAGCGAATAGATGAAAGTTTAGATTATTATGCCTTTTACAAAGAAATTTTGTTAATAAAGAAAGCTATTATGATGATTTTAAATAAGCAATAATTTGCTGCTTTATAAATAATTGGAATTGATTTGGAAAAACAAAGTAAAAATTAGGAAAACATAAAGATGAATTATTTATCAGGTATTATTTAATTGATTGATTTATTTATTTATATTTTTTTATTAAAAAAATTTACTTAAAATAAATCAGAGGAAGCAACAGAAAATCATTTCAAAGAGCAGTATGAAATTCTATAATCAAAAGATTTATAGTTATAATATATTAATGATTTCTTAAAAAAATGTGAGCATGATAGATCAAATTTGGATAATATTGACAAAAGAATATTGTCTTCCTTATTAATTTATTAGTAAAATTGATCAAAAGAAATTATATAAAATTAAGTATTGTAAAATTAATTACCTAATTTATGTTTTATCTTAAAATTTTTTATTGTCCTAAGGTATTCTAAAATTAATGGATTAATTATCAAAAAAATATAAAAAATAAATTTAAATAAATAATAAATAATCGTAGAACAAGGTATATTTTTTCAATTTTAGTTTTAAACAAAATATGGGAAGTTTTTTTAAAAAAAAAGTTAATTATTCTAGATTATCGTGTAACAAACAAGCAAACTATTTCTCAGTCAGATTATAATAAACATATAAACTAAATAGCCTTTTGCTAGTTGTTGTACTCATTCATAGGTGATGCCAAATTTTTCAAAAAAAAATTATAAATTTTGAAAGATAAGACCATATTTATTTTTTTATTTTTCAATACTCACAATGTGATTGTTTTATATTAATTTCTGATTCAACAAATTAAGGATCTCAATTGAGTTATGCATTCATTATATTAAATTTAAGAAATTTTTACTAAGTAAATATATTTTTAATTATTAGTATCTGTCCATAAATCTGTAGACACACACGACTATATGTTTAGCTTAAAAAATTTTAAAAAAAATGTTTTCCCCTATTTTTTAATTTTCATTTTAAAATCAGTTGTTTCTGAAATACTTTTCAGAATGAATTTAGTTTAAAGGAAACTTAAGAGAAAATAAAAGCTTGAAATCTGTAATTTCAACTATATGATGGGGTTACACATCTAAACATATAAAATTTGTAAGTTTTATAGTAAGCTCACAATCAAAATACTAATTTTTATTAATTGTTGACTGTTAGTTCATTATCATTATGAGCAGAAGAGGAAATGTATTGAGTTTTTAATATTTTTAAAAAATTTTCAACTAAGATAACAAACAGTTTGTTTTTTAATATTGAGTTGAAAGACAATATTTGATATAAAAAACTAATCTTTTGAATTTCTTTAATTGTTTGTAAATAAATTAATAAAATAAAAGCAAACAAAATAGATTTAAAAATAAGTAGAAATTTAAATGAAAATGATAGAATATTTAAAAGACTTTGACATTTTCTCTGAGTCTATTTAGTTTAACGCTAATAGTAATATAAAATTTAATTATTCGCCAATACTGCTAATTGTCTCACATATAATGAATTCAGAATTCAAAACTAAGTTACTTCAGTATAGTAAGGTCTGATAGCTTAGCGTTAATAAACTTATTCATCCCATTATCATATTCACTCACCACTTATACCTATGATTGTGATGCATATTTTTAAGACTCTGGTAATGCAAGTATAAGTTAAATTGTAATTGCTGCAGATGAAAGTTAAACCTACATTAACATACAATTTCCAATTTTTACAGAAGTTTTAGCGCTTTGTAATAGTACATTAGCAATTTTACTACTTTTAGGCTCGTTTTGTAGGAAATTAGCATAAAAATTTATTAGAAGAGACATTTTTTTGATCTTAATGAAGGACTTCTTATCAGGTACATATTAACAGATTATGTAGCATAATAAAATTGTCAATCTCAATAATTAAACATAATAAAATGAAATAGTCCATGGTGAATAGGTTGAAGAAAAATTAAAATTTAATTATGATGAGGACAATAAAAAAGACATATTTATTCCATCTTTATCACCAAAATCTTGCAAAAAATAATTTTAATAACAGCTTAGCAATGATACATAAAATACATGTTAATACTAAGTGTTAGAAGAGTTAAAAACTGAAATCTAAAAACCAGATGATTTTTTAGAATCATTAAGAATTAATTAAGACAACATAATAAACAATTAAACCAACTTAGACAAATAATAAGATTATTAAATTAGACTAAATTTAAATAAGTCTGATCAAAATTTAAAAAAATATGCACAAAGTGGAATTAGAAATATTTAATAATAACAATAATTCTAATTATTTATGAAAGATTCTAATAACAAGCTTGTAAACGGAGTGTCTTTAACCCCTAATAGCATAAATAGAAAAAAGAAAATGAGTTAATCAAATTAATTAGAAACTTAAGAAAGAGAGACTAAGAATATTAAAAAATAAAATGAGCAAGTAAATAAAATATTTTCTAATTTGAATGATAAATCAGTTCATCTAAAGCTTGAATAGACGCTCTTTTAATTTAAGTTAGCCAATTTTTATTTCATAATATTAATGAAACCTCAATTTTCGATTTCAATATTTAAAACTTTATTTATATTCTTTGTTTTATTTATTTATCTTTCATCAAACATACTTTTAATGATTAAAGTAAAATAATTTAATAAATTGTTATTGCGATAGGTTGTGTAAGAAAAAAGAGTTTTAATAATCTAAAGGATTGAAATAATAGATTATTAGTGAAATTGACTAGTGAGTAGATGAAATTTTAGATTATTATGCATTTTATAAAGAAATTTTGTTAATAAAGAAAGCTATTATGATGATTTTAAATAAATAATAATTGGCTGCATTATAAGTAATTGGGATTGATATTGAAAGACAGAGTAAAAATTAGGAAAATTCAAAGAGGAATTATTTATCAGGTATTATCTAATTCATTTATTAATAATTTTTTATTAAACAAAATATACTTATTAAAATAAGAGGAAGCAACTGAAAATCACTTCAAGGAGCAGTATGAAATTCTTTAATCAAAAGAATTGCAATTATAAATATTAATGATTTAAAAAAAAAAATGAGTATAATAGATCAAATTTGGATAATATTGACAAAAGAATATTATCTTCTTTATTAATTTATTAGTAAAATTGATCAATTAATTTAGCTCATATAATTTAAAATTATATATTGTAAAATTGCATAATTTATGTTTTGTCATAATATTTTTTTAAATAATAAATTCTAAGACACACACTACTATATGTTTAGCTTAAAAAATTTTTTTAAAATCTTTTCCCCTATTTTAATTATCATTTTAAAATCAGCTGCTTCTGAAATACTTTTTAGAAGGAATTTAGTTTAAAGGAAACTTAAGAGAAAATAAAAGCTTGAAATCTGTATTTTCAACTATATAATGGTGTTACACATCTAAGCATATGAATAATACCCTAATAAAATTTGTAGGTTTAATAGAAAGCTCACAAACAATAAAATCCTAATTTTTATTAATTTTTAACTGTCAGTTCATTATCATTATTAGCAGAAGAGGAAATGTGTTGAGTTTACTATTTTTAAAATTTATTTTCAACAAAGATAACAAACAGTTTTTTTTTAATATTGAGTTGAAAGACAATATTTGATATAAAAAACTAATCTTTTGAATTTCTTTAATTGTTAGTAAATTAATTAATAAAATAAAAGCAAACAAAATTGATTTAAAAATAAGTAGAGATTTAAATGAAAATGAGAGAATTTTTAAAAGATTTTGACATTTTCTCCGAGTCAATTTAGTTTAATGCTAATAGATAAAGGTTAAGAAAAAGGACTGTCTTAGGTGCAATTTTAACAATATCAATTATCTTAATAACACTCATTTACTTTGTGTATTAATCCCATCAATATTTTACTGGATAGATGGATCCAAAATTCAGATAGCAATCTTTCGTTATTGACTAGATTAATATTGATTTAAACAACGAAATGTTTGGTTTTGATTTTGTCTCTATTAAAAGTGGATAATACTTAAGTTAATTATAGGCCCAATAAAATAAAACGTATTTTGTTTTTAAAGCAATTTTTATATATGCTAATTCTACTAGTAATACCAGTAATTCATATGTATCTTTAGATATAATTAAATGCTAAAGACAAGAATTGTAAGGAATGAGCTGCTTTGATTTTAGCAAATTATCTAATCCTTAGCTAGTTAGAAACAACAATCAAAATATTTTTTCTTACGTTTCATTAATGGTTTATAAATGCTAAGATGTTGATTTTTAAAAAACTGACATCCCAGTTAATTGTGCTGACTAATAAGAAATAGATTAATTCATTGGCTTTTCTCCCTTTAGACTCTAAATGAAAACATAAATTTCTTAATTTAACATAACTTCAAGTCAAATTGAGTAGTAATACAAAAGTTAAATATTTACGAATTCTGCAAATTCTCTCACGTATAATGAGCTAAAAATTCAAAACTAAGTTACTTCAGTATAGTAAGGTCTAATAGTTTAACATTAACAAGCTTTTTCATCCCCATTATCATAATCAGTCCTCACTTCTATCTATGATCATAATACATTTTTTAAAGATACCGGTCTTGCATATATAAGTGAAATTTCAATTGGTGTAGATGAAAGTTAAACCTAATTTTACATACAATTTCCAATTTTTACAGAAGTTTTAGCACTTTGTAATAGCACATTAGCAATTTTACTGCTTTTAGGCTCGTTTTGTAGGAAATTAGCATAAAAAATTATAAGAAGAGACATTTTTTTTATCTTAATGAAGGACTTCTTTTCAGGAACATATTTGCGTATTATGTAGCATAATAAAATTGTCAACCTTAATAATTAAACTTAATAAAATGATATAGTTCATGATGAATAAGCTGAAGAAAAATTAAATAGTAATTATGATGAAGACAATAAGAAAGATATATTTATTCCATCTTTATCACCAAAATCTTGCAAAAAATTATTTTAATAACAGCTTAGCAATGATACATAAAATACATGTTAAGACTACGTGTTGGAAGAGTTACAAACTTAAATCTAAAAACCAGATGATGTTTTAGAATCACTTAGAAGTAATTAAGACAACTAATCAGATTATTAGATTAGACTAAATTTAAATAAGTCTGATCAAAATTAAAAAAGTTATGCACAAAGTGGAATTAGAAATATTTAATAATAATAATAATAATAATAACAACAATAATAACAATAATTCTAATTATTGATGAAAGATTCTAGTAATAAGCTTGTAAATGGAGTATCTTTAACCCCTAATAGCTTAAATAGAAAAAACAAAACTAGTTAATCAAATTAATTAGAAAGTTAAGAAAGAGGGACTAAGGTTATTAAAAAATAAAATGAGCAAATAAATAAAATATTTTCAAATTTGAATGATAAATCAGTTCATCTAAAGCTTGAATAGACGCTCTTTTAATTTAAGTAAGCCAATTTTTATTTCAACCAGTAAGTAATATTTAATGAAACCTCAATTTTTGAGTTAAATTTTATTTATATTCTTTATTTTTATCTTTATTATTCAAATATACTTTTAATTATTAAAATAAAATAATTTAAAAAATTTTTATTGCAATAGGTTTTGTAAGAAAAAAGAGTATTAATAATCTAAAGGATTGAAATAATAGATTATTAATGAAATAGAGTAGCGAATAGATGAAAGTTTAGATTACTATTCCTTTTATAAAGAAATTTTGTTAATTAAGAAAGCTATTATGATGATTTTAAATAAATAATAACTTGCTGCATTATAAGTAATTGGAATTGACATAGAAAAACAAAGTAAAAATTAGGAAAACTCAAAGATGAATTATTTATCAGGTATTATCTAATTCATTTATTTATTTATAATTTTTTTTTACTTAAAAAATTTACTTAAAATAAATAAGAGGAAGCAACTGAAAATCACTTCAAAGAGTAGTATAAAATTCTTTAATCAAAAGAATTGTAATTATAAAATATTAATGATTTCTTAAAAAAATGTGAGTAAAATAGATCAAATTTGGATAACATTGACAAAAGAATACTATCTTCCTTATTAATTCATTAATAAAATTGATCAATTTAGCTCATATTATTTAAAAATAAATATTGTAAAATTGCATAATTTCTGTTTTGTCATAATATTTTTTTAAATGATAAATTCTAAGCTTTTCTAAAAATAATGATGTCAAAATTTGATTTAAATATTTAAAATACTTTATTAAATTTGAATAAATTTACTTATGAAACATATTAAAGAAAGTTATTAAATGAAATTTAATAGAAATATTTTAAAGAAATAAATAATTGCAAAGTAAACTTAACTGAAAAAACTCTCCAACATTAACTATTTTGTATTATCAAAATAATTTAATTATTTTAAAGAATTTAAAAATTTGATCAACAAAAAATAAATCAGGCTTAAAATATAGGAAAAAGTGTTATTCGCCACCCTATTATCAAAATTTTTCATATTTGTTTTTTTGTTTATAAGAAAAAATGAATATTTAAAAATTAACTATTAGAATTTAATTTATGCATTATAAAAAATTTAAATTGTAAAAATTATCAAAACATAAAAAAAATACTTGACTATATGTTTAGCTTAAAAAATTTTTTAAAAATCTTTTCCCCTATTTTTTAATTTTCATTTTAAAATCAACTAGTTCTGAAATACTTTTTAGAAGGAATTTAGTTTCAAGGAAACTTAAGAGATAATAAAAGCTTGAAATCTGTATTTTCAACTATATGATGGGGTTACACATTTAAACATATGAATTATATTCCAATCAAATTTGTAAGTTTTATAGAAAGCTCAAAATCAAAATCCTAATTTTTATTAATTGTTAACTGTCAGTTCGTTATCATTATTAGCAGAAGAGGAAATGTATTGTATTTTTACTATTTTTAAAATTTATTTTCAACTAAGATAACAAACAGTTTATTTTTTAATATTGAGTTGAAAGACAATATTTAATATTATAAACTAATCTTTTGAATTTCTTTAATTGTTAGTAAATTAATTAATAAAATAAAAGCAAACAAAATTGATATAAAAATAAGTAGAGATTTAAATGAAAATAATAGAATATTTAAAAGACTTTGACATTTTCTCTGAGTCTATTTAGTTTAACGCTAATACATAAAGGTTAAGAAAAAGGACTGTTTTAGGTGCAATTTTAACAATATCAATTATCTTAATAACACTCATTTATTTTGTGCATTAATCCTACCAATATTTTACTGGATAGATGGATCCCAAATTCAGATAACAAACTTTCCTTCCAGGCTTGATTAATATTGATTTAAACAACGAAATGTTTGGTTTTGATTTTGTCTCTATTTAAAGTGGATAATACTTAAGTTAATTATAAGCCCAATAAAATAAAACTTATTTTATTTATAAAGCAATTTTTTATTATACTAATTCTATTAGTAATACCAACAATTCATATATAACTTTAGATATTATTAAATGCTAAAGACAAGAATTGTAAGGAATGAGCTGTTTTGATCTTAGCAAATTATCTAATCCTTAGCTAATTCTAAACAACCATCAAAATATTTTTTCTCACATATAATTAATGGTTTATAAATGCTAAGATGTTGATTTTTTAAAAACTGACATTCCAGTTAATTGTGCTGACTAATAAGCAATAAATTAATTAATTAACTTTTCTCCCTTTAGATTCTAAATGAAAACATAAATTTCTTAATTTAACATAACTTCAAGCCAAATTCAGTAGTAATATAAAAGTTAAGTATTTACGAATACTGCTAATTCTTTCACGTATAATGAGCTAAAAATTCAAAACTAAGTTACTTCAGTATAGTAAGGCCTGATAGTTTAAAATCAACAAACTTTTACATCCCCATTATCATAATCACTCCTCACTTATACCTATGATCGTAATACAATATTTTCAGATATTGGCCTTGCATGTTTAAGTGAAATTGTAATTGGTGCAGATGAAAGTTAAACCTACTTTAACATACAATTTCCAATTTTTACAGAAGTTTTAGCACTTTGTAATAGCACATTAGCAATTTTACTGCTTTTAGGCTCATTTTGTAGGAAATTAGCATAAAAAATTATAAGAAGAGACATTTTTTTTATTTTAATGAAAGACTTCTTTTCAGGAACATATTTACAGATTATGTAGCATAATAAAATTTTCAATCTTAATAATTAAACTTAATAAAATGAAATAGTTCATGGTGAGTTAGCTGAAGAAAAATTAAATAGTAATTATGATGAAGACAATAAAAAAAGCATATTTATTCCATCTTTATCACCAAAATCTTGCAAAAAATTATTTTAATAACAGCTTAGCAATGATACATAAAAGACATGTTAAGACTAAGTGTTAGAAGAGTTACAAACTTAAATCTAAAAACCAGATGATTTTTTAGAATCATTAAGAATTAATTAAGACAAATAATCAGATTATTAGATTAGACTAAATTTAAATAAGTCTGATCAAAATTTAAAAAAATATGCGCAAAGTGGAATTAGAAATATTTAATAATAATAATAATAACAATAATTCTAATTATTGATGAAAGATTCTAGTAATAAGCTTGTAAACGGAGTATCTTTAACCCCTAATAGCTTAAATAGAAAAAACAAAACTAGTTAATCAAATTAATTAGAATGTTATGAAAGAGGGACTAAGAATATTAAATAATAAAATGACCAAATAAATAAAATATTCTCTAATTTGAATGATAAATAAGTTCACCTAAAGCTTGAATAGACGCTCTTTTAATTTAAGTAAGCCAATTTTTATTTCAATCTATGAAACCTTACATTTTGAGTTCAATAATTAAAACTTTTATTTATATTCTTTATTTTTTATCTTCATTCAAATATAATTTTAATGATTAAAGTAAAATAATTTAACAATTTGTTATTGCGATAGGTTGTGTAAGAAAAAAGAGTTTTAATAATCTAAAGGATTAAAATAATAGATTATTAGTGAAATCGAGTAGCGAGTAGATGAAAGTTTAGATTATTATGCATTTTATAAAGAAATTTTGTTAATAAAGAAAGCTATAATGATGATTTTAAATAAATAATAACTTGCTGCATTATAAGTAATTGGAATTGACATAGAAAAACAAAGTAAAAATTAGGAAAACTCAAAGTTGAATTATTTATCAGGTATTATCTAATTCATTTATTTATTTATAATTTTTTACTTAAAAAATTTACTTAAAATAAATAAGAGGAAGCAACTGAAAATCATTTCAAAGAGTAGTATGAAATTCTATAATCAAAAGAATTGTAATTATAATATATTAATGATTTCTTAAAGAAATGTGAGTAAAATAGATCAAATTTGGATAATATTGACAAAAGAATATTATCTTCCTTATTAATTTATTAGTAAAATTGATCAATTAGCTCATGTATTTAAAATTAAATATTGTAAAATTTAATAATTTCTGTTTTGTCATAATATTTTTTTAAATAATAAATCTAAGCTTTTCTTAAAATAATGATGTCAAAATTAAGTTAGATTAAAATTTTAAATATTTAAAATACTTTATTAAATTTGAGTTTAATTTACTTATGAAATATATTAAAGAAAAACTATTGAATGAAATTAAATAGAAATATTTTTAAAGAAATAAATAATTGCAAAGTAAACTTAACTGAAAAAACTCTCCAATATTAACTATTTTATATTATCAAATAATTTAATTATTTGAAAGAATTTATAATTTGATCAACAAAAATAAATCAGGCTTAATATATAGGAAAAAGTGTTATCCGCCACCCTATTATCAAAATTTTTCATATTTATTTTTTTGTATCTTAAAAAAATTTTTTAAAAATCTTTTCCCCTATTTTTTAATTTTCATTTTAAAATCAGCTGTTTCTGAAATACTTTTCAGAAGGAATTTAGTTTAAAGGAAACTTAAGAGAAAATAAAAGCTTGAAATCTGTATTTTCGACTATATGATGGGGTTACACATCTAAACATATGAATAATACCCCAATAAAATTTGTAAATTTTATAGTAAGCTCACAATCAAAATCCTAATTTTTATTAATTGTTAATTGTCAGTTCATTATCATTATGAGCAGAAGAGGAAATGTATTGAGTTTTTATTATTTTAAAAATTTATTTTCAACAAAGATAACAAACAGTTTTTTAATATTGAGTTGAAAGACAATATTTGATAAAAAAACTAATCTTTTGAATTTCTTTAATTGTTACTAAATTAATTAATAAAATAAAAGCAAACAAATTTATTTAAAAATAAGTAGGAAAGTTAAACCTACTTTTACATACAATTTTCAATTTTTACAGAAGTTTTAGCACTTTGTAATAGCACATTAGCAATTTTACTGCTTTTAGACTTGTTTTGTAGGAAATTAGCATAAAAAATTATAAGAAGAGACATTTTTTTTATCTTAATGAAGGACTTCTTTTCAGGAACATATTTGCATATTATGTAGCATAATAATATTGTCAATCTTAATAATTAAACTTAATCAATTGAAATAATTCATGATGAGTAAGTTGAAGAAAAATTAAATAGTAATTATGATGAAGACAATAAAAAAAGTATATTTATTCCATCTTTATCGCCAAAATCTTGCAAAAAATTATTTTAATAACAGCTTGGCAGTGATACATAAAATACATGTTAAGACTACGTGTTGGAAGAATTACAAACTTAAATCTAAAAACCTGATGATTTTTTAGAATCACTTAGAAGTAATTAAGACAAATAATCAGATTATTAGATTAGACGAAATTTAAGTAAGTCTGATCAAAATTAAAAAAATTATGCGCAAAGTGGAATTAGAAATATTTAATAAATACAATAATAACAATAATTATAATTATTGATGAAAGATTCTAGTAATAAGCTTGTAAATGGAGTATCTTTAACCCCTAATAGCTTAAATAGAAAAAACAAAACTAGTTAATAAATTAATGAGAAACTTAAGAAAGAGGGACTAAGACAATTAAAAAATAAAATGAGCAAATAAAAAAAATATTTTCAAATTTGAATGATAAATCAGTTCATCTAAAGCTTGAATAGACACTCTTTTAATTTAAGTTAGCCAATTTTATTTCAACCAGTAAGTAATATTTAATGAAACCTCAATTTTTGAGTTAACTTTTATTTATATTCTTTATTTTTATCTTCATTATTAAAATATACTTTTAATGATTAAAGTAAAATAATTTAACAAATTTTTATTGCGATAGGTTTTGTAAGAAAAAAGAGTTTTAATAATCCAAATGATTGAAATAATAGATTATTAATGAAATCGAGTAGCGAGTAGATGAGAGTTTAGATTACTATGCCTTTTATAAAGAAATTTTGTTAATTAAGAAAGCTATAATGATGATTTTAAATAAATAATAACTTGCTGCATTATAAGTAATTGGAATTCACATAGAAAAACAAAGTAAAAATTAGGAAAACTCAAAGATGAATTTTTATCAGGTATTATCTAATTCATTTATTTATTTTTTATTTTTTTTTACTTAAAATAAATAAGAGGAAGCAACTGAAAATCATTTCAAAGTGTAGTATGAAATTCTATAAATAAAAGAATTGTAATTATAAAATATTAATGATTTCTTAAAAAAATATGAGTAAAATAGATCAAATTTGGATAATATTGACAAAAGAATATTATCTTCCTTATTAATTTATTAGTAAAATTAATCAATTTAGCTCAAATTATTTAAAATTAAATATTGTAAAATTGCATAATTTATGTTTTGTCATAATATTTTTTCAAATAATAAATTCTAAGCTTTTCTAAAAATAATGATGTCAAAATTTGTTTTAAATATTTAAAATACTTTATTAAATTTGAATAAATTTACTTATGAAACATATTAAAGAAAAATATTAAATGAAATTTAATAGAAATATTTTTAAAGAAATAAATAATAACAAAGTAAACTTAACTGAAAAAACTCTCAAACTCTCCAATATTAACTATTTTGTATTATCAAAATAATTTAATTATTTTAAAGAATTTATAATTTAATCAACAAAAAATAAATCAGGCTTAATATAGAGGAAAAAGTGTTATCCGCCACCCTATTATCAAAATTTTTCATATTTATTTTTTTGTTTATAATTTTAATAATATATCAGAAATTGTTCAAATTTTTATTAATTGTTAACTTATCAGTTCATCATATTTATTAGTAGAAGAGGGAATTTATTGCGTTTTTATTATTTTAAAATTTATTTTTAACTAGATAACAAACAGTTTTTTTAATATTGAGTTGAAAGACAATATTTTTTATTATAAACTGATGTTTTGAATTTCTTTAATTGTTAGTAAATTAATTAATAAGTAAAAGCAAACAAAATTGAATTAAAAATAAGTAGAGATTTAAATGAAAATGATAGAATTTTTAAAAGATTTTGACATTTTCTCTGAGTCAATTTAGTTTAACGCTAATAGATAAAGGTTAAGAAAAAGGACGGTTTTAGGTGCAATTTTAACAATATCAATTATCTTAATAACTCTCATTTATTTTGTGTATTAATCCTACCAATTTTTTACTGGATAGATGGATCCAAAATTCAGATAGCAATCTTTCCTTCCTAACCAGGTTAATATTGATTTAAATAATGAAATGTTTGGTTTTGGTTTTGCCTCTCTTTTTTCAGGATAACACTTAAGTTAATTATAGGAGCAATAAAATAAAACATATATTGTTTTTAAAGCAGTTTATGTATTTACAAATACTAATAATAGTACCAACAATTAAATAATACCTTTAGATATAATTAAATGCTAAAGAATAGAATTGTAAGGAATGAGTTGTCTTGATTTTAGTAAAATACCTAATGCTTAGCTAATTCTAAAAGATCATCAAAGTATTTTTTCTTACATACAATTTTATATTTATAGATGCTAAGATGTTGATTCTATTAAAACTGATATTCCTGATAATTGTGCTGACTTATAAGCAATAGATTATTTTATTAACTCTTCTCCCTTTAAACTCTTAATAAGAACATAGATTTCTTAATTTAACATAACTTGAAGTCAAATTTAGTAGTAATATAAAAGTTAATTATCCGCGAATACTGCTAATTCTCTCACTCATAATGAGATAAGAATCCAAAACTCAGTTACTTCAGTATAGTAAGGTCTGATAGCTTAATATTAACAAACTTATTCATCCCCATTATCATAATCACTCATCGCTTATACCTATGATCGTAACACATATTTTTAAGACACAGGTCTTGCAAATATAAGTGAAATTGTAATTGCTGCAGATGAAAATTAAACCTATATTAACATACAATTTCCAATTTTTACAGAAGTTTTAGCGCTTTGTAATAGCACATTAGCAATTTTACTGCTTTTAGGCTCTTTTTGTAGGAAATTAGCATAAAAATTTATTAGAAGAGACATTTTTTTAATCTTAATGAAGGATTTCTTTTCAGGAACATATTTGCAGATTATGTAGCATAATAAAATTTTCCATCTCAATAATTAAACTTAAAAAAGTGAAATAGTCCATGATGAATAAGCTGAAGAAAAATTCAATAGAAATTATGATGAAGACAATAAGAAAGAAATATTTATTCCATCTCTATCACCAAAATCTTGCAAAAAATTATTTTAACAACAACTAAACAATGATACATAAAATACATGTTAAGACTAAGTTTTAGAAGAGTAAAAAACTTAAATCTAAAAACCAGATGATTTTTTAGAATCGTTAAGAATTAATTAAGACAAGATAATAAACAAATAAACCAACTTAGATAAATAATCAGATTATTAGATTAGACTAAATTTAAATAAGTCTGATCAAAATTTAAAAAAATATGCGCAAAGTGGAATTAGAAATATTTAATAATAACAATAATAACAACAATAATTCTAATTATTTATGAAAGATTCTAATAATAAGCTTGTAAACGGAGGATCTGTAACACCTAATCGCTTTAATAGATATAACAAAATAAGTTAATCAAATTAGTTAGAAACTTAAGAAAGAGAGACGAAGAATATTAAAAAATAAAATGAGCAAATAAATAAAGTATTTTAAAATTTGAATGATAAATCAGTTCATCTAAAGCTTGAATAGATGCTCTTTTAATTTAAGTAAGCCAATTTTTATTTCAATCAGTAAGTAATATTTAATGAAACCTCTATTTTTGATTTCAATAATTAAAACTTTTATTTATATTCTTTATTTTATTTATCTTCATTCAAATATACTTTTAACGATTAAAGTAAAATAATTTAATAAATTGTTATTGCCATAGGTTGTGTAAGAAAAAAGAGTTTTTATAATCTAAAGGATTGAAATAATAGACTATTAGTGAAATTGAGCAGCGAATAGATGAAAGTTTAGATTATTATGCCTTTTATAAAGAAATTTTATTAATAAAAAAAGCTATTATGATGATTTTAAACAAATAATAACTTGCTGCATTATAAGTAATTGGGATTGACATAGAAAAACAAAGTAAAAATTAGGAAAACTCAATGATGAATTATTCAGGTATTATCTAATTCATTTATTTTTTTTTATTAAAAAAATTTACTTAAAATAATTAAGAGGAAGTAACTGAAAATCATTTCAAGGAGCAGTATGAAATTCTTTAATCAAAAGAATTGTAATTACATTATATTAATGATTTCTTAAAAAAATGTGAGTAAAATAGATCAAATTTAGATAATATTGACTAAAGAATATTATCTTCCTTATTAATTTATGAGTAAAATTGATCAATTTAACTCATATAATTTAAATTAAATATTGTAAAATTTCCTAGTTTATGTTTTGTCATAACATTTTTTTAGATAGTAAATTTTAAGTTTTAATTTTTCACCTAGTTTATCTAATATTTTAATCATCTTATCAAACGAAGAGGGAACATGTTGTATTTTTATTTCTTTAAAATTTATTTTCAGCTAAGATAACAAACAATTTGTTTTTTAATATTGAGTTGAAAGACAATATTTCATGTTATAAGTTAATCTTTGGAATTTCTTTAATTGTTAGTAAATTAATTAATAAAATAAAAGCAAACAAAATTGACATAAAAATAAGTAGAGATTTAAATGAGAGTAGTCGAATTTTTAAAAGATTTTGACATTTTCTCTGAGTCTTTTTAATTTAACGCTAATAGATAAAGGTTAAGAAAAAGGACTCTTTTAGGTGCATTTTTAACAATATCAATTATCTTAATAACACTTATTTATTTTGTGTATTAATCCTACCTATATTTTAATGGATAGATGGATCCCAAATTCAGATAGCAAACATTCATTTCTAACTAGATTAACATTGATTTGAACAATGAAATGTTTGGTTTTGATTTTATCTCTCTTTATTAAGGATAATACTTAAGTTAATTATAGGCCCAATAAAATAAAACATATTTTGTTTTTAAAGCAAGTTTTGTATTAACAAATACTAATAATAGTATCAACAATTTAAATGTACCTTTAGATATAATTAAATGCTAAAGATAAGAATTGCAAGGAATGAACTGCTTTGATTTTAGCAAATTACCTAACCCTCAGCTAGTTCTAAAAGACCATCAAAGTATTTTTTCTTACATATAATTATATGTTTATAAATGTCAAGATGTTGATTATATTAAGACTTCAATTCCAGATAATTGTGCTGACGAATAAACAATAAGTTAATTAATTAACTATTCTCCCTTTAAATTCTTAATAAAAACATAAATTTCTTAATTTAACATAACTTCAAGCCAAATTGAGTAGTAATATAAAATTTAAGTATTATCGAATACTGCTAATTCTCTCACGTATAATGAGTTAAAAATACAAAACTAAGTTACTTCAGTATTTTAAGGTCTGATAGTTTAACATTAACAAACTTTTTCATCCCCATTATCATAATCACTCACCGCTTATACATATGATCGTAACAAAGTTTTTTAAGACGCTGGTCTTGCATGTATAAGTGAAATTTTAATTGGTGCAGATGAATGTTAAGCCTATTTTTACATACAATTTCCAATTTTTACAGAAGTTTTAGCACTTTGTAATAGCACATTAGCAATTCTACTGCTTTTAGGCTCGTTTAGTAGGAAATTAGCATAAAAATTTATTAGAAGAGACATTTTTTTGATCTTAATGAAGGACTTCTTTTCAGGAACATATTTGCATATTATGTAGCATAATTAAATTGTCAATCTCAATAATTAAACTTAATGCAATGAAATTGCTCTTGATGAATAAGCTGAAGAAAAATTAAATAGTAATTATGATGAAGACAATAAAAAAAATATTTTTATTCCATCTTTAACGCCAAAATCTTGCAAAAAATTATTTTAGTAACAGCTAAATAATGATTCATAAAATACATGTTAAGACTAAGTATTAGAAGAGTTACAAACTTAAATTTAAAAACCAGATGAATTATTAGAATCATTAAGAATTAATTAAGACAAAATAATAAATAAGTAAACCAACTTAGATAAATAATCAGATTATTAGATTAGACTAAATTTAAATAAGTCTGATCAAAATTAAAAAAATTATGCACAAAGTGTAATTAGAAATATTTAATAATAATAATAACAAAAATAATTCTAATTATTTACGAAAGATTCTAGCAGCAAGCTTGTAAACGGAGTATCTGTAACCCCTAAACAGTTAAATAGATAAAAGAATAAGAGTTAATCAAATTAATTAGAAACTTAAGAAAGGTAGACTAAGAATATTAAAAATACAATAAGCAAATAAATAAAATATTTTCTAATTTGAATGATAAATCAGTTCAACTAAAGCTTGAATAGATGCTCTTTTAATTTAAGTAAGCCAATTTTTATTTCAATCAATCATTTAGAATGAAACCTCAATTTTAGAGTATAAAAATTAAAAAATTTATTTATATTTATTCAAATATACTTTTAATCATTAAAGTAAAATAATTTAATAAATTATTATTGTGATAGGTTGTGTAAGTAAAAAGAGTTTTTATAATCTAAAGGATTGAAATAATCGATTTTTAGTGAAATTGAGTAGCAAATAGATGAAAGTTTAGATTATAATGCCTTTTATAAAGAAATTTTGTTAATAAAGAAAGCTATTATGATGATTTTAAATAAATAATAACCTGCTGCTTTATAAGTAATTGGAATTGATTTGGAAAAACAAAGTAAAAATTAGGAAAACTCAAAGATGAATAATTTATCAGGTATTATCAATTTCATTATTGATTTATATTTTTTATTAAAAAGATTTTCTTTAAATAAATAAGAGGAAGCAACTGAAAATCATTTCAAAGAGCAGTACGAAATTCTATAATCAAAAGAATTGTAATTATAATATATTTATGATTTCTTAAAAAAATGTGAGTATAATAGTTCAAATTTGGATAAAATTGACAAAAGAATATTATCTTCCTTATTAAATTATTAGTAAAAGTGATCAATTTAGCTCATATTATAGCAAAATGCCATTCAAAAATTTAGTGAATTGAGATCACTATTTTTTTGAATGGTTGATGCCTTTGAATATTATTAATATAAAAATAAATAATTTTATAATAGAATTTAATTAATAATATTAATAATTTTAATTTTTTTCAATCTTTATGATTTTTCTATTAAATTTTTAAATTTGTTGGGACCGAGAGATGAAATATATTTTTTTTTTTTACTGAGCTCAAGGGCACTATTCTGTATATATAATTGTTAGTAAATTAATAAAGTAAAAGCAAACAAAATTGACATAAAAATAAGTAGAGATTTAAATGAAAGTAATAGAATTTTTTAAAGATTTTGACATTTTCTCTGAGTCTATTTAGTTTAACGCTAACAGATAAAGGTTAAGAAAAAGAACTTTTTTAGGTGCAATTTTAACATTCACAATTATCTTAATAACTCTCATTTATTTTGTGTATTAATCCTACCAATATTTCACTGGATAGATGGATCCCAAATTCAGATAACAAACTTTCATTTCTGACTAGATTAGTATTGATTTAAATAATGAAATGTTTGGATTTGATTTTTTCTCTATTTAAAGTGGATAATATTTAAGTTAATTATAGGCCCAATAAAATAAAACATATTTTGTTTTCATAGCAAATTTTGCATTCACCAGTTCAAATAGTAGTATCAACAATTAATATGTGCGTTTAGATATAATTAAATGCTAAAGATAAGAATTGTAAGGAATGAACTGTTTTGATTTTAGCAAATTATCTAATCCTTAGCTAGTTCTCAAAGACAATCAAAGAACTTTATCTTATATATAATTATTGGTTTATAGATGCTAAGATGTTGATTATTTTAAAACTTCTATTCCAGATAATTGTGCTGACGAATAAACAATAAGTTAATTTATTAACTATTCTCCCTATAAATTATAAATAAAAATGTAAATTTCTTAATTTAACATAACCTCAAATCAAATTTAGTAGTAATATAAAAGTTATGTGTTAATGAATATAGCTAATATTTTTATGAAAAGTGAGCTAAAAATTCAAAACTAAATTACTTCAGTATAATAAGGTCAGATAGTTTAACATGAACAAACTTTTTCATCCCCATTATCATAATAAATAGTCACTTATTCCTATGATCGTAATTAAATTATATAAGACACTGGTCTTAATTGTTTTAATGAAATTTTAATTGATTTAGATGAAAGCTAAACCTACTTTCACATACAATTTCCTATTTTTACAGAGGTTTTAGCTCTTTGCAATAGCACATTAGCAATGCTACTGCTTTTAGGGTCATTTTGTAGGAAAATAGCATAAAAATTTATCAGAAGAGACATGTTTTTTATCTTAATGAAGGACTTCTTTTCAGGAACATATTTACATATTATGTAGCATAATGAAATTGTCAATCTCAATAATTAAACTTAATAAGATGAAATAATCCATGATGAACAAACTGAAGAAAAATTAAGTAGTAATTATGATGAAGACCATAAAAAAAATATATTTATTCCATCTTTAACACCGAAATCTTGCAAAAAATTATTTTAATTACAGTTAAGCACTGATTCATAAAATACATGTTAAGACTAAGTGTTAGAAGAGTTACAAACTTAAATCTAAAAACCAGATGAAATTTTAGAACCATTAAGAATTAATTAAGAAAAGAAGACAAACAAGTAAACCAACTTAGATAAATAATCAGATTATTAGATTAGACTAAATTTAAATAAGTCTGATTAAAATGAAAAAAATTATGGTCAAACTGTATTTAGAAATATTTAGTTATAATAATAACAATAATTCTAATTATTTATGAGAGATTCTAGTAACAAACTTGCAAACGGAGTATCTATAACCCATAAACGCTTAAAAAGATAAAATAAAACAAGTTAATCAAATTAATTAGAAACTTAAGAAAGAGAGACTCAGAAAATTAGAAGATACAATGAGCAAATAAATAAAATATTTTTAGATTTGAATGATAAATCAGTTCATCTAAAGCTTGAATAGATTCTCTTTTAATTTAAGTAAGCCAGTTTTTATTTTAATCAATAATTTTGAATGAAATCTCAATTTTTGAGTTCAATAATTATATTCTTTATTTACATTCTTAATTTTATTTATTTACATTCAAAAAATGATTTAATAATTAAAGTAAGTGAATTTAATAAACTATTATTGTGATAGGTTGTGTAAGTAAAAAGAGTTTCTTTAATCTAAAGGACTGAAATAATCGATTATTAGTGAAATTGAATAGCGAATAGATGAAAGTTTAGATTATTATGCCTTTTATAAAGAAATTTTGTTAATAAAGAAAGCTATTATGATGATTTTAAGTAAATAATAACTTGCTGCATTACAAGTAATTGGAGTTGATTTGGAAAAACAAAGCAAAAATTAGGAAAACTTAAAGATGAATAATTTATCAGGTATTATCTAATTCAATCATTTATAATTTTTTATTAAAAATATTTATTAAAAAAAATAAGAGGATGCAACTGAAAATCACTTCAAAGAGCAGTATGAAATTCTTTAATCAAAAGAATTGTAATTATAATATATTAATGATTTCTTAAAAAAATGTGAGTAAAATAGATCAAATTTGGATAATATTGACAAAAGAATATTATCTTCCTTATTAATTTATTAGCAAAATTGAACAATTTAGCTCATATTATTTAAAATTAAGTATTGTAAAATTAATTACATAATTTATGTTTTATCATAACATTTTTTATTAAAATTAATCCTAAGCTATTCTAAAATTAATGATTCCAAAATTAAATAGTATTCAATTTTTTAAATTTGTTTAGATTACAAATTAAATATTATAAAATGAAATAAATAATATATGTTAAGTTAAAGTTTTTAATAAATACTTTTTTAAATTATGAATTATTAAATTAACTTAATTTAAAAAACCTCTTCAATATTAACTATTTTTTTATCAAAATAATTTAATTATTTGATCAACAAGTATAAATTAGACTTAAGATATAGGAAAAAGTGTTATCCCGCCACCCTATCAGTAAGATTTTTCTTATTTTGTTTTAATGAAGATTATTGAGAAACCTCAAAAATTTGAAAAAATATTGAATATTGTATTTGAACACTTTTTATACTATATATAATTATATATTATATTGAATTTATGAATTTTATTGAATAGTTCCTTTACATACTTTTTCATAAATATTTTAATTTGTTTTTTTCGTTTTAAGCTAAACATAATCCAGGTATTAAAATATAATACTATCCAGTTCATCATATTTTAAAACCTGGATTAGATATTTTAGTAACAGGAACATTTTGTAGAAAACTAGCTCAAAATCTTATTAGTGAAATATTTTTTTGATCATAATATTTAGTCAATATACAAATTATCTACAGCTAAAACAGTCTAAACTTATACCCAAATCCTGATAAAATTTGAAATGGGATGAATTAATAAGAGTAACTTACTTAAAAAAATTACTTCTTTTATTGAAGCATTTAAATTTATTTTATTAATTTGTTTGTTCATTTTTAAAATAAAAAGATAAAATAATGCTTTTAACTTTACTCCTTTATCTTTAGGACATAGAAACTGTATTGGACAGTATTTAGCTATAATTGAAGAAAAATACATGCTTTCAAACAATTTTCTAAACTATAACATTTTACTTTATCCTAGTGAAAAACTTATTAATAATTTATGGTATTTATCCAGATAATTTTGTTTATTTTGATCTTAGAAAATGATTTATTTTTTAAAGAATAATTTTAAGAAATGAGACGTATTTTTGAACAAAGTTTCAAAAATAAAAAAAATGCTTTTTACTTTTAAATAAATATATCATTATATATTTAAATAAATTAATGTTTCTAATCTCTTAAAAAATAACTAATGTAAAACTTAAAAAATCTGTTAAATATAATAAATTGTCCACTTTTTTTGCATGTCCAATATCAAATTTTATTAAATCTTACTTAACTTGTCTGTCCATCATCATTATTTGCAGAAGAGTGAGTATATATATAGTGTTTTTATGAATTTAAAATTTATTTTCAATTGTGATAATAATTATTTAATATTGAGCTGAAAAACAATATCTATTATTATTTGATCTTTAGAATTTTTCAAATTTTAGTAAATTAATAAAATAAGAGCAAACAAAGTTAATTGACATAAAAATAAGTAGAGATTTAATGAAATTAGTAGAATTTTTAAAAGATTTTGATATCTTCTCTGAATCAATCTAGTTTAATGCTAGTAGATAAAGGTTAAGAAAAAGGACTTTTTTAGGTGCAATTTTAACTTTATCAATTATCTTAATAACTATCATTTATTTTGTGTATTAATCCTACCAATATTTCACTGGATAAATGGATCCCAAATTCAGATAACAAACTTTTATTTCTGATTAGATTAATATTGATTTAAACAATGAAATGTTTGGTTTTGATTTTTTCTCTGTTTAAAAAGGATAATACTTAAGTTAATTATAGTCCTAATAAAATAAAACATACATTGTTTTTAAAGCAAGCTTTGTATTTACCAATTCTAATAGTAATATCAACAATTTAAATGTACCATTAGATATAATAAAATGCTAAAGGTAAGAATTGTAAGGAATGAACTGCTTTGATTTTAGCAAATTGTCTAACCCTTAGCTAGTTCTAAAAGACCATTAAAGTATTTTTTCTTACATAAAATTATTTGTTTATAAATGCTAAGATGTTGATTTTATTAAGACTTCAATTCCAGATAATTGTGCTGATGAATAAACAATAAATTAATTAATAAATGCTTCTCCCTTTAAATTTTAAATAAAAACATAAATTTCTTAATTTAACATAACCGCAAATCAAATTTAATAGTAATATCAGAATTAAGTATTAATTAACACTGCTAATACTTTCATGTATAATGAGTTAAAAATTCAAAACTAAGTTACTTCAGTTTAGTAAGGTCTGATAGTTTAAGATTAACAAACATTTTCATCCCCATTATCATAATAACTTATCACTTACACCCATGACCGTAACCAAATTATATAAGACACTGGTCTTTAATGTATAAGTGAAATTATAATTGATGTAGATGAAAGCTAAGCCTACTTTCACATACAATTTCCAATTTTTACAGAAGTTTTAGCGCTTTGCAATAGCTCATTAGCAATGTTACTGCTTTTAGGTTCATTTTGTAGGAAACTGGCATAAAACTTTATTAGAAGAGACATTTTTTTTATCTTAATGAAGGACTTCTTTTCAGGAACATATTTAAATATCATGTAGAATAATCAAATTGTTAATCTAAATAATTAAACTTAATAAAATGAAATTACTCTTAATGAATAAGATGAAGAAAAATTAAATAAAAATTATGATGAATAACATAAAAAAAATATATTTATTCCATCTTTAATTCCTAAATCTAGCAGAAAATTATTTTAATAAGAGCAGCTATGTGACTCATAAAATACATGTTAAGACTAGGTATTAGAAGAATTACAAACTTAAATCTAAAAACCAGATGATTTTTTAGAATCATTAAGAATTAATTAAGATAAGATAATAAATAAGTAAATCAACTTAGATAAATAACCAGATTATTAGATTAGACTAAATTTAAATAAGTCTAATCAAAATGAAAAAAATTATACTCAAAGTGTAATTAGAAATATTTAATAATAATAATAATAATAATAATAATAATAATTCTAATTATTTACGAAAGATTCTAGTAGCAAGTTTGCAAATGGAGTATCTATACCCCATAAACACTTAAATAAATAAAATAAAACGAGTTAATCGAATTAATTAAAAACTTAAGAAAGTGAGACTAAGAATATTAAAAAACAAAATGAGAAAGTAAATAAAATATTTTCAAATTTGAATGATAAATAAGTTCATCTAAAGCTTGAAAAGATGCTCTTTTAATTTAAGTAAGCCAATTTTTATTTTAATCAGTAAAATCTAATGTTAAAAAGAAATCTCAATTTTTGAGTTGAATAATTAAAACTTTTATTTATATTCTTTATTTTATTTATTTTCATTTAAATAATATTTTATGACTAAAATAAGAGAATTTAATAAATTATTATTGTGATAGGTTGTGTAAGAAAAAAGAGTTTCTATAATCTAAAGGACTGAACTAATAGATTATTAGTGAAATTGAGTAGCGGATAGATGAAAGTTTAGATTATTATGCATTTTATAAAGAAATTTTGTTAATAAAGAAAGCTATTATGATGATTTTAAATAAATAGTAACTTGCTGCATTATAAGTAATTGGTATTGATATTGAAAAAAAAAGTAAAAATTAGGAAAACTCAAAGATGAATTATTTATCAGGTATTATCTAATTTATTTATAATTTTTTATTAAAAAAAATTTAATTAAATTAAGAGGAAAAAACTGAAAATCATTTCAAGGAGTAGTATGAAATTCTTTAATCAAAAGAATTGTAATTATAATATATTAATGATTTCTTAAAAAAATGTGAGTAAAATAGATAAAATTTGGATAATATTGACAAAAGAATTTTATCTTCCTTGTTAATTTATTAGTAAAATTGATTAATTTATCTCAGATTACTTAAAATTATGTTTTGTAAAATTAATTACTTAATTTATGTTTTGTTATAACATTTTTTAAAATAATAAATTCTAAGTTATTTTAAAACTAATAATACCAAAATTAAATGTTATTAATATCTCATATTTTTTTGTTTAAAAAAATTTTTTTAATTTAACCAGAATATAAATTAAAAATTATTAAATATTTAAAAATAAAAAAAATAATTCTGAAATTGTTCAAATTTTTATTAAGTCTTAACTAGTCAGTCAATCATCATTGTTTGCTGAAGAACGAGTATATATATTGTTTTTTTATGATCTTAAAATTTATTTTCAACTATCATAACAGTTTTTTAATATTGAGTTGGAAAAACAATATTTAATATTATAAATTAATAACTTAGAAATTTCTAAAATTTTTAGTAAATTAATAAAGTAAAAGCAAACTAAATAGACATAAAAATAAGTAGAGATTTAAATGAAAATAGTAGAATATTTAAAAGATTTTGACATCTTCTCAGAGTCAATTTAGTTTAACGCTAATAAATAAAGGTTAAGAAAAAGGACTATTTTAGGTTCAATTTTAACAATATCAATTATCTTAATAACTCTAATTTATTTTGTGTATTAATCCTACCAATATTTCGCTGGATTGATGGACCCTAAATTCAGATAACAAACTTTTATTTCTGACAAAATTACAATTGATTTAAACAATGAAATGTTTGGTTTTGATTTTTTCTCTGTTTAAAAAGGATAATACTTAAGTTAATTATAGGCCCAATAAAATAAAACATATTTAGTTTTTAAAGCAGTTTTTGAATATACAAATACTAATAGTAGTAGCAACAATTTAAATGTACCTTTAGACATAATTAAATGCTAAAGGTAAGATTTGTAAGGATTGAGCTGCTTTGATTTTAGCAAATTACCAAATCCTTAGCTAATTCTAGAAGATCATCAAAGTATTTTTTCTTTCATATTATTAATGGTTTATAAATGCTAAGATGTTGATTAATTTAAAACTTCAATTCCAGATAACTGTGCTGACGAATAATCAATAAATTAATTTATCAATACTTCTCCCTTTAAATTCTAAATAAGAACATAAATTTCTTAATTTAATATAACTTCAAATCAAATTTAGTAGTAATATAAAAGTTAAATATTTTTAAATACTGCTAATACTTTCATGTATAATGAGTTAAAAATTCAAAACTAAGTTACTTCAGTATAGTAAGGTTTGATAGTTTAGGATTAACAAACATTTTCATCTCCATTATCATAATAACTCACCTCTTACTCATATAATCTCAACCAAGTTATATAAGAAACTGGTATTAAATGTATAAGTTAAATTGTAATTAATTTAGATGAAAGCTAAACTTACTTTCACATACAATATCCAATTTTTACAGAGGTTTTAGCACTTTGCAATAGTACATTAACAATGCTACTGCTTTTAGGGTCTTTTTCTAGGAAACTAGCATAAAAATTTATCAGAAGAGACATTTTTTTTATCTTAATGAAGCACTTCTATTCAGGAACATATTTACAGATCATGTAGCATAATCAAATTGTCAATCTCAAAAATTAAACTTAATTAAGTGAAATTATTCATGATGAATAAGCTGAAGAAATGTTTAATAAAAATTATGAAGAAGACAATTAAAAAAATATATTTATTCCATCTTTATCGCCAAAATCTTGCAAAAAACTATTTTAATAGCATCAAACTAACTATACATAAAATACATGTTAAGACTAAGTGTTAGAGGAGTTACAAACTTAAAACTAAAAAAAAGATGATCTCTTAGAATCATTAAGAATTTATTAAGATAATATAATAAACAAGTAAGACAATTTAGATAAATAATCAGATTATTAGATCAGACTAAATTTAAATAAGCCTGATTAAAATGAAAAGAATTATGCTTAAAGTGTAGTTAGAAATATTTAGCAATAATAATAACAATAATTCTAGTTATTTATGAAAGATTCTACTAACAAACTTGTAAACAGAGTATCTATAACCCCTAAATGCTTAACTAGATAAAATAAAGCGAGTTAATCAAATTAATTTGAAGCTGAAGAAATTGAGACTAAGAATTTTAAAAATAAAAATGAGCAAGTAAATAAAATATTTTCTAATTTGAATGATAAATCAGTTCATCTAAAGGTTGAAAAGATGCTCTTTTAATTTAAGTAAGCCAATTTTTATTTTTATCTGTAATATTTAATGATAAAAAGAAATCTCAATTTTTGAGTTGATTCATTAAAACCTTTATTTTTATTCTTTATTTTATTTATTTTCATTCAAATAATTTTTTAATGATTAAAGTAATTTAATAAATTATGATAGGTTGTGTAAGAAAAAAGAGTTTCTAAAATCTAAAGGATTGAAAGAATAGATTATTAGTGAAATTGAGCAGCGGATAGATGAAGGTTTAGATTATTATGAATTTTATAAAGATATTTTGTTAATAAAGAAAGCTATTATGATTATTTTAAGTAAATAATAGCTTGCTGCATTATAAGTAATTGGAATTGATTTGGAAAAACAAAGCAAAAATTAGGAAAACTCAAAGAGGAATTATTTATCAGGTATTATCTAATTTATTTATAATTTTTTATTTTAAAAATTTACTTATTAAAATAAGAGGAAGCAACTGAAAATCACTTCAAGGAGCAATATGAAATTCTTTAATCAAAAGAATTATAATTATAATATATTAATGATTTCTTAAAAAAATGTGAGTAAAATAGATCAAATCTGGATAATATTGACAAAAGAATATTATCTTCCTTATTAATTAATTAGTGAAATTGATTAATTAAGCTAAAATTATTCAAAATTAAGCATTGTAAAATTAATTACCTAATTTTTATTTTGCGATATTATTTTTTAAATAATAAATTCTTAGCCATTCTATTATTGTAAATTTAAAATTAAATTATATTGATGAATAAATGTTTTTTTTATTTTGATTAGAGTATTGAATATTTAAAATAGTTTAAATTATAGTTAAATTTAATTTATTTATTAAATATTTTAAAGAAAAGTTTTTAAATGTAATAAAATAGATATATTTTTTAAGAAATCAATTATTATAAAATAAACTTAATTTAAAAAACTCATTTTTTACAGAAATTAATTAGAGGGATGTAAAATGTTAATTCAGGTATGTGCTACTTTTCTACTTTTTGATTTAAATTTTTGATTTGTTCTAAATTATTCTTTTTCTGTAACGTCGCTGTTATTAAATTAGATTTTTTTCTTTGGCTTCCTAATTGCAATTCGTACGTATTACTCTAAATTATTTAATTATTCTGTTTTGTGATTATTTAAATGAACTCTTAAACAATCAATATCATTTAAATTTAGAAAAGAAATTTAAATTTTACAGGAAAAAATTATTCAGAATTTAATTGAAAATATACAAGCAAAGTAGAGATATAGGATAAAAGAAAAATAATGAAATTAGTTGAATTTTTCAAAGGTTTAGACTTATTTTCTGAACCTGTTCAATTCAATTCTAGTAGACAGAGATTCAGAAAAAGGACTTTTTTAGGTGCAATTTTAACATTATTAATTATCTTAATAACCATCATTTATTTTGTGTACTAATCCTACCAATATTTCACTGGATAAATGGATCCCAAATTTAGATCATAAACTTATGTATCATAAAATATTGATATCTAAGTTAACAATGAAATGTTTGGGTTTGATTTTTTAAATATTTACACAGGTTAAAACTTAAATTAAAAGTAAGAAAAATATAATAAAACATACTTAGTATTTGTTGGATATTTTGTTCTAACCAATGGCACTAACAATTAAATTGTATAGTTAGATGTAATAAAATGTTAAAGCCCAGAATTAGAAGGATTTAACTGCTTTGATTTTAGTAAAGTACCTAGCGCAGCTTTGGTATTATTAGATCGTAGCACAATTTTTTCTTACATAAATTTGCTTATTTACAGATGCTAAGATGTTGATTAATGGAAATCTTTTGTTCCTGATAATTGTGCAGATTAATAATCTGTAGATAACTTTATTAATCTAGAACCGTTTATGTTAAATGTTAAAACATAAGTTTCTTAATTTAATACAACTTCTCAGTAAATCGAATTTTAATATAGAACTTAGACCTTCATTAATTAAGTTAATACCTTCTCTTATAATGAGGTTAGGGTATAGAGTTAATAAACTAAAGTGTAATAAGGGTTTTTAATTTAATCTGAACAAAAATTTTCTTCACCCTATTCATATTCGTTGAAAAGTTAAGTTTATAATCGCGATTAAATGATAGAAGCAAAAGGCCTTTACTATTTTTGTTAAGTCTTCTTTATTTCAGATGAAAGCGTAACTTACTTTAATATATAATATCCAATATTTACAGAGGTCTTAGCACTTTGTAACAGTACTTTAGCCTTATTGCTACTTTTAGGATCTTATTGTAGAAGACTTGCATAGAATTTTATCAGAAGAGATATATTTTTTATTTTAATGAAGGATTTTTTTTCAGGAACATATTTAAATATCTTAGAACATAATAAAATAGTTGATATCAACATTTAAACTGAAGAAAATCTAATTCTCTAGGATGCATAAGCTAAAGAAAAGTGTATTGGAGATACCGAAGAGAATAATAAAAACTATATTATTCCTTGTTTAACACCAAAATCTAGCTAAAAAGTGTTTTAGTAATTTACATAAAATAATAATGAGATTGCAAATTAAGATTATGTAAAAGAAGCTACTGTATCTTCATTCAAATAAACAGATAAATTATTCGATTCATTAAGAATAAATGATGATAAAATATTGAATAAATAAATTAAATTAGATAACTCAGGTATTGAATTTTAAATGCCATTAAAACTCTAGAAATTTAATGAAAACGATTAAACTCCTAAAATATTTAGAAAGAAATATATAGTTCAGCAACCCTAGTAACAGATGAGAGATTCTAAAACCAGTCTCAAAAGGAATTAATCTATATTCAGCAAAAACGAAAACATAGATAAAGATTAATCAAATTTTACTAATGTTTAAGAAAAAAGTAATAAATATAATAAATATTCGATTAAGCAATTAAATTAGCACTTTTAAATGTTGAATGATAAATCTATGTAGTTAAAACTTGAATAAATAATTTATTAACCAAAGTAAATTAAATTCGTATATCAAACATAAAATATAAACACCAATTACAAAAAAATTTAAATTAAAAATATATTTGAATTTTTTCAAATTTAATCATTATTATTAATTATCTTTCTTGATTATTTTTTTAAAAGATATATAAAATAAATCATTTTTTATATCATAGGTGTATCAAAAGAAAGGAATTTCTAATTTCTAAAGGAGTGAAATAATAAATAATGAGTCATTTTGAAAAGAGTATTGATGATAGCTTAGATTTCTTTACATTTTATAAAGAAATTTTACTACTAAAGAAAGCTGTTATGATTTTATTAAACAAGGAATAACTTGCTGCATTATAGATTGTTGGAATGGATGCAGAAATAATAAATTAAAATAAGGAGAATATAACACTTACTAACTAATCAGGTATTGTTTTATTCTTTTATCAATATAAATAAATTTATCTAATATCAATATTATCAAAAATAAGACGAGATGTATGGAAACCACTTCAGAGAATAGTATGAACTGCTATAATCAAAAGAATTACAATTACAATATATAAATGACTTTTTAAAAAGATGTCAATACAACAATTAAAGTTTAGATAATTTAGATAAAAGAATTTTATCTTCATTACTAATAAATTAATGAAAGTTGTTTATATAAATTTAATTCTTTTCGACTATCAATAGCTTATTTGAATAAATTTGTAACAAAAGAGGAACACAAATAACATTAATTATTTCATTATCTTATTTTTACTTATTTTCAACAATAACAAGTGATTCAATAATATTAATAACTATAATTGTTTGTATTTTTTTTATATTATTGCTTGTCAGTATTTGTACTTGTTATTTAAATTTCCTTTATCATTTTTTAAAAACTTTTAAGTATTTGTGAATTAATTTTTTGCAGAAACTAATTAGAATGGTACAAAAGGTGAATTTGCACATATATTTGCTACTTTATACTTCAAATTTTTGATTTCTTCAAAATTGTTCTTTTTATGTAATGTAGTTTTTTCAGAAAATTTTTTGGATTCCTAATTTTGAAATGGGTAGATATTGCTATAAATTATTTATATATTCTTATTTGTGCTTATGAGTGAACTCTAAACAATCTTTATTTTTTAAATTTAGAAAAGACATTTAATTTTTACTGGTTAAATTATTTAGAATTAAAATTGAAATTGATAATAGACAAATAAAGTAGAGATAAAGAATAAAAGAAAAACTATGAAATTAGTAGAATTTTTTAAAGGTTTAGACTTATTTTCTGAGCCTGTTTAATTCAATTCTAGTAGATAAAGATTCAGAAAAAAGGCATCATTAGGTGCATTTTTAACAATATTGATAATTACTATAACTTTAATTTATTTTGTATATTAATCATATTAATATTTCATTGGATAGATGGACCCTAAATTTAGATCATAAACTTATATATCAGAAAGTATTGATATCAAAGTTAACAATGAAATGTTTGCGTTTGATTTTTTAAATATTTACACAGGTTAATACTTAAATTAAAAGTAAGAACAATATAATAAAACATATATTGTACTTGTTGGAAATTTTTTTCTAACCAATGGTACTAAAAATTAAATTATATAGTTAGATATAATATGTTAAAACCCAGAGTTAAAAGGATTAAATTGCTTTAATTTTAGTAAACTACCTAACGCAGCTTTGGTATTATTAATTCTCGATTTAATTTTTTCTTACATAAATTTGCTTGTTTATAGATGCTAAGATGTTGATCAATGGAAATCTTTTGTTCCTGATAATTGTGCAGATTAATAATCAGTAGATAATTTTATTAATCAAGAACCTTTTATGTTAAATGTAAAAATATAAGTTTCTCAATTTAACACAACTTCACAGTAAAACGAATATTAATACAGAACTTAGACCTTCATTAATTAGGTAAATACCTTCTCTTATAATGAGGTAAGGGTATAGAGTTAATAAACTAAAGTGTAATAAGGCTTATTAATTCAATCTGAACAAAATTTTTCTTCGCCCTATACGCATTCTTTGAAAAGTTAAGTATATATCGTGATTAAATGATAGAAGCAAAAGGTATTTAATATTTTTGTCAAGTCTTCTTTATTTCAGATGAAAGTGTAACTTACTTTAAAATATAATACTCTTTATTTACAGAGGTTTTAGCACTTTGTAACAGCACTCTAGCCTTATTGCTACTTTTAGGATCTTATTGTAGAAGGCTTGCATAAAATCTTATCAGAAGAGATATATTTTTTATTTTAATGAAAGTTTTTTTTCAGAAACATATTTGAATATTTTAGAACATAATAAAATAGTTGATTTCAACATTTAAAATTTAGAAAAACTTTTTATTTAGGATGAAAAAACTAAAGAAAAGTGTATTGGATATATTGAAGAAAATAAAAAAATTCTATTCTTCCTTGTTTAACACCAAAATCTGGCTAAAAAGTATTTTAATAACTTCTATAAAATAATGATGAGAATTAAAATTTAAAAAAAGATACTGTAGCATCAGTCAAATAAACAGATAAATTTTTAGATTCATTAAGAATAAATGATGATAAAATATTGAACAAAAAAATTTAATTAGAAAAATAAGGTATTAACTTTTATATGACATTCAAGTTCTCAAAATTAATTGAAAATGATTAAACTCCTAAAATATTTAGAATGAAATAATTAATTAGTTCAGCAATCTTAGTAACAATTAAAAGATTCCAAAATCAGTCTAAAAAGGAATTAATCTATCTTAAGTAAGCATGAAAACATAGATAAAGATTAATTAAATTTTACTGGCGTTTAAGAAAAAAGTAAAAAATGTATCAAAATTCAATTAAGCAATTAAATTAGCATTTTTAAGCATTGAATAATAAATCCATGCAGTCAAAGCTCGAATAAATATTCTTTTAACCAAAGTAAATTAAACTCCTATATTAAGCATAACTCAATCATACAACATTTTAACTAAAAAAATATTTGAATTTTTTCAAAGTTAATCTTTAATATAAATTATCTTTAATAATTTATTATTTTTTTTAAAAAGAAGTTATAAAAAAATCATTATTAAAATAATATGTTTATTAAAAGAAAGGAATTTCTATCTTCTAAAGGATTTAAATAATAAATAATAAGTCAAGTTGAAAAAAATGTTGATAATAGCTTAGATTTCTTTTCATTTTATAAAGAAATTTTACTACTAAAGAAAACTATTAGGATTTTATTAAACAAGGAATAACTTGCTGCCTTATAGATTGTTGGAATGGAGGCAGAAATAGTAATCTAAAATAAGGAGAATATAACACTTACTAACTAATCAGGTATTGTTTTATTCTTTTATAAATATAAATAAATTTATCTTATATCAATATTATCAAAAATAAGAGGAAATATATGGAAACCACTTCAGAGAATAGAATGAACTGTTATAATCAAAAAAATTACAATTACAATATTTAAATGATTTTTTAAAAAGATGTCAATACAATAATTAAAGTTTAGACAACTTAGATAAAGAATTTTATCTTAATTATTAATATATTAATGAAAGTTATTTATGTTTAATAAAGTAATTATTTTAAAAAAAAATATTTTTTATTAAACTAATCCTCTATGACTATCAATAATTTATTTGAATAAATTACTAAGAAAAGATGAAAACAAAGAATATTAATTATTTGATTATCATAATTTTACTTATTTTCAACAATGACAAGTAGAATCAATAATATTAACAATTAATTATCGTTTTAATATTTTTTTATTTTGTTGTTATTCAGTACTTGTTGTTTAAATTTCCTTAATACTTTAATACAGTCATTTTTTTAAAAAATTTATAAATAGTTGTTAAGATTTATATGTAATTTAATAATATTAGTAAAGTAGAGATAATAATAATAAGTAAAAAAATAATGAAATTAATAGAATTTTTAAAAGATTTAGACATTTTTTCTGAGACTGTTTAATTCAATGCGATTAGATAGAGACTGAGAAATAGGACATTAGAGGGAGCATTATTAACAATATCAATATTTGTTTTAACTTTCGCTTATTTTGTTTATCAATCTTTTAGATATTTTGATGGGTAAATGGATCCTAAATTTAGGTCATAAACATTTGTATCAAATGATATTAGCTTCCAATTAAATAATGAAATGTTTGGTTTTGATTTTTTTTCTGTTTATACAGGTTAATTTCTAAATTAAAGAGAGACAGAGTAAAATAAAACTTACATAGTATATGTAGGAAGATATGTGATTACAAATGGTGCTAATAATTAAATTATTTAATTAGATGTAATCAATTGCAAAAGCCCAGAATTGAAAGGAATGAAATGTTTTGATTTTAGTAAAATATCTAATCCAAGTTTAGTATTAACTAATCATGATTAAACATTTTCTTATTTAAATTTATTTATCTACAAATGCAATGATATTGATCAGTATAAATAATTTGTCCCAGATAACTGTGCTGAGGAATAATTAATAGACAACTTTCTTACTTATGAGCCATACAATTTAGCTATAAAAACATAAATTTCATAATATAACACAACTTCATAGCAAGTAGAATATCAGTATAAAAGCTAGACAATTATAAATTCACCCACTACGGTATTGAATAATGAGTTAAAAATATAAAATTAAGTCACTAAAGTTTGGAAAGGACTTGTAGTTTAATCTGAATCAACTTTTTCTAGTCCTTTCTCATAAACAATGAACAGCTAATCATTTGACCGCAAGTAAATTTAATAAACGATTGGTTATTAGTTTTTGACTTAAGTTACATTTAATGTTGATGAGTAAGTAACTTATTTCACAATATAATATCCCGTTTTTGCAGAAGTTCTAGCCCTTTGCAACAGTGTTTTAGCTCTATTATTGGTAACAGGTACATTTTGCAGAAAAATAGCCCAAAATCTTATTAGGCGAAATATTTTTTTTATTCTAATGAAGGAATTCTTTTCAGGAACGTATTTAAATATCTTATAACATAACAAGATTATAACTCTTCACAACTAAACTGAAGAAATGAAAAATATTAATGAAGAGTAGACTTAAGAAAATTAATTGAAAAGTGATGATGAAAACAAAAAAAATATCATACTTCCATTGTCTATTACGAAGCCTGGTAAAGCAGTCAATCTAAAAAAGTAGGCAAATTATGCAAAAAATGTAAAATAAGATCATAATAAAGAAGACTCTGGATCAATAGCTAAATAAGCAGATGAATTTTTAGAATCTTTAAGAACTAATGAAGACAAAATAATCAAGAAAGAAATAAACTTAGACAAGGATACCATCTTTTAGGCTCCACCAAATTAAACAAAATTATATGAAAATCATATTGATAATGAAAACGAAAAAGAATAAGTCCCAAGTGTATTTAGTAGCAAATCATAACAAAAACAATTCTAACTCTAAGTAAAAGATATCAATTATGAGCTCATAAAAGGTATTTCTAATACTCCTAAATGCAAAAATGTGTTAAATTAAGCTGATTAATTGAATTATAATCAAGTTTAAGAATATGAAAAAAATATAAACAAAAACAATAGTTAGCAAATAAACAAAAGTTTTTAAAGTTTGAATGATAAATCTTTTCAGTAAAAACTTCAAAACCTGCTCTTCAAAACTAAGTAAATAAATTTTACAATTCAATTGAAAAATTTCATTAATTATCTAAATTTTAAACCTAATTTAAGTTTACAAAAACAAAAGCTTTAATTTTCTTATTACCTAGACATAGACTTTAAAAATGTTTTGATAATTAAATAAAAATTTATTCAAATATAAATAAAATTAATAGGTTATTTAAAAGAAAAGAATTTTTAGAATCTAAAGGACTGAAGTAAAAAATAATTAGCGAATTTGACTAGTAAATTGATGATAGTTTAGACTTCTATACTTTTTATAAAGAAATTTTGTTACTAAAGAAAGCAATAATGATTTTGTTAAATAAAGAGTAATATGCAGCTTTACAGGTTATAGGAATTGATATAGAAAAATTAAATCAAAATTTTGAAAAAAACATAATGGTTAATTAGAAAGGTATTAATTATTTTAGCTATTTACTTTTATTTATTTAAGCTTTTATTTATTAAAACTAGAAGAAAATAATGCAAACCACTTCAAAGATTAATATGAAATATAGCAATCAAAAAAGCTGCAATCATATTATATTAATAACTTTTTGAAAAGATGCCAAGAGAATAGATAAAATTTAGATGTTATTGATTAGAGAATATTATCTTCATTATTAATAAATTAGTAAAATTGAAAGAAAGAAATAATCTTATAAAATAAATGAAAAAATTTATCATAAAATTTTTGTATTCAATTATATATAATTAAATAACCATAATAGATTTTTAAATATTTTAAATTCGAATAAATAACTTTAACATTTATAAATTTTAAATTAAAATTAATAACATAAATATTGAATATAGTTTTAAACAATGTAAAAATCCATCAACAATAACCATATTTCTCTCTAAGAGTTGAATTATTTTACAGATGAGAAGTAATTAAATTTATTACTTAATGCTAAAAACTATTAAAAATTCTAATTTTTTCATTTTGTTTTTAACTTTCTTTTTTTATCTTAAATTGACAGCAGTTTTTTAAAATATTTTGCTCATTTTTTCACGAGATTTTCATAATTATTTTTATTTGATGAAGAAATTTAAAAAAACTCTTGATGGTTATTATTAAAATAAAATTTTTTTTTTGTATTATTTGTTTTTTTTTTGGAAACAAATGAATTTGTACGAATTTTAATAAAAAAATTTAAATACCCACCTAAAAGCTTGTAAATAATCTTAAATAAATTATAATATTAAATTTCACTTATTGTAAATTGAAATGACATTTTACGCTAGCTAACACATAAATTTTTTATTTGACTTCCAAATTTTTAAATGACTACATTTTGCTTTAAATTATTTAGCTATTCAGTTTGCGCTTGTTTGAATGAACTCCTAAACAATCTTGATTTTTAAATTTAGAAAAGACATTTAATTTTTACAGGAAAAAATTATTCAGAATTTAATTGATAATAGGCAAACAAAGTAGAGATAAAGAATAAAAGAAAAGCAAACAATGAAATTAGTAGAATTTTTTAAAAGTTTAGACTTATTTTCTGAGCCTGTTTAATTCAATTCTAGTAGACAGAAATTCAGAAAAAGGACTTTTTTAGGTGCAATTTTAACATTATTAATTATCTTAATAACTATCATTTATTTTGTGTATTAATCCTACCAATATTTCACTGGATAAATGGATCCTAAATTTATATCATAAACTTATGTATCATAAAATATTGATATTTAAGTTAACAATGAAATGTTTGGGTTTGATTATTTAAATATTTACAATGGTTAATACTTAAATTAATTATAAGAGCAATAAAATAAAACATATATTGTATTTGTTGGAGCTTTTCTTCTAACTAATGGTACAAAGAATGAAATTATATATTTAGATATAATAAAATGTTAAAATCCAGAATTAAAAGGATTAAATTGTTTTGATTTTAGTAAAATACCTAGCGCAGCTTTGGTATTATTAAATAATGACACAATTTTTTCTTACATAAATTTGCTTCTTTTCAGATGCTAAGATGTTGATTCATGGAAATCTTTTGTTCCTGATAATTGTGCAGATTAACAATCAATAGATAATTTTATTAATCTAGAACCTTTTATGTTAAATGTAAAAATATAAGTTTCTTAATTTAACACAACTTCGCAGTAAATCGAATATTAATATAGAACTTAGACCTTCATTAATTAGGCAAATACCTTCTCATATAATGAGATAAGGGTATAGAGTTAATAAACTAAAGTGAAATAAGGTTTTTTAATTTAATCTGAACAAAAATTTTCTTCACCCTATTCATATTAGTTGAAAAGTTAAGTATATAACCGCGATTAAATGATATAAGCAAAAGGTATTTAATGTTTTTGTCAAATCATCATTATTTCAGATGAAACTGTAACTTACTTTAAAATATAATACCCAATATTTACAGAGGTTTTAGCACTTTGTAACAGTACTTTAGCCTTATTGCTACTTTTAGGATCTTATTGTAGAAGGCTTGCACAGAATATTATCAGAAGAGATATATTTTTTATTTTAATGAAGGATTTTTTTTCAGGAACATATTTAAATATCTTAGAACATAATAAAATAGTTGATACCAGCATTTAAACTGAAGAAAATCTAATTCTCTAGGATGCATAAGTTAAAGAAAAGAGTATTGGAGATACCGAAGAAAATAATAAAAATTCTATTCTTCCTTATTTAACACCAAAATCTAACTAAAAAGTATTTTAATAAAATAATGATGAGATTGCAGATTAAGATTATATAAAAGAAGATACAGTAACATCAGTCAAATAAACAGGTAAATTTTTAGATTAGTTAAGAATAAAATATTGTACAAATAAATTAAATTAGATAGCTCGGGTATTGACTTTTAAATGCCAATGAAACTCTAAAAATTTAATGAAAATGATTAAACTCCTAAAATATTTAGAAAAAAATATTTAGTTCAGCAACCTTAGTAACAAATGAGAGATTCTAAAAACAGCTAAACAAGGAATCAATATGTATTCAGTAAACATGAAAACATAGATAAAGATTAATCAAATTTTAATAATGTTTAAGAAAAAAGTAAAAAATATAATAACTATACTATTAAGCAATTAAATTAGCACTTTTAAACGTTGAATGATAAATCTATGCAGTTAAAACTTGAATAAATAATCTATAAACCAAAGTAAATTAAATTCGTATATCATACATAAAATATAAACATCAATTACACAAAAATTTAAATCAAAAAAATATTTGAATTTTTTCAAAATTTATCATTGTTATTAATTAATTTTTTTGATTACTTTTTTATATTAGATATAAAATAAATCATTTTTTAAATAATAGGTGTATCAAAAGAAAGGAATTTCTATCTTCTAAAGGATTAAAATAAAAAATAATAAGTGATTTTGAAAAGAGTGTTGATGATAGCTTAGATTTCTTCACATTTTATAAAGAAATTTTACTACTAAAGAAAGCTATTATGATTTTATTAAACAAAGAATAATTTGCTGCCTTATAGATTGTTGGAATGGATGTAGAAATAATAAACTAAAACAAGGAAAATAAAGCACTTACTAACTAAACAGGTATTGTTTTATTTGCATTTAAATATAAATAAATTTACCTTATATCAATATAATCAAAAATAAGAGGAAAAATATGGTAATCACTTCAGAGAGTAGTATGAACTGTTATAATCAAAAGAATTATAATTATAATATATAAATGACTTTTTAAAAAGATGTCAATACAACAATTAAAGTTTAGATAACTTAGATAAAAGAATTTTATCTTCATTACTAATAAATTAATGAAAGTTATATATATAAACTGAATTCCTTTCGAATATCAACAGCATATTTGAATAAATTGTGAACAAAAAGATAAAAACAATCTCATTATCTAATTTCTACTTATTTTCAAGAATAATAAGTAGAACCAATAATATTAATAACAATAATTGTATTAGTATTTTTTTAAAACTATTGTTAATCAGTACTTGTTACTTAATTGTTATTTAAATTTCCTTAATACTTTAATAAAGTCATTTTTTTAAAAATTTTTGAAATAGTTGTTAAGATTTATATGTAATTTAATAATAATAGTAAAGTAGAGGTAATAATATTAAGAAGAAGAAAAAATAATGAAATTAATAGAATTTTTAAAAGATTTAGACATTTTTCAGAGACTGTTTAATTCAATGCTATTAGATAGAGACTGAGAAATAGAACATTAGAAGGAGCATTATTAAAAATATCAATATTTATTTTAACCTTCATTTATTTTTTTTATCAATGATTTAGATATTTTGATGGTTAAATGGATCCTAAATTTAGATTGATAAACAGTAGTTTTTAAAAATATTTTGCTCGTTTTGCCATTAGATTTTCATAATTATTTTTATTTGATGATGAATAAAAACTATTGGTGGTTATTATTAAAATAAAATTTTATTTTTTGTATAATTTTTTTTTTTGCTAACTCAATAAATTGATGAAAAATATAAAAATAAAATTATTTTTAGAAACCTCCTTCTCAAAATTTCAAGAAAAGCTTTTTATTTAAAAATTTAATTATTTATTTTTTGAATTTAATAGCATTTAATACTTTTATATTTTTTCTTTAATTTTAAAATTAAAAATACATTTAAATATAGTTCAAATTTGAGTATTTACCAAATCGGAGGTGTTATTTATTTAATATGTAACCTGAGATCTTTGTAAATAATAAATTTTTAATTTAGTAATAAATATTACCTTTGTTTAAAAATTAATAAGCTGTGCAACTTGCCTTTAGTATTAGAGTAATCGAAGAAATAGATTTATCTTTTATTAAGGATGTTAGTAATACTATTCTTTCATGTCATGATAATTTACATTCTCCTTAATTAGCTATATATATTAATTCTAAGATGGTTACAAAAAAATATATAAAGACGGACTCTATTAGTGAAATAAATTAATTTTTAGCTATTCTAAAATTAATAATAACAAAATTAAATGGCATCAATATCTTTTATTTTTTAACTAAAAAATAAAATTAATTTAAAAAACCTTTCCAATATTAACTATTTTGTTTTATCAAAATAATTTATATTTTGATCAACAAGATATATATTAGACTATTTTAGGATATTATTATACAATAAAAGTTATAATTTTAGAGAAATGTTTTTATTTATTTTAGATATATTTTTTAAAATAAAGAATCTATAATTGTAATAGACAAAACAAAGAAATTTATTTTCATTTTCAATAATTAATTTAATTTGATTTTTAAAACTATTGGTAAATAAATGTGAGAATGACTATCAGCATATCCAAAAATGTATTTATAATTCCATATTTTATAATTTAATTTTACTTTCAAATCTTATTTTATTTTGACAAAAGCCTTATTAATTATTTAAATCCATATTTAAAAATATTATTTCTAGTAAATAATTTATTATTTTGTTGATTTGAGATAAGTGAGTTGAGATTAATTAGAATATTGTTTATATTACATTACGTGTAAAAAACTAGTCAATTTAATTAATAAATTGATTATATAATATATAGTTAATAACATAATAAAATAAGATAATAGTAAGAAAAATATGGATATTATCAATATAGAGTCATGCTAAAAGCATAAGAAAAAGCCATACACTTATATTCAAGTTAATAGGATTTAAAAAAATAAATCTATTTACTATTGTGATGATTGCGCTTTTTAAGATAAAGATTTTAAGCTGCAAAATTTTGTAAAAATAGATTAAATTTTGGACTATTAAAAATACCATGTTATTAATAGTTGGCCTCCTATGGAAGATGACAAGGTTTAAAGGAAATTATCTAAAATTATAAGCGAGAGCGAAGATAAAAATGAGAAAATTTGTAAATAAATAGAATAATACTTTGATTCTTTCATATAAAGCATAAATTAAAATATTATTCAATGTAAAAAAAACTTACTAACTTCTATTCAAAATAGTTAAATAAGCTAATTTAAAATTATCGAGACTTATAAAGAAATAAGCTAAGTTGATAAGCTAAAAGAAATAATAAATTAAGATGTTTCAATTGAAAAAAAGTAAGAAAATTTAATCTAAATAATAGAATAATTTCAAAACTAAAAAGAATTTAATTAATAAATAATCTGTGACTTAGTCTAATAATACAAAAATTTAGATTAAAATGTCAAATTTAACAATATTGATTATGCTTTTAACTAAATAAATTGGATTATAAATTAAATCCCTGATTTTTTTAATTCATCCTTAAGTGAATTTAAGCTTAAATTTTTAGAATAAGCATCTCTTGATGACTATTAATCTGATAATGAAAAGTAATTTGCATAAGATTTAAAATTAATAAATTAAAAATATCAGCAAGTTGAAAATGCATAAATAAATTTAGAGAAACAATAATAAAATGCAGTTTCTAAAGCAAAATAAATTGTAGAGTAAAGTAACCATATAATAAAAAACTCTATAAAATAATTATAAGATATGCTTGTTAATAATAATTCAATTGAAATGCCAGAAGATTTGATAAACAAGTAAGATTTCTAATTCATTAAAAAGAGTGAAATTTTATCTAAATTCGAGTTGACTTTATCTTAGTATGACCCATAAGAATATTAACCAATTTTATCTAAAAATTAAAATTCTGGTTAAATTACAATAAATAATAATTCGGATGATAGCTAAATAGATTACTATTCAACCAAAATACTAAACCCAAATGCCTTATACTTAATTAAAATAAAATTAAAATCAAACCTAAATAAATATGGACTTTTTGAAGTTGGATTAATAAGAGATTCTGAAAAAGATAAAAAATATTGTTATGAAGAGAAAATGTGCTTTTCTTATGTCTACAAATAAATAGAAAACTAATTCTAACTTGCTTAGGATATGGATTCAATTTAAAAAAATTAGCATGGAGATTTTATTATAAAATAGCAAGAACTGTCTTTACTAATTAAAATACAAATAAACGAAGGTACTTTGTAAATAGAGACTTTACCTAACAAAAGCAACCTTTTGAAAATAGCTGGAAGTAATTAATAAATTATTAAAACAAACAAAGATTTTAGACTATTTTTTGGACTTTGTGGGCAAATAGAGCTTAACATTTAATCGATATAAAAATTCAAATAATTTTGATTAAATATGCCTATATTAATTACTAGAAAAAAATATATATTCGAAATTAAAAAGGCTTTCTATTTCTTGTATTTAACATTCTATTTTCTATGAAATTTCTAATTTTAATACTTTTATTTTGAATTCATTGTGTGTGTTTCTTTATTGTTTTATTATTTTAATATTTAAAAGTAAGCAATAAAACCAAATATTATTTACCTATATTTATTTATTCTTATTTTATCATATTCATTAAATATTTATCAAATAAAATAATTTTTATAGATGAAATTTTTATTATTTATTTATTAAATTATAAATATTTAATTATTAAAATTTATTATATATAAAAATTGAATAAAGAAATTGATAATCTTTAGTTATTAAGTGTCTGTCTAGCCTTTTTAAATAGAATAATCTAATTTTCCTTTTGTTAATTAAAATTTATATTACCATGTGCTTATTAGACTTTTAATTTTTGATTTCGAAAATCTATGAGAATATTTTAGATTTTATGCACTACCAAATAACCTTTTCTTTTCTAAGATTAATTAATTTTCTTTTATTTTAGTCTAGATAAAAAGATGGTATCAAAACCATTATGATGAATTTCTTAAGCTAGAGTTTATTCATTTAAAAAAAATTGTATTCTTAATTCTCTTAAAAAATTACTATTTGAAACTAGCTTTTACATTTTTATTCAAACAAATAATTAAAACTACATTTCATCCATCAATAAATTTCGATATTTTGATTTTACTTTTTGAATTCATTAATAAACACAATTGTACTATAATATTTTTATAGTGTTAGAAGAATTGCTTTTAATTATATTTAATTATTTTGATTAATTTGTTCTAATAATTCAAAAAAAAAGAGAAAAACAAAAACTAAAAGAATAATAAATTAGAGATTTTTAAAGAAAAAAATGAGGGTATCTCTTTTTTTAATGCTTATTCTTACTCTTATAATTAGATAAGCAATAACAAAAGAGTGGTGTAGCATAAAAAATTGCTTATTATGTAGTTAAGACGAGAGTAGATGCATTGAATGTGAAAACCAATTTCATTTGAGCAATAACGGATTGAACTGTAAAAGATGTTCTATAAATTGCTAAAGTTGTACAGAATCAAAATGCATTTAATGTAAAAAGGAATTTACACAGGATGAAAACGATCTTACATAATGCATAAAACATAGTTTTAATTCAGAATACAAGAATAAAAGCATGAGCCGTAAGCTTGATGAAGAATAAATTGTAATAGATTCTGGTTGCCATTATACATGTTAGAAGTGCTTGCAGAAGGGTCAAGAAAGTTTTTGTACATCTTGTCCTAAGAGTAGATATTTAGACTAATTTTAAGGACACGACTATGGTAGATGTTTGTGCATATCATAAGGCTAAATAGATACAGGTACATCTGAATGCTAAGATTCAGGTAATTTTGTTAAATTAGAAACCATCTTTAAATTATATTATTTATTACTAGTAATCATAACAATAAATTATAACCTGAAATTAAAATATCAGTCTTAAACCCCAAAATCATTTATTCATTCAGAAATCAAACATTTATGATTATTTATCAAAGCTAACAATAAACACTTATTTAATTTTTTTACCACAAAAATTTCAAAATTTATTTGAAACTTTAATTACATAAATTAAAAGGTTTTGGGATCGATTCTTTTAACATTTTATCTTATGTAATCTAAGGCTTATTCATCCCTACTGTAATATTAACATCAATAGCGGGAGCAAATGGAACCTTTCTTTTTCTTTTAGTAGAAACTGCATAATCCTACAATATGCTTCTTTATTTAAATTCTCATAATTTGGGAAATATGGATTAATTTCTAGAATCATTTAAGTTCTCGCATTTGGATAAGTACTTTCCTCCAATAATTAATTCAGTTTACAAATATTTCTATAAGCAATAACCTATAAATGGAAATCCAAAAATTTTATTTGATAGCTACAACTCAGATAACACTTTAACAAATAATTGGATGTATTTATCTCTTATGACACTTTTTGCAATAATTACTTGCATTCTTAACAAAATTAAGCCAGATTACAGTTCTAATCAGCAAGTCATTGTGAAATGGACATCATATATGACGTTTAGTCTTCCCTTAATATATTTCTATACAACCTTTTAATCTATTATGATGTAAACTATTTATACATTTTCTTGCTTCAACGACACCAACAAACTCTCTTAAGCGGGATTAGCGTTTAGCTTCTTGTAATTCTTTTATATGATAGGAGTTGCTATTTTTTTATGCTTTATTATTGTTAAATAAATTAAAAATAAGTGGTTTTATTTATTTAATCATGTACTTTAGAATGAAAAAACATCATAGAGACTGTTTATAGTTTGGTAGTTTTTGAAAAAAATCCTAGTTGCTTCAATCGTTGTCGGTATATATTACTCATCTACAACATAAGCAACTCTTCTATTTTTAATTTAAATCATTAATGAGCTTTATATTTAACTTTTTAAACCTTTACAGAATTAAGATAAGCTAATAAGAAGAAAATTTATAATTGCTCATTAGATAATCTTAGTTTTAGTTCATTTCTTATTTGTTTTTAAGCAATCTACTGTATTTAGTTTTGGATTTGATATGTTTATAGCTGTACTTATAATAATTGATTTGCTTTTAGTCAGTATTAAAGGAATTAGCATTTCTATAAGGGATTTACGTAAAATAATAGTTCAATCATTCTATGAATTACAAAACGAAGAAGTTGTTATTAAACCTGAATAAGTTACAATTTAGCCATCTCTAGAAATAACAAATTTAAGTATTAACATGTCATAATAGTAAAAAGAAAAATCTATTTCAGTTTTTTCTGAAAAGCAAGTAAATAATTTAGAAACTAACTAGCTTAATCAATCATGAGCAAAGTTAATTAGCCATGTAGATACTTTAAACTAAATTATATCAATAAATAAACTAATATACTTTTATGTTACAAATTAATTTTAAAGTTGAAGGTTTTATTTTAAGTGACTTAGACATAAAATTTCTAATTAATTAAATAAGCTCTTATTTATTTTTTTCATCATTATTTATATTAAATAAGATCAATTGATTTTATCCATAGATCTGAATACAATTGATAAATTTATTCTGAATAGAATACGAATCTTTATTTAAAAATTAATTGATTTTCCCATTTAAATTAAATAAATGTTAAAATAATTACTTACTATTTGCATTTAATCAATATGAAAAATTAAAATCCTCAACAAACATAAAATTTAAAATCATAGCAAATAGAATTCTGGTAGTTTTTGGTAAAAGATCTAATATATATAAATCTTTTCCTGCATTATATTATCTATGAAAATTTTTTGTTCTATATCTTAATTAATTATTTTCTAAAATTAATCAAAAAACAGAAAATTTTTTTTAAATTTTGAGTTAATTTTTTAAAAAATTAATGTTAGCATTTTGACAAGCTTATTATTTATTAAATATTTAGAGTATTTAAAATTGATAAAATTTAAAATTATCAAATATTATTTTTCCTTTTTATAAATTAGTATTTCAATTTTCTTAAAAATTTTAATAAATTATTGAAAAAACATTATTAAAAAAATTTAAAATAGTAATAATTTAATAAAAGTATAAAAGACATTTTATAAAAAAAACAGTTTAGATTTAAAGTATTGTGAAAATTTTTTATGAAAATATTAATCTAATTGTTTGTTTTTACTAGCTAGTATTGTCATAAATATTTTGTTAAAGATTAATTTCTTTATTAAATGTCTTAATTAAATTTATATTTTTGTAAGAATTTTCTTGAAGCATGCGCATTAGTTTTAAGTGTACTTGATTTTATAACATTTTTACAAAGGATGATTAATTCTAATAAAAAATTAAATTAAGTCTTCAAATTAATTGAGTTATTTCTTTAAATAACTGAGAAGTGTTCACATATTTGATTAAAAATAATTAAATAAAATACAATTTCTTTAAATAACTAAAGAATAATGAAAAAAAATATTTTAAAAACTATCTTAGCACTTGCTTCTATTTTAGGTTCTCTTTTTGCATAAAGTAATTATTTTATGCCTCATGAGGACACTCCTCATCAAAGAACATGGATGGGTTTTCCTAATGATTATTCTATATGGGATGTTAATCTCACTAAAGTATAATAAGAAATTGCTTAGATTGCTAAAACTATCTCTAAATATGAGCCTCTTAATCTAATCGTTGACTCAGATGCTACTAAGCAGCTTGCACAAAGTTTACTTTCAAATATAAATATTGTAAGTTAATTCCCTATTACTTTAGTAATTCAACCAATAAACGATTTATGGTTAAGAGACACTGGTGCTACTTTTGTTTTTGACCTGAAAAACCAAAAGCTTGGAGGAGTTGATTTTAATTTTAATGGATGGGGTAATAAATAAAAGCATAATTATGATTAAAATATTGCTAATTTCATTACTACTTATGACAAAATTTAAAGAATAACTACATCCTTGGTTATGGAAGGAGGTGGCTTAGAGGTAGATGGAGAAGGTACAGCAATTCTTGCAGAGAGCTGTATTCTTAATATCAACAGAAATCCTGGATGGTCTAAGTCTTAAGTAGAATAGGAGTTGTCTTATCTTCTAGGAATCAAAAAATTTATTTGGGTACCTGGAGTAAAAGGTACTGAAATTACAGATGGACACATTGACTTTTATGCAAGATTTATAGGAAAAGCTCAGCCTGGTAAAGTCTTGGTTCATATGGATAGCAGCGATCCATCAACTTAGTAAAATTTTAACATAATTCAAAGCTCAACTGATGCTAAGGGTAGAAAATTAATACCTATTCCTATCTAAACTCCTGATCCATCTAAAATGAGAAGTACAATTGTTAAAGGAGATAGCAGTGCTGTAGGATACTGTAACTTCTACTTACTTAATAATGCTGTCATTTTAGCTAACTTTGGCGACTAAGCTGCAGACTAAAATGCAAAATAAATATTGCAAAATGCATTCCCAGGTAGAACTATTGAGATGGTTGCAATTGACAATATTGTAAATGGAGGAGGAAGTGTTCACTGTTCAACTCAACAAGACATTTTGTATTAGTAGGTACAAATCACTTATTCATCACTCATCTATCTGAATATTATAATTTATATTTTCATTTTTATTTGAATGTTTGTTTATGTGTCTTTTATAAACATTATAAAGATTATTTTAAGTATTTGTTCAATTCAAAAATATAAATTTGATTATAAACTATTTTATTACATTTTTTCTTTGTTCTAATTAGAGCTAAAAAATTATTTTATGACTCTTACCCATATTAAGGCCATTTAAAAAGATTATCATGTTGATATAATAAGAAGAGAAAGTAAAGTAAACAAAAATAGAAAGATTTAAATCTTTAAAATATGAATTTTTTTAATAATTTTCAATTTTCTTTGATTTTAAAAAAATTTGGTTTTAATAATAACTTTAATAAAATCCATTTTTTTCTATATTTAAATTTTAAATATAAAAAGATTATTATAAAAGTGATATTTCTTTACAATATATCTTAAAATTTATTAAGTCTTTCTTTAAGTTTAAAAATCAAAAGGCAACTTAGCTCATTTTTTAATTGATAAATTGCAAATATTTAATGAATTATACTTTGACCACAAATTAATTATTCATTATAAATAAAATTTCAAATTTCATTATTTTTTTACAAAAGAAAAAATATAACCAAATTGTGTGAAATAAATTTTGTATCACTTACTGATAAATTACGAATTTGCCTTTTAACTTTAGTTTATCTTCCTCTCAGACAAAATTACAATTTAATTATATATGAAATTTCTAGAATTGAAATTCATACTTATTAGTTTGTTTAATTTAATAACTTTTTAGAGAGGATGATGAATTCTTATTAATAATTTAAATTAAGTCTTTAAAAATAAAAATCCATATATTGAAAATGAGCTAATAATGCTCTAAAAGTATTAATTATTAATAAATAATTAGAAATTAAAAAAAAAAATGAATAGAACATAAAATCTATTATTTATTTAAATACTTTTGATGATAAGCTCTACTTATGCTTAAAATAAATTTTTGATGCCTCATGAGGGAGTTTTACATAAAAGAACATGGATGGGTTTTCCTAATGATCCCTAAATTTGGAGGAGAAGTCTTAAAGGAGTATAGTAGGATATTGTTTATTTAGCAAAAACTATTTCAAAATATGAACCTGTAAACCTAATTGTAGACTCAGAAAATACAAGAAAGTTTGTAGAAAGCTTATTGTCTAATGTTAACATTGTGAGCTAATTTGATTTGACTCTAGTAGTTTAACCAATTAATGATCTTTGGCTAAGAGATACCGGAGCTACATTTGTTTTGGATACTTTGAATAAAAAAGTTAAAGCTGTTGATTTTAATTTCAATGGATGGGGTAACAAGTAAAAACACAATAAAGATGAAAAAATAGCTAAATTCATTACACAATATAATTAAATTGAATTAATCTCTACAGATTTGGTACTTGAAGGAGGAGGTTTAGAAGTTGACGGAGAAGGTACTGCTATCCTTGCATAAAGTTGCATTTTAAACAAAAATAGAAATCCAGGCTGGACCAAAAGTTAAGTAGAGGAAGAATTAGCTTATCTCTTAGGGATTACGAAGTTTATATGGGTGCCAGGAGTTAGGAATGCTGAAATTACGGATGGCCATATTGATTTTTATGCAAGATTTGTAGGTGAAAGCAAACCAGGATATGTCTTAGTTCATATGGACTCAGAGGATCCTTCTACTTTGCAAAATTATCAAATTATCAATAGTTCTACTGATGCAAAAGGAAGAAAACTAAAGGCTATTCCTTTATAGATTCCAAACCCTGATAAAATAAGAAATACTTTGATTAAAGGAGATGATAGTGCAATAGGGTATTGTAACTTCTATTTAGCAAATAATGCTGTTATTTTAGCTAATTTTGGTGATACTGAAGCAGATGAAAGTGCAAGATAAGTATTATAAAATATGTTTCCTGAAAGAGTTATTGAAATGATATCAATTGATAATATAGTAAATGGAGGAGGAAGCGTCCATTGTTCAACTCAGTAAGATATTTTATATTGATTAAATAAGCAATTATTACATGTTTTTATCTGCAAAAAAAAAATATATATTAAGTAAAATTATAATTAAATAGATTCCAAATTATCATAATAAACATCTATCAAAATTCACTGTAAATTTAAATATCTTGATTTGCTAATCAATTACAAATTTTTCTTTTAATACCTTAATTTTATTTTACAAATGTTTCAATACTTTTCATAAAAATTATAGTAATTAAAGATAGAAGCAATATGTTGATTATTTTAAAATAATTTTAGTTTTTTTATTTAATTTAGATAATAAATAGAAAATAAAGAAATATTTAAATATTATTAAAAATTGTAATTTACTTAAACGAATTTTAACAGTTTTATTGATAAAACTACAATAAAAAATTAATATTATAAATTTTTTTCAGAATATAATTATTAATAAAACTATAATTGCAAAAGTGGATTAAATAAGTGTTGAATGATTTCCTGCTCCATAAGGCAATGATATAATTTCAGTTTTCTAAACAACAGTGTCTGTTTTAAAATATAAAAATTTTGTAAAAATAATATCAATTTTATTAATAGTAATTTACCATAGATTGGAGTGATAGGGAAGTGGTTAGCAACAACATAATAAATAACATACTTAGTTTCAGGCACAAGGTTATCTAGAATAAGAGTAACTTTATTATTATTGTTATAAATGATTCTAGCACAAACATCTGCAGTATATCCCAAACCATTTTAACAATTAATAATATTTTCAGGTGTAGGATCATTCATAGAAGTAATTGGGGCATCATAATATTTACCTTTCTAATTATCAAAAAGCTCTTTAGCCACTCTTTCTGCAATAAAGTAAACTTGCCCATCATTTGATAAAATGACATCTTATATTTCAATAGTAGTATTGAATTAGTATGAAACGGGCTTGAATTGCATGTTAGTTATAGAAGGCATTATGAAATTAGATTGCTTATTTATTGCATCATCATACGAAAATGTAGTTAAGAATTAGCTCTAATTAATTTCGTTTATGTTATAGTTTTGTTTGGCATTCGTTCTCACATCATCTAAAAGTTATTTTGTTGCTGCATCGTACATAGCAGCAATAGTTGTTATAGATGAATCTGTTTCTAAAGTTGCATCAGGAATAAGATAGATATTAGTCATCTAATTTGAATAACTAGCTGTTTTTCCTTTGAACTAGAAATAATATGGCTAAGTTACTGACTGCAAGGAACAGCTGTTTCCATCAGAATTAATTATACTTTATATAATTAAGTATTAATAAAATTTATTTAATAATTAAAACATTTGTGTTACTTCTTAATACTAGTTTAAGTGTTTCTAACATAGAAACACAGAATATTATTCATGTCGTCTTCAAACATCTTAATAAGGAATGAAATATTTACTTTAGTGAATACTTACCAATCTATTTGTTTTATAGTAAATTTTCGATTCTAATTAAAAAAATAGTATTGATAAATTACTTAAAGTCTTGAAATTTAAGCATTTGATATCTGTCGCTTTACTCATCTCGTTTTCGAAATAAGTGCAAAGGACATAATTTGTTTCTGGTATTAAGGAGGAAATAGTAAACTATTTAGATGTGTCTGAGGTATGGAATACTTATAGACCTACTCTTTAATCAGTCTTCTTGCCAAAAAATTACTACTATAAACTTGTGGGTGATTAGAGAGTAGTATTCTATGCTTTAAGAGCTGCTTTTATTTAAGACAAACTCAAATTTTATGCTGTTCCTTATACATAAAGCTACCAATATACAGTTCCATCTTAGTTAAAGCTAACACTAAAATCAGTAGATGTCCTATATTAATTCAAAACAGTTGTTATTAATGAAGGAATAATAGTTGGGTCTCTCGTTATCATGTTTACAGTCAAATTAGGATTTACCAATAAGAAAGATTACATATCAGTACCTGTAAAATTTAAAATATTTATATTATTTTTAACAAACATAAAATATTAGATAGCCAGAGACCTGACAATCACCTAATTTAATACTAAATTTTTATAAATCCAAATTTTTCAAAATTAATATTTTGGATTAAATTAGATAGGAAAAATAAGGTGAGTTAGGTCTCTGACTATCTAATATATACTTCTCATTAAAAGATATTATTTTTTAAAGACTTGTTGCTTAAAAAATTTTAATAATTAAATAATTTTTAAATATTATGTTAAAATTTAGAAATTCTGTTTAATGTGTTATATTTATTACCTCCAAGAGTAAGAGTGACAGGGAATGTTGTTAAGGTTTTAGGGAATTGAGGTGTTGAGCACAGAGTTAAATATCTATAGTTGGTTTTACTATCAAAGTAAAGAGTGTATGAAGATAAATCAATATCTACTGTTAAGTAGCCTTCTGGTAAAGTGGTATAATCATATTAAATAGATATATCAACATCACTATAAGGTGTGCTAGAAATCTGTACTTGATAAGGAAGAGAGCAGCCACCATAAGGTACATTAATAGAAGTAGGAGTAACTATTTATATAGGTTAGCTGATAACAAAAATAATTAAATTGTTCGCAATTTGATAAACAGGAGTAAAACCAAACTCAACTTTAGAGATACTTGCAGTATATTACTTTTCGAGCATATTTTAATCAGCACCAACTCTAAATGAAGTCTATAAATCTCCCAAATAAATGTTCATTGAAGGAGGAATGAAAGTAAAACCTGTGGCAGAAAGGGTAATGATCATGTTAGCAATAAATTTATTCTAATTTGCAGTTTGAATGATTATATTAGGTGAATAAGTACCTTATTTAGATAAATTTATTGATCAATAAATATAATTTTTAATTTAATTATTTTTTTACCTTTTGTGACTTAAATAACTTAACCGGCATTGATTTATACAAAATTGGTTTGTTCTATGAATTGAATCGAACCCATTTAGTTTGTTAAATAATTTGTTTGTGCAATGTAATTCTATCTACTGCTAGAAAAAACTGCAATAATGGCTCTAGAGAGGTCAACAAAGCCTCCAGTAGGAGGAGTGGGAACTTGTTATATTGTGATTATAAATCTAGCACTAGCTGCTATTGTTATTGGCATAATACCCTCTACAGAAAGTCCTGTAACATTACAAGTTTAGTATGGTGTATCTACTTAAATATTATTTGCTTTTTTTTTGTTTGAATAAGGATATTAGATAAAGCTTTAGTTTATTCAATATATATATTTACAATCAAAATAAGATATCATGCATTATAATTGAGATGTAATGGCCAAATATTTGTAGTCTGTTGGGAATATAACTTAAAATCCATTCTGGTTTGGGAGTTAAGTGTCAGTTTCAACAACGAAAACGTGATTAGAAAGAGCTCTTGTGTTTGTATTATCAGTAGTTACAGTAATCAATCTCATGTAAGGGAAATTACTAGGAATTTAAACTACTTGTGGAGGAGGTATATGAATATATTCAGAGAAACTATTAGTTGCACCTAAGATAATTATAATTAATCTATATTTTTAAAAGAAATTTTAGTATATATTTACCTGTATCGACTGCAAAAAAGATAGTTTCGTTAACATATTGTGGATTATTTCTCAAATCATATTAGGGAGCAACTGGGCCAAAAACAAGGAGTGTGAATTATTATCCAGGCTAAATGAAAAGTGGTGATTCTGAGATTTCTAAACGGAAAGGATTATTATTATATTTGCAAGGAATTTAAATATTGTTCATTCTACAATAAAGGTAAGCAGGGAAGTTGGAAATAGATGGGGCATAGTAAATAGGGAAATAGATATACATGATTGCTGAGGATGTTATCTGAGAGTTCTTCATTGTTACATTAAACACTAACTCCTAAAGAGATCCTTCCATCAAGAAATTTGCTTATGCTAAAATAATTTATGAGTTTATTTTTTGCAGCAAAGAGGGGAAGGGTACAGTTGTTGATTAAATATTTTAAAGCACAAGACCTGAGTCGTAATTTCTAATAAAACTGATACTAATCAAATCATTAGAATTGGAGGCAGGAGTAAGAATACCGTCAATTACCAAAATATAGCTGCTAGCAGTGAACTGAGTTCTATCAGCTAATTGTATTCCCATCACATTTTCAGCGAATTAGACAGCAATAGGAACAGCTATGTTTTAAGGCGCACTTGGATTCGAGGTATCTATTTTGAATAAAGTTACAGTAAGTCTATCTGTATTAGAATTTACATCCCACAAATCAGATCCTAAATTGACTACTACATTTTCATTAGGAAGAAGTTATCTTGGAGTTGCAAATTAAGCAGTTAATTTGGAGAAAACATAAGGATTGAGATATTTGTAAATTAATTAGCTAACTTGAATGTAAATGGCTTGATAGTTAGTGGTTGAAACATTGATTGTCTACTATTCAATAGCTGTATTACCAGATTAATCTTTAATGCTAAATGTAAAACTTTTTTACAAAGAATTATCAATAGAAACTCCATAAAAACTCAATTAATAAGTGTAAGTAGTCATATCGTTTGAGTATATTACGTTGTCTTACATATTTACTGTCAGTATTTAAGAGTTTGTAGAAACACTGCATGATTGAGTAATCTACACTTGAGTATTTGTTAAGATATTTTTCTAAATCAAAGTGCATTAGTTAGTATTAGCTTACATACCTGTAAATTAGATTTGAAGTATAGCAAATGGTTGCATATTCTAAGCTGGAACAAACTAAACAGTACATTAAGTATTTTGAATACCATTTGATTACTAGTCACATGTCAACTGTAAACTTTTAGGAGTTGAGATATAAAACAAGTTTCTACCTGAGTTAAAATATTATTTATAGCAATTAAGTTTACCAGCTCCTTATGCAATAATAAACAATAAGTTTGGCAGATCATAGCTGTAAGGTAAAACTACACTATCAATTGACACAGTGGTTGACTATTAGTAAATATTTTAAATTAAATTAAAATAATAATAAATATTATTTTTTAACAAATTCATGCTTTTAATTTTTTAATCAATCTTTGTATTAATTTTTTTAAGTTTTTATTTTTTTAAGATATTTTTTAATTTTTTTGCTTTTTGAGAAATAGAAATAAAACAATTTCTTGTTAAACTTAATTAAAATCTTTTTAAAAATAATATTTTACAATAAAAATTCTAAAAAACTTAAAAAATTTAATTTTAAAAGATTTCTTATTTAAAATTAACTAATAAATAAATGATTTTTTTTTAAACAGATTTTAAATAAATAGTGTTAAATTACAGCGATAGTGGGATCTCCAGTTGCTGTGAAAGGGAAAATAACAGCAAAACGACTTATTCCTGTTAAATCTATATAGCTTACAGAGACAGGATCAAGAACACCAGTTCCTGTTATTGCATTCAGAGGAGTTGTGTATTTAGATTAATTTGCATACCAGAATTGCCAATCTGTAACTAATATAGCTGCTGATCCTACTCCTTAAGTATATACATTACTACGAGCTAATTACATTTATACACCACTGATTTATGCACCTGCATTTCCACTCAAGGTAATAGCTGTTGTTGGACATAGATTAGTAACTGTTGCCAATATCGTCGATGGAGCAAAAGATGTCTAGTTTTATTTTTTTAATATCTTAAAATAGAACTTAAATTAAAATTTACCAAGGTGTTTGTGAATAAAACTTTGAAAACATAAGTTGCTGTGTTAAAATAACCTCCTTCAATTTAAAAATTGTAGTTGTTTTGATTAAAAAGATAAGGAATAGCCATATGATATCCTACTTTAGTACTTGTTGGTAAGAAAAACACTATCTTAGCCCATTACTTAAATAATACTGAACTCTATGGAGTTGTTGTTTTATCTGAATATTTATAGTAGCAGCTTACTCCAGGAAGAGTTGATCCACAGTAATATTAAGAACCAATTGGAGGCATCTAAGCAATATTTAGATAGTCTTGCTATACATATACAGCAAGGAAGTATCTTTCTGTTGGTTATAAAGGTGGAGTAAATGTTGAAAAAGTATCTGCTGTATCATAAATATCAAGGAAAGAGGGAAAAGAGTAGTCAACTGGATTAGCAGCCTACTAATTTAAATCATTTATAAATTACCCTTTGATATTAGAATTTGCTTATTAAATAACAATCAATGGTAACATTAAATCATTGAATGATGAATTAGCGTTAGTTGAATCCTTTGTGATTCTGAAGAATAGCTCATAAATAGAGTCTTCATGATTAGAAGCAGTATTAAATTTTATATTTTTTATGACAATTGTTGTTGCTGCATTAGTAAACGAACCTGGTACCATATCAATTCTAACATAATTGGTCATTGAATTATATGAGCATGTAAAAGTAGTACCTCCATTTATTGTGCATGCAATAGGAGTTGTTTCTTAGGTCAAAGAAGATGAAATATACAATTACAACTTTAAATTAGGAGTTAAATCATTATTAGGGACTTAGATATTAAAAGTTATGTCATTAGGAGCAGTTTTAATCTAAACAAATCCATTTTGTGCATAGGTCTGGTCCTAAAGGTATTGAATAACGGATTTGTAATTAGTTATTAGAGCAACAGTGTTAGAAACACCACTAAATACAGGACTACTTAAAGTAAGGTCTGTGTAAATAGATACACTTACATTAAACTATGAATCAGTTTTCGATAAAAGCACTCTAACTTAAATTGTTATGGTAGGATTAGCAGGTGTTCCTTTCATTTGTTTGAGGTTATAGATTAGCATCTGATTATTCGATAAGTATTTCACATTTCTAATGTAGTTTCCATTAATGTCTTGCATATTACTGTCCAAATATTCCGATCCTATTTTATAAATAATATGTACCATGAATAATTAAGTATATAATCCATTTATAATTTCAACTTAGTTTTACTTTCCTTTCAACTTTAAGTTTTTATTTAAGCTAGCAAACTAATAATTAAAAAATTTATTAAAGAAAAGATTTTACCTTATATGATATTTGTATTTGGTGTGAATTGAAGTAAGATAGGATAACCTGCTGGAATAGTTTACTGGTTAATGTTTATTTGTATTTTTACATACTGCTTAGTATTTTTGTAAAAATTTATTGGAGTATTAGTGGGATTGTTTGGATCAAAAGGCAAAGAAGGGAGTAAAGTGACCTGAATTGGAGTCTAAAATGTTTATAGTTACAATAAAGAAGCGTTAGCTTCAACTGATTCATTTGAATTGACAGGAAAACTATATATTTTTAATACTCCTTGAGCTGTTATACTAGGATTAACTAAACTATTTATATTTAGTACGAATGCGCTTCCTTCTAAGAATCCTTATGCAAAAACAATAGATAACTAGTTTGGTGTTTCTACCTCTGTTTTTACTAAAGGAACAGGTAGAGAAGGATCAGTTGGTTTAAGCACTAATTAGGGAGCCTTATAAAGAGCTTATCTAGCATCAGAAACTTATGCATATCTGCTATCATCTTAACAAGTTACTGTGGTTGCTGGGCTATTAATTAAAATTAATATTAATAATTATTAAAATTAACATTTCATAAAAAATATCAAATTATTAACTTTTTAGAAAAAGATAAATTGTAACTTTTTATATTTTGCTTGTGAAAATATTCATTTATTTATTATATTTTGTGTGATAATAAAAATACTAAGTAAATTAATATAAATTCTACTCAAATACCCAAGGTGAACTAGCTATCAGTTTGATTCTAGACATCTTTTGATCGAGGCCAAAAGGTTTATTGATTTATATTTAGATTTGTAAGTTGTTGGGCAATCCAGGGATATTTACTGTTGAGGGAGTACCTTTAAGTTTAGAATAAGAAAAAAAGAATTCAGTAAGTTTTTTTTTAAAAGTATTAAAAATTATTTGATGGATCAATTTTTATCCTTTGTTTTAAAGATTTAGCTGATTTATTTATTTAAAGATAATAATGAAAAAATTAATATAAAACCATTTTATTTTTTTGAATTAATTACTATTATTAAGCCTGTTTAGAGGCTAATTATAAAAATAATATTACCATAATTCAATACTGTTGCTTGAAAAACTTCATTATTAGGCTAAGTGAATGGAATTTAACCGAAATTAGCATTTTCATCATATTGGAAGAACACAGTGCTTTGAATTGAAGATATGGTAGATACTCTAAGACTGGATGAAATACCAGTAAGTGGATTGGTTGTATTAAGCTCTATTTGCAAAATATTTTCTGTTGTTTGTGAGTTATCTACAGGTTTACTTAGCAATACATACATTGTATCACTCACATTTGGCATTATACCACATTAGGAAGTGGTGAAAACAGTATCTCCACTATATTTTAAAAGGCAGTTGGTAGGCTAGAAAATATAATTTCCCTAACCGTAATCAGGGAGTTATATTCTTAGATAGTTATTTGCTGCTAATTATGTGCTGACTCTAAAGTAAAGAGTTAGCAATGAAACTGAATTTTAATCTAATACTGCATATCTAACAGGTCGAGTGGGATAAAGCATACCCTCACCATAAACCTATCTTAACAAATAAAAAATCACACCTAAAAATGAAATCAGAAATCTATTAGAAGTTGCTGATATCATTCTGTATTCTTATTTGAATTTATTTGCTATTTAAATTTCTATTTTTTCAATATGGAAGAAGTTAATATCCTAATACTTTTTAAGCTACTATCAATTTTTGTATTTACTTAATAATTTATGTTTGTATGACTGGCTATTTAATAACAATTGATTAATTAATTAATTTATTTATTATAACTCAATCTATCTTTTTAGTTGTTTGAATTTTAAGATCTCTCTTCATTTTATCATCTTAGTAATAGATTTTTTTATTTATGCATACCCTATTTTTTTACTTTTTAATAGGTACCAAATAATTTAATAAATCATACATTGCCATTTTTTAAAAAAATTTTGAAATTATTTTTAATTTTATTAAAAATTAAATTAATTTTAATGATTGAGGTATATTTTTATTGGTCTTTAAATTTCTTTAATTAAAAGAGCAATCAATTTTATTTATTTTTATTTTTCAGTGTTTCAGATCTTATTGAATTTATAAATAATATTAATTAAAGAAGTCTACTTTTATTATACTTAGAAAGCTTTTGAAAGGAATTAAATAAAATTATATTTCATATTGTTAAAATTTACTATTTTTAATATTCATATTAATGTACTTTATTTTTAAACTTTTTACTTATTATAAAAACTTATAATAATTAATTTATATTATTTATCAGATCAGGGAAATACTACAACAAACTTTCATTCATATACTTAAAGCTTATTAATTTTACCAAAGTAATTTAAATTTTTTGTACTAAAATAAATATAATACCAAAAGATAACAAATTGAATTAAATAAGTAATTAGATGCTACATAAAATATCACTAAAAAACTGAAATTAATTTTTTTAATTAGATTTTGATTATTACTGCTAAAAACGTAGATTGATTACATTATAATAAATATCATAAAATAAATTTTTTAGATACAGACTATTTATAAATTTGTGTTTTGTTTAATATTTTGCTTCATTGGTAAGGGTTAGGAGGGTATTGTGGGTAGCCTTGTTGAGGTGGGTAACCTTATTATGGTGGGTAACCTTATTGAGGTGGGTATCCTTGTTAAGGTGGGTATCCTTGTTAAGGAGGATATCCTTACTAAGGAGGATAGCCTTATTGAGGAGGATATCCTTAAGCAGGGTATTAGGGGTATCCAGCTTGAGGAGGATAGGCCTATTAGGGAGGATAAGGTTATTATACAGGATAGGGTTATTAACCTGGATAAGGTTATTGAGCAGGGTATTAGGGATATCCTTATTACATAACAGGTTAAAAGCCAGGTTATCCATAAGCAACAGGTTATTGAACAACATAAGCAACATTTTGTTAATCAGGTAAAAATTCAAATTCACAGACTAAATTACCAGCAGGTTTTCCTTTTCTCATACAATTAATAGTTTCAGTTCTCTTACCTCCCTTAAGTACATTTGCAAGAGCGAAACCGCCTTCAGCTATTTTCATATAAAAGCAATAGTTTAATTTACTATCCACAATAAATAATATCTTATTTTACCAATAAAATCGTTCTTAGACATGGTATCGTGGTCAAAGATTGAGAATGTCATCATATCTTCGCTTAATATCTAAAAGTTAAATTAATCACACCAAGCAGGGGTTTTTCCTGCATCTTTTGCTACAGCTGAGGTCTTCTTTTAACTACCAATAGTGATAATAACAAAAGGATCCTAATAACATTTTCAAAATAATTGTTGAATAAACACATAACCAAGCAATCAAATGTCTGTATAGATTTAAAATTTTTATAATAAATAGATTCATTACCATTTTTCCAAAAAGTTCAGTATCATGAGTCAAGACAGCAGACTTAGGTCTGACAATCAAAGTTCCTTTTACCATCCTTGCTTTTTTTTTAAGTGCTTTTTTAATAATATTAATAAAATCTCAAATTTATTTTTCAGAAATAATAATTATTATTTTTGATACTTATGAAGCAATATATAAAATATTAACTTCTATGACTATGCTTTAATCTTCACAAATTTCGAATAAATGGACATTTCGCAAATAAAACCATCAATTAATTAAACAAATAAAAGACACACACACGCATTAAATAAAATTTCAAAGGTAAAAAATAAATAAATAAATTCTCAATTATACATAAAATTAATAAATAAGAGAGTTTTTAAATAATAAATAAAGTGAAGATATTTTTGGATTACATGGGTACTTGTTTAAATTCGAACATAATTTTAACTTTTTAAAAATATAATAAGAAATATTTAGATAAACTTTTTACAAATAGTAGTTAGTTGCAATAGCTATTTTACTTATCTATTTCAAATATTGTATCTAATAGTTAATTGTTCTAGACTTTTACTATTACTATTTATACTCTAAATTAACTATTTTTAATAGAAATAATTAATCATATTTGATAAAACAGCTATTACAAATAAATAAATATCTTAAAAATATTTACTGAATATTTATTTTTAAAATATATTTATAAATATTTTCAGACTTTATTTTTTATTATTTTCTCATAGTATTTATAATAGATATTTATTATATACCTATTTTAGATGAATAAATAGAAGTTATTGTATTAATTTAAAAAATATCTTTTATTAGATTCACATATAAACAAACAAACACTCATATATTTCTCAAAACATAATTAAGTATCGCAATTATTCTATGTTAGGATTTGTGATTATTAATAATTGTTAATTACTAAATATTATACGAATTTTATTTATGTTAATATTAACATCAAAAATACATTATTTAATTGAAAACAAACAAATATTTTTTAACTATTCTAAATTATCAAATTAATTAATACAAGTTCAGTAAAAAAAACACAAACATATTGCAATTTTTATTTAATAATTCTCAACATTTATGGCAAGGTGTGTTATGTTTTATGGTAAATTTGGTACCACAGCATTTTTTACAGTATCCTGCATGGTGATAGCACTTACCACAAGGGACACTTCTGCCATCTTTTTATTTCCAGCCGCTACCATGACATTTTTTACAATGGTGATTAAAAGTGATTACTGGCAATTTATGATTATTAAATACAGGACCTGTAGGTACTTAGTAAGCTCCTGGGTATACTTAACCACCAGGAGGATATCCTTATGCAGGGTATTGCTAAGGAGGATATTATTACATGGGGACTTAACCAGGATACTATTAAGGAGGGTATTATTACTAAGGAGGGTATTGTTGAGCTGGGTATTATTGAGCAGGGTAAGGATTTTAAGGAGGGTAACCTTAAGGAACTTGTTGAGGATATCCCATTTAAGGAGGGTAACCTTATTGGACAGGGTAGCCTGGTTAAACAGGGTAACCTTATTACACAGGGAAACCTTATTAAACAGGGACTCCTTGGACACCATCTGGAATAAATTCAAATTCAAAAACAACTTGGCCAGCACTTTTGCCTTTTCTCATGCAAGGAGCATACTCAGTTCTTTTTCCACCTTAGAATGCGCTTGCAAGTGAGCAAGATCCTTCAGCTTTTGTTAATTTGAAATAAAAAGGTTATCATTTTACATTTCTTTTTTTTAAGGTAAGCTTAAGTAGCTGGGAGTTATTTTGATTTAGAATTAAAAGAAACTTATCTATCTATTTACCTATGAAATCGCTACTTGAGAAGGTATCGTAGTCATAGAGGGTGAATGTGAGCATAGTGTCATTCAAAATCTTGAAGTTGAATTAATCAGCCCAGACAGGATTTTTGCCTTAATCCTTAGCAACTGCAGATGTTTACTTTTAGCTTCCAATCATTACATTAATAAAGGGATCCTATTTAACATTTTATAATTTTAAAGGATATATCATAAACATTAGGTTTTTTTGAAATTATTTACCATCTTGCCAAATGTTTCAGTGTCATATGTAAGCTAAGCAGATTTGGGTCTAACAATTAAAGTTCCAACAACCATTTCTTTGTTTCTTTATTTATTTTATTCTTTCTAAAGTATATGTCTAATATCTTTTAATTAATAATTGATATTTATTTTTCTAAATTTTTATAATTAATAACTTTCTTAAAAAGCTTTTCTCATAGATTTTATAACACTGTTTATCAGAAAAAAGTCAGCTCAGAAAGAAATTTTATTTGTTACACAATATTAAATAAAAACGAAAAAAAATTTTTTTATATACAAAAAAATATACTGCTATTGGATTCACATCCTCATAAATAATAATAATTAAATTAATCAATCAATATAAATAACAATTTTTGAGCAATAAAATTTATAAATCACCACTTCTCTCATATGACTCTAATCCAAATAGAGTATCTTTCTTTCTTTATTTTTTTTTTTTTGCTTTTGTATTTAGGAATTAGAATGAATTATGAAATGATCAATTAATGCTTAACAATTTAGAATAAGAAGTTAACATAGTAGAAATAAAGTTTCCAATACAAAATCTCATTACTTTTAATGTTCGACATAAATGATAAAACTTGATAAAAAATAAAAATCTACAAAGTGAGTATATTTTATTGTATTTCTTTCTTGATTTTAAGTAATAAATACATATCTTTCTTTTAGGTTTTCTAATTCGAGAACTTTTAATTTGATTCAAGCTAATTAAAATAGATAGAAATTTTTTATTTCTAAGTATTACTCTGATTATAAATGTTAGCTTTTACAAGCAAAAGTTGAAAAACATATTTTTATTAAAATTCGAAAGATAATCACAACATGTATGTTAATAAATAATTAAAAAATTTATAAGAAAAACTTAAATTTAATAAATTTATGATGAATTATTCGTTTTTAAAATAGACTTTCTTTTTTTTATTTTATGCTTTCTTCATTTCTATAGCTAGATTTTAGTCTGAATATCATAAAAGAAGCTTTTCTTTATAAGATATAAAAACAAAATTTACATTTTTGGATAAAAATTATTACTATTTATTTTATCTAATAATTAAAATATTTCATATTTATTACTTACAAAATATATTAATCTTATTTAAATAAATTTTATTTTTATCTAAAGAATATTTAGTTATTAAAATATTTAACTTGCATAGGTTCCTAATTAGTAATATCTTTGGTTTATTTTTACTTAATATTATCAATTTCTAAAACAAAAAAAAATATGTAGACTGCCATTAAGTCATTTATAAGAAATAGCTTTTCTTATTCAACCTTTTTTAAAAGTGTATGCAATTTAAGTTAATTACTATTAAATATTTCTTCTTTATATTTTGTAGGCTATCAATGAATGATCAATATATAAATAAATATAGCAAACAGTATGTATTTTAATTTTCAACTTGATCATTAATTGAATAGATTTCTTTTAATACGTTTTCGATCTTAAAAATTTAAATTCAATTAAAGCATATTTAATAATATCAAATCTAGTATATATATTTAAAATGTTTTTGATTTTCATAGTTTTTACTAAAGCTAAATTTCACATTAGAATTGTTAAATAAAATAAATAAGCTATTTTTTTAAAGGTTTACATGAAAATATAAAATATTTTTTAGAAATTATTATTTTTAACTTTTGAAATAATTTTAAAATAAAAATATTAGAAAATATTTTAAAATAAAAATAAATTTGTTACCAGATAGATAATGTTTTAATTTTGAATGAATTAAAAATAATTTAATAAATTTTGAATGAAATAAATACATTAGATTAAAGAATCTATTACATATATATAATTTACTAGTTGTAAAATAAATATTTTATAATTTTCATATATTTTTAAGCTCTTACTTTTTTTTTAATAAAGCTTCTCTTTTCAGCATAAATAACTTATAGGCTAATCCTATTTATAAAACGCCAATTAGACCTATCAAGGAAACAATAATAGCTGAAATTATTAATCGGCTATTTTTGGTTAATATTTCAATTATTTCATCATAAATTAACCCATTTATTAAAAATATAATCATAAGTAGCAGAAAATGACAAGTAATATTGATTTTATTTTATATCTGAGTTGGATATGGTTTATTTATTAATATTAGTAAAGTTTAGAGACTAAATATTCCTTGAACTAGAATAATTTAATTCATGCTCTCATTTTATAAGAATACTAGTATGCTTACAAATAGCATCTTTCTTATTAAAATGAAACCATTAAATTGATAGTTTTTTATGGTAAATTACTCATTTGAATATTAATCATATTTATTTTACAAATTTTTCAATATTTTAGAAGTTTACACATTTTATAATGATTTAAACCCAAGTAGAACTAAACCTATTTGAAAAGCCAATATTACTAAGCATAAAACAGAAGAAACGATTTATCCTCCAAAGTTATAAAGTTATAGCTGAATTGCCATATTAATCCTGTAGAAAGTTAAATATATTAATCCAACAATTATATAATAAAAGAAATTATCGCTGACAAAATAAATAGCTTTCATAAAAATATTTGGTTTTTGATTTCTTTTGCAAGAAGCAACTTTAGCTGTGATGTAAAGGATGAAAGCAGCAGCGAAAACTGCTGCAGGTTGTATGAGGTTTATAAGAAAATTCGATGTAGATTTCTCTCTGTAGTGAGTAAGAGGAACATTTTCATCGCTTTTTTATATACTAGGTACAAACAAGAAATTACTAAAATCTAATATCTTTAATAAAAAGTAAACTGGCTTATCATATTTCACATTTACATATAGCAAGAAATTTATGGATTGAGCAAAATCAAAGATTGAAACTACAAATTATAATGGCATAAAAGCAAATAAAGAATAAGTCACAAACCCAGTAACGCCTGTTGCTATTGAAAGAGCACTTTAATTTATACTTATGTTGATATCATTACAATCACTTATTTTACTTCCAGTGCAAGACTTACAACTCGGATAACAAATATCGCACTTTTTTGTTTGTTCATCTATTAATAGATAGTATAAAAATAAATAAAAATCTTTTATTTGACTTTAGAAATTTTTCATGTTAAAATTTATAAAAAAAATTAATAAGTAATTAATTGATAGATAGATAGATGGTTCTAACAGAACTTAGATAAATTCTACTCTATCTTTATATTGATTTTTTGCTTTTTTCAAACAAAGAACTGTTAATAAATTTACTTAAAAATGTTCCATCTTCACAAAGATTATATAAACACTCTCCATTTATCAAGCTGAAATTAGGTTCACATACTGTGCAATTTTTGTTATCAGTGCATTATTTGCAGTTGCTACTACATTTTTTGCAATCTTTATTTTCCAAAAGGTAAAAACCTTTGTTTTAATCACATAGTTAGCATGAACCATCTGGAAAGAAATTTAATCCATCAATACATTAAGTACAATTAGTAGCAATTACACTGCACTTCTTACAGCTTTAATCACAATTCAAGCAATTGTTATTCTTATCTAAGAATTATTAATTATTAAGATCGCATTTTGTACATTCTCCTCCTATCAACTTATATCCATCAAAACATTAAACACAGTCAGTTGCTAAAGGTCCTGTACAATCTAAGCAGGAAGGATCACAAGAAAAGCAACTATACTCAAAATCATCTCTAGTTTTTAATATAAATTTAAATTAAACTCCATTATTAAATATAAATTATCGCTAATAAAAATATAAAAGTAGAAATTACTATAAACTGTCTATTCCTTCAGAAAAAACATAAGATAATTGCTAAATGACTATTTTTGTTTTTAAATAAATATTATTTTTTAAAATATTTAAATATTTACTTAAGATGCTAACTAATATTTTATGCTTCATATTTGTTTACTGTTTATTTGTTTCTTTTTTATCAATTTAATTTAATTTAATTAAAGTTAATTATCAAATTTTTTTTAACCTTAAATGAGTGAGTGAGTAATTAATTTAAAACTCATTGGAAAAAAGAATTTGAGTGATTGATATATTCATAAAAACAAATTAAGAATTATGAAATATTTTTATTTACTTTTTTCCTACATATAATTTTGGCTAGAAAGTATTTGATTTTCTCATAAATATCTTCTTTATTTCACATAAATACAAGTAAAATAATGTAAATAAAATTATCTGTTCTAGCTCTGTTAAAATTATACTCAAATTAAATAATGGTAGATATTTATTTAATATTTTTGAATTTTCTATTTTTAATAAATAAATAAATAAATAAAAAATGATATTATTGAAATAGTAGAAATAATATAAAAGATTAATTTAACTTAAAATTTTTCTAATTAAATAAAATATAAAACAAAAAAATTAAGTTTTATTATTACTCGTCCAAAAAATAAAACTCTGCTATTAGATTGAGGATTTATATATAAGAAAAGTGAATTATGTTATTTAGCTTCGCCTTAAATGTGAATTATAATTAAAAAGAAGTGAATTATTCTCCTATTCATTTATTTTTAACATTTTTTGTAATTATATTTTATCTAATACTAATTTGTAATAAACAAAAAAAAATTATTAGATTAATATAATATTTATAACAACCATTAAAAATAACTACTATAAAAAGAAATAATTAAAGTAATATTTGGAATTTTAATTATTAAAATAGATAATCTCAAAAGCTTTAAATTAGCTTCAAAAAAAGCTAATAACTTTCATTAGTTCTAATGAACTCATAAGCTTCAAGCAATAAGTTAGAATTTAAGGAAACAAAAGATTTTATAGATAAAATATTGAAGAATTTTATTTTAGATAATTAGATAAATATTAACAAAATTATATTGATTATAGCACTTTGCAGTTTTAAAAAATAGTCATCACTATATATTTATTAGCTATTTAGAAATATACATAATTTATTTTCTGATATATTTTGATGAATTAAATGAAAAATAGTAATTAAGTAAGTATGTCATCAAAATATTTATTTACAAATTTTGCTGAAAAATTAAAAAACATTGATCATACTCTGTTTATAAAATAAAATGCTATTATAAATTAAAAATTGAATATCTGAAATTACATATTTAGGTTTAAAAATATTTAAACAAATATTTTTTTATAAAAAATAAAATAATTTATTTATTTAATTAATTTATCAACTTAGTAAGAAGTAATTCCAGGAATTAGATTCTTACTTTTTTACATCTGCAAAAATAAAATAAATTGAAATGATATAAAAATAGGTTTGAGAGACTTTTTAATGATTTTGAAAATGAATAAATATTGTATATAATATATTGTATCAATTTTATAAATATTTTATTTTTAATGCACATATTAGTTACCTCTTATATATTTCAGAAAATATAATTAAGTATTACAATTATTTGATGTTAAGTATTTTCGAAAGTGTATAAATAAATATTTAATAAGAATTCTTTCTAACTTACTTACCAAATTTGTTAATTAATACAAATCAGTAAATAAAATAAAAACTTATTACAAGAATTAATTAATAATTTTTCACATTTATGATTTATATAATTTATTTATAGTCAATTCAGTGACTCATCGCTTTAATAGTATCTAGTGCTTCTTATAGGTATTTTTTTAAATTTTGGTAAAAATTATTTAATAGTACCATTAAATTTAGCAACCATAAAGTTTCAATAAGCCCCTGGGTATGCTTAACCACTGGGAGGATACCCTTATGCTGGGTATTACTAAGGAGGATATTATTGCATAGGTATCTAACCAGGATATTATTAGGGAGGAAATTACTAAGGTTGGTATTGAATAGGATAAGAGTTTTAGGGAAAGTTATTTTATTAGGTGGTTTATGAGATTTATTAAGGAAAACCTTATTGAACATTTAAAGCTGGTTGAACTTAGTAAACTTATTAAACAGAAACAGCATCTGGAATAAATTCAAATTCAAAAACAACTTGGCCAGCATTTTTACCTTTTCTCATGCAAGCCGCAAACTCAGTTTTTTTACCTCCTTAGAATGCATTTACAATTGAACAAGATCCTTCAGCTTTTATTATTTTTAAATAAAAAGGTTATCATTTTAGTTAAATTTTTTTTAAAGCTAGCTTAATTAGCTAAGAGTTATTTTGATTAAGAATTAAAAGAAATGTATCTATCTATCTATTTACCAACAAATTCGCTCTTAGACCAATCGTCGTGATCATAGATGGTGAAGGTGAGTAAAGTGTCATTCATAACTCTGAAATTGAATTAATCAGGCCATACAGGATTTTTGCCTGAGCCTTGAGCAACTGAAGATTTAAACTTTTAGCTTCCTATCGTAACATGAATTTCGGGATCCTATTTATTTAATATTTTATAATTTTAAAGAATACTTCATTTAAATAATTTTATTTATTTTATATTATTTACCATTTCAACTAAGAATGCGACATCTTTTGTAAGTTAAGCAGACTTGGGTCTAACAATCAAAGTACCAATAACCATTTATTTTTTTATTTCTTTATTTAATTCTAATATCTTTTAATCAGAAATTTACTTTTATTTTTGTATTTTTTTATAATTAATTACATAATTTTTTAGCTTTTTAGCATTAACTTATAACGTGGCTTTGTCACATGATATTTAATTAAAGCAAACATTTTTTTGCTTACATTTTGTAATTGAATTCATATCTTCATTAATAATATTTAATTAATCAATTAGATAAACTAACAATTTTTGAGCAATTAAATTTACCAAAGTATCATTATTTTGTTTCTTTAAATTTATAATTTAGTATGAAATTAATAATGAGATTGTTAATTAATTGATCATAATAAGCTTAAATATTTTTTTAATCATAAATGCATACAATAATGAAAATAAATTTCGCATAAACAGATCACCCTCTTTTGATATTTAAACTGGAGTCATTAAAAGTTATAAAGAATAAAAAGCTACTAAGGTATTATTTTATTCTTCTATTTTAAAATTTTAAATTTAAATAGGCATCTATGTTATAGACATTCGAATTAGAGACCTTTCACTGAATTAAAGCTAATTAAAATAGAAAAAAAACGTTGATCTTTTTTTATGGAAAATACTTAGTAAAATACTAGTTCTGCCCCAATACCATTAATTTTAACTTATCGAACTTACATTTATATCAAGTTTCTAATAGGGCGAGAGAGGAGATCATGAGATTTAAACTCTAGAGCACCTATTTTCTCATACATAAAATAATTTTAATTAATTTTTAAGATTTATTTTTTATTAAAAATAATGTCTTTTTTTAGCTTGAACAATTTATAGGCTAGCTAATGGTTTATTTATTACCATTAACAGAGTTTAGAGGCAAAGTATTCCTTGTATTCTTGTATTAAAGTAATTTTTTTCATATTCTCATTTAAAAAAATACAAATATTCAAACTTTTATTAATATCTAATCATAAAAAGAATAGTTAGTTCTAATTGAAATTACTCTTTTTAATAATATTTTTTTGTTTACAGATTTTTCAATATCAAAAATTACATATATTTTGTTTTTATTTATACTTAAGTATAATTAATCAAATTTGAAAATACAATATTACTTTGCATAAAACAGAGAGGCAATATATCTTCAAAATTTATTAGGTATAGCTAATCTGCCATATGAATCTTATAAAAAATTAAATATATTAATCAACTATAATAAAATAAAAGAAGTTTTTGCTGAAGAAATGAATTGTTTTCATAAAAATATTTAGATTTTCATTTTATTTGCATGAAGTAACTTTGATAATTAAGAAAGCAGTAGAAAAATATAGTCGTATATAAGTAAGAGATGTTAGAAAAAATAAGAGAAAGTAAATTTTCTCTTTTTAGTGAGTCAGAGGTAAATTTTCATCAAAATATTATATAAAAGGAATAAACTACAGAGGTTTGATATCTCAAGTAAAAAATAAACTTGTTTATCACATTTTAAATTTATATTTAGTAAGAAATTTATGGATTGAGTAAAACTAAAGATAAAAATCACAAGTTATTACAGTTTTAAAACAAATAAAGAATAAGCATCAAGACCAGCAAATACTATTTTTATTAAAAATCTATTTTATTTCATTTTTACATTCACTGTCTATCAACTTATACAGATTAAAACATTCAGAACAGTCAATCGCTAAATATTCTTTATAAAATAAGTTTATAGGATCGCAAGAAAAATAATTATAAATAAATTAATCCATCATTAATAAAAGTTAAATTAATCTTAGTTAATTTAGACATTATAAGTTATCATTATTTAAAAATGTCCTAAATTATCTATAGTTTTAAGAAAAAACATATTTGCTAAATGGTTATTTGTAAAAAAGCAAATGTCATAATACAAATATTTAAAAATTGTATTTGAGAAATTAGCTCATTTTAATACTCACTTTTTTTCTATTCTTTATTTGTTTTTTTATTAATTTACTTTCTATTTCATACTACTTTATAAATATCTATTTTAGATACTATTAATTTGTAAATAATTAGACATAATTAAACATGAAAATTATATGAATATACTAACTAATTTTTGAAGTTTTTAGCGCTTAGCCAACTAATTTAGCCTTTTTCTTGAGTTTTTTATAAAAATTTTAGTTGATCTGAGTATTATTGACTATTAATGTAATACTTCTTATATTTTCACACATCCCTCTTTAAATTGAATCCGCCTTTTACAGGTCAATATAAGAAATTAATATATTCTACTTAGGTAATTTATTTAAATATGATAAAATAACAAATTAAGATATATATAATTGTATAATATCTATTTTAGATCGATCATAAATTTTTTTATCATGGACTAAATTAATTAGTAAAGAAAAAGAAATATGGCTACAAATCGAATTTTATTTTATCTAAACTAGAAGTAAAAAATATTTTTACAGTCTTGCAAGTTAATATATAGCATTAAACAAATATATAATTTCATTATTAAAATTTATTAAATTATACTCTAATAAAAAGCCAAATAAGAGAGATTTTATAATTAAGATAAGAATATTCCCTAATTTGTTAAGCGTTCATTTTCAATTATTTTATAGCTTTAATTTAGAGAAGATTTATTTTTGATATAAATATACTTACAATAAATATTTAAGCTTTTAGATTTTAATACTTATATAAGAACTTAATAAGAAATGCTGTCGTTATCTATTTTTTCATTCCCTTCAAATTAATTGTTAATGTAAAAATATAAAATCAATTTATTTTATTAGATTTAATTAAAAATCTAGTTCTAAATCAGTTAAATTAAAATAAATAAAAAAAATTAGAGAAAAATATATTTATTACTTAAACTTTTAATTTTTTTAATTTATTTTTATGTTTTTAACTATAAAATAAAAAATCATTTACTTTGCATGTTAAAATATTTAAATTAATTACTAAATATTAAAAATAAAAAATGAATAAAAAAAAAATTTATTTACTTTTAAAAATAAATTTATTAAGAATATGTAATATGGTTTTTTAAATTATGATATTTATTTAATTTGAAATAATTAAATGTAAAGATAAAATATAATGTCAATTTTAAATGTTAATTATTGTTTTTGAAATAGAAAAATTAAACTGGTTAAAAATGAAAAAAAATCTATTGATGCAGTTTTTAATCATGATTTTAATTGATACAATCAATTTTAAATTAATCAATTTATTAAGATAAATAAAAGGATTGCATATTATTTATTATATTGGATTTTCAGATATTCAATGCATGATCTAAAGTTAAAAAATCATCGATCAATTCATAAAAATTTTTAATTTCTTTTAGAGATTTAATAGCAAATATTAATAATATATTGTTTTTAATTAAAAAAGCTAATAAATTTCATTAGAATTTTTAGGAATTTGATCAAAAGGTTGTTAAGATGAATCAAGGATAAGAATTAGCTTAGCGCTAATACGTTTCACGTCTTCATTTTTAAGATAATAGCTAAGAATAAGTCTAAAGCAGATAACCAGTTAGACGTATTAATGACTCAGATCCTTTTAAAATTTCTTAATATGGAAAGCCATTCATGTGTATTTTTTATGCTGGATTAATTGCTGGCATTTTATGCTCTTTAATGGGAGTAATTTTGTCTATAATTCCAGGAACTGCTTAAGAGGATTTGATTAAAAATGAATTGTTAAATGCTAACAGCAAATGGATTTATGATGATAAATAATAATTAATGAAAACCTTTTAGGTTTAGGTTGATTTGCTCTCTAATGAAGAATTGATTAATGAATAATTCAAAAGTATTTCATCTAAGAGTAAAAAAAGCAAAAAGGAATCCGAAGCAGTTAATCCTATTGTAAATAGAAGCGATATGCAATTAAAAGATTCTCTTTCTACATATCAACAAAAAATATCAACTGGATTCTAATTTGGATAATCTTATAAATCACCCATACTCTCATTAGAAAATGCTCATTTTGAATCAAAGATTGATTTTGAATCAGAACCTATCATCCCAGAAAACAATCATTGTCTTAAGATTAAAGTTACTGATAGTTAAAATAATGAACTTCGTGTTCAAGGTCTTCCCAATTGTGGTGGTTTTGATAATTCTCTTCCAATTAATTTAGTTGAAAACAAGACTTTACAATTTTCAGAAATGATCAAAATGAGTTTATGTTCAGATGAATTAAGTTGTGAGAAATTATGTGAGTAGAATGATGGTATCTCTCATGCAATTTAAAAGAAAAACAAAGAAGTCCATTTAGAGAAGAAGTATGAAATACAAAAATAAACATGCACAGCCAACTTTGCTGTTAAAGAAGTTTGCTTAGTCTTTTCAATTGATAAAGAGACATAAAATATTAGTAAATTTGAAGGAGGTTGCTACAAGGGAAATTACATGCTTTTTGATTTCGAGTCTAAAGTGAACCAAACACTTATTAAATTAAGAGAAAAAGAAGACCCTTTCCTAGTATCAATTCAACATTCCCCTGATTACACTCCATAAACTATACATAAAACTTAAAAAGACGAATTTGCTACTAATTTGTACTGTTTTGGAATAGCTATCTTTGCCATCTTAATTATCGCATTAGCTGTAAAAAGAGTAAGCAAAGAAAGATAATCAACAAAGACTTATAATAATTCATAAAGAAATAGTTAAAACGTACAAATGTGAATAATCATAAATCAATTTATTTTTATTCATAATCAAATATTTTTTATTTATGTTTTTAGTATAAATAAATAAAGAACTCTTTATATATTTTGCTTGCTTACATACAATCTTACATACACAAATACATACATACATTGCATCAACCAATTTTATTTTTTCATTTATTAGATTTGTATAAAGCTCCTCTAAAATTAAAAATTTTAAAGTAAAGTTTATTTTATATTTGATATATACAAGATTTCATAAATATTTTTTAAATAAAAATATGACTATTCCAAATGACATTTTATTTTCTTTTTTATTAATTAATCTCCAAAATTTGGGGTAGGAGGAGTTTTTGGTTAAATCAGCAAAATTCAGTTAAAATAATTTGGGAAATTAATTACTTGTATTTTTTCTTTTTTAAATACTTATGATATGTATAATAATTAAATTTTTCAATATTATTTCTGTAAAAATAAATTGAGAAATTCATTATTTATATTTTTTCTTTTTTAAATACTTATGATCAGGGCTGGAAATAAAAAGTTCAAATTTCATAATCAATCAATGAAATTAAAAATATTTATTTTTAAATAATTTTTTATTTAAGTTTTATGATTTATGAAATTCTATTTTAAAAAAATTGATTTACATATTTTAATATCTACTCTTTTTATATTAATTTTCAGCTAAAATTAGAATTTTGAAATATTTTATCTTTCTATCTAAATATATTTAAAGGAATAACTAAACAGATAGTGCTGGCATAACATAATTGGTTCTAGCTTTTAAATACTGTGTTAACTTAAGAGTTTTAAAACTTAATACATAGTAAATAAATTTAATGCTTAAATAAGCAATTAGCTAGCAATTATTATTTTTTTATTTTAAGATAAAACGATTTAGCTTATGGAGCAATAACATTGGGCGGAAATATTTTACATATATTATTTATGGTTTATTTTTTATATTTTAATTCATCAGTAGCTGAGCTGAGATAAAAGAAAGAAAGATACTTTAAGATAAGTGTTTGAAGATTAAAAGCTTAGTTACAAAAATTATCTTTTTTGATTAACTTTATTAAAAGAAATAAAAAAGGTTACAATAATGTGCTTAGAATTTTAATCGTCTTTGAAAAAGGATAAACTTATTTTGTAAATAAATATCTAAATAAGTCAAATCACAAAAAAAGGTTTTATTATATTAAATATATAATTTTTAAATGTAAAACTGTTAAATTTATATTAAATATTATGACATTATACATAACAATTAATACACCCAATATCTATAATATATCTTTATAATTTTCATTATATAATTAAATATTTTCCTCTTGTCTAATATAACTTATTTATTTATTATTTGCTTTAATTCGATTCTGTATTTTTTATTTTAAAATTTTTAATTTAATTGGAATTGAAATAGAAATAATAAATATTAATAATTTATTTGCCTACTTTAATATTTTATCATTCAACGACATTCTTTAGCTCATTTTACATTTTTAGTGCTTTTGCATGATTGGGTTTTAGTTTAAGACACTAATTTAAATTTTTGTTTGCTTTATTATATTAGAGAGTTTTATATTGAATATTTGCTAATTTGAAATATGCATCAGCATCATTACTTTCATGATTTAAATATTATTCTAGGAATACTTCTGCTTTTATGTTTTGGTTTTGAATGATGTAAATATCTGCTATTATTTTAAGAGAAAAGTAGAGTTATTAATCTAATTAAAAAGCATTCATAAGGTTATTGAGAGCATCATCGAATTTTTGTGTTTCAAATTAAACTCTTCCTAAATTAAGTAGAAGGAAAGCATTTTGATTGCTATTATACAATTAATAATCTACTTACTTAGCTTTGATATACAATTCTTCTGCTTATGTGTATAGCTTCTTATGGAAGTACAAATTACCTAAATTTGACAAAGCCTCAAAGGAGTTTTCATCTATTGAAATAGCCTCCAAATAATATTTTTCAGCTTCGTCATATTCATTATTCATGAAATGAATTAGACCTAAATTTATATATGCAGTTGAATACTCTTTATTGACTGAAATACATTTAATGAAAAACTGCTAGGCTTCTATGAAATTATTCATAATCATGCAGACCAAACCTAAATTATAATAATCAGTATCAATAGGACGAATTTTTACAGCGTTTATATAGAACTCCTTTGCCTTTTCGAATTTTTTAGATTCATGAAATATTCCTGCCAAAACTCGATATGCATTAGGATTTCTTGAATCAATTTTAATGCACTTATTCAAATAGACTTCAGCCTATGATTAATTATTTTGCTCTAAAAATGCACAGGCTATATTAAAATTTGCTTCATAGTTTCTTGGATTGAGTTTTATGCTCTAATTTAAGTGGTTAAGAGCATTTGAAATATATTTATTATTTTCTTAGCGATTAGATAAAAACTTCTATAAGTAGAGTATTCCAATGTTGAGGTGAGTTTTATCGTTTAAAATATAATCCTAAAGGCTAGAAGTGTACATTTCTATAGCTAATTCATCCTTTTAAATTATTTGAAATAAAGTCCCAAGCTGAGTCTTAGCCTTGGCTCGTTAAAAATTATCACTTGTAACATTTATGATATTATTCAGCTACTCTATTGCTTATTCATATCTCCCAAGTTTAATATTTTTAGTAGCATTTGTGTAAATTTCTTCTAAAATTTGGTATTATTAGTTATATTATTGATGTTCTTCTTGCTCCTCTTGATAATCATCAATAGCTAACTAGTCTTCCACAACTTATACTTGAATATCTTTTTCTGAGTTCTAACGAAACTTTTTAGATTGCTTCCTATTAGATTCATAGTTTTGGTTTAAGGGTTCGTCTATTTAGTTTAAAGATGAAATATTCTAAATAGAAGAAATTGTACTTTCTCCATATTGCATATCTAAAATATTCTAAGCGTTTCTTTTCAAAATCCTTCCTCTTTTTTAAGAGAACTTTGAATTTGAGTTATCTGCATTTTGAATATTATTCATTTTTAACAAATTTCTTTCTACACTTAAGAACTAATTTTGCTTCAATTAATTTAATTAATTATTTAAGTATGAATTAATCATTATAATTTGAATGGTTATTTACATAATGCTAATCAATTCATATAAATCTAATAAAAATTAGATTGTAAATAAAACCATTCAAGCAAATACATTCATAAATTATATATTTTTCATTTTCTACAATTTTAAATATGAAGAACAAATAATTTAAAATCTACTTGCTAAATTAATATTTAAACAAATATAATATTTCGATATTCATTTTCTTATTTTGATTGTCTAATAAAATTAAGCTTTATAGCATAAAGTATAAAATGAATAATATTAAATTTAATTTCTTAAACTGATTGCTTATTTTAAGCAAAAAAGAAAAATATCTTTTTCGATTAAAATTTTATTTAATTATATTCAATAAAATCTAACAAATTGCTATCTAAAGCATTTTTAATAGCAATTTAAATTAACTTGAGAAGAATTTATCATTCAAAAAGAGTGTTTCAATAAAAAAATATTCAATAAAAGTATTCTATGTATAATATTAGTATCAATTTATATTTGTAATAATTTTAGATTTATTAAAATATATTTTAAAATCTATTGAACCAACCTGTAAATATATTTTTTGTTAAAAGTTCAAATTTTATTTATTTATTTACAATATTTATTTACAAAACTTACTTGAATATTTTAAGATCATTATTTTTAATTATTTACATTTTATTCTTCTATTAAACTTTAGGTTAAATTATTTTAATATGTCTCATTTGTTTCTTTAATTGTATTGTTTACTTACTATTTATGTTTTAATTGCACTTAATTCGTTTAAATATGGTTCTCTTTCATTTGCTAAATAATAAAATAATAATTTATTAAATTAAATTTTTAAAAATATTTTTGTAAGTAAATTGAATCTAATCCAAAGTTAATTCTTTATTTTACTATCTATAATAAATAAAAAATATTGTTAATAAGTTACTTATTCTTGTTATAATTCTTGTAATTAGATTTGTCTATTGTTTCTTTAGTTAACACTTAGTTATCTAATTTAACTATTCTTATTAGATTGCTCTTTATTATTGTTTTATATTGGATTTAGTGTGATGTTTTTAGAATTATTTTAACAAAAACGAATATTTTCTTCAATATTTCTCATCATATTTTATTATCTCTTCTATCTTATTGTTAGATCAATCTAATTTTCTTAGTGAGAATCTGGTCTTTTTATAAGCACTCTGTTTTACTTAGCACTAAAGATATCAAATTATTACTTTTACTACAAATTATTTTATTTTTACTTTAGTTTTATACTTTAAGTTTCACTATCTCTTATCCTTACTACATCTAGTTCATCTTTCAAGGTTGCTTACTGCTAAACCTAAGAATTTTAATTAGGAGCTATTCTAAATGATGGCTGATTCAAATAACTATGGCTAAATAGATTTCCTCCAGAATTTTAAATTTGATTACTTGGTTAGTAACATATTTATAGATATGGTGATAGTTGCTCACCCAAACCCTGTATTTGATATATTTAATTATTATATGTTAAATCTTATTATTTTTGATTTTTTATATCATTCTAAAGAGTATCATTTTTATTATGAATCAAGCTTTTAGGCTTTTTTTACTCCTTAGAAAGCTTTTGTTATTATTCAAATACTATGAACTGGTTTTCTAGTTATAATTTTTCTCCTTAATTATTCAAGTTTTTTTATTATTAAGGAGATTAGTTTGGAATTATTTCTTAAGAAAATGTTGGAGATATTATTGATTAGCTTTAGTTTTAATATAAATCAACAAGCTTTTCAAGGCATTCTTGTATTTCTTGTTCCCTTAAATCAGGTTGATTTTCATCAAATTACTTGAATGAATTTTCATTAAAATTCAAACTTTTTCTCACTTGTCCTTGCAGATTCTCAATATCTTTTTATCTTGAATTAATTGTTCTTTACTATTCTGTGCATATTGGATTATATTTTTCAGTTATCAAAGGATTATTAAAATTTCTTTCTGTGTAAAGACAATTATTTTTATCTTAAGTGTGATGAGTATTAAATGTTGTATTCATTTTGATATATTCATTAGAATTTTATTATTCTTAATTGGTGTTTGTATGTTAATTATTTGTAAAATACTTTTAGTCTTATTTTGTTTATATGATTTTTGGACTATTGTTTGTAAAAAAATCAAAAGTGTTCTAATGATTATAAAGATTTTAATTATTCCTAGTTGAAACAGTCCTACTTCTTTCATTTATTTGATCTGCCTTTATATTTGTAGAGAATGTTGTTTCTTTAGTTAAATTATTAAAAGCATTATAACCAGAATTATTAATATCAATATCTATAGTATTTTTTTTATATCTAGAAGCATTCTTTATTCTTGTATGCATAAATTTATCATACACTCCATAAGTATTTAACATCAAATATTTTTTTGCTTCAAAATTATTTAATTATTATTCCATGTTATTTTCATTCAAATTCCTATTTTTTAAATTTAAATTATTATTTTATTTTCAAAATAATTTTACCTATTTTGATCTTCATTTTGTTATTTAACTTATTGGATGATATTTTAGCCATTTTAAGCTTTATTTTAAATGAATGGTAGCTTATCTACTTCTTTTGTTTATTAAATAAATCCATTTGTATTTTAATCTTAAGCCTTTACATTATTAGTTGATTTGACAGTAGTCCTGTTCATTATACTATTAAAACTTTCATTTTAATATTACTCTTAGCCTTTTAATCTTAAATTCATAAAATTTGATTTTATATTTTTATTTTGAGCATTCCTAGAAGTTATATTTTAATTTCCTATTTGGTTATATTGTTACTGTTCATTTCTACTTTTTACTTTAAAATTTATTTTAAATTAAATTTAAACAAAAAATAAATTTAACTTATGTCACCCTTTTATTTTATAAATGAGATTGAAACCATTAAAAAAAATATTGAGAAGAAAAGGGGGGAGGGAGGCATTGAGGAAGAATTGATGTAATAAATTTTAAATAAAATATATTACAGACAGTTTAAGCTCTATTTAAAATATTTAATTTTTGGAACTAATTAGAAGGATTATTCTCAATCGTTTTAAATGAGCCATCCTCTAAAATTCTACTTTTCATTCTAGAATGAGGAGAAATAGATTAGGTATTTCTAATTTTTTAAATTTATGTTTTAGTTTGATTAGCTTTTTGGCAGTAAGTTTCTTGAAAAAATTTATCAACTTAATCTTAGTTTAAGTCAGTTTAAACATTGATGTGGTGTTTGATGTATGAGTGAAATCCTTCTTCATAAATTTTTTATCGTTTTTAAATCTTAGCTGATTCTTTTTATTCTTTTGATTATTACACTTTATGCAAGAGTTTTATATTCTCCAACAAGATTTAAGTCATTTTATGATTTTCACCAAGTTCATTTTGGGCTATTTCATGGCCAGCTTAGTAAGCTGTGATGCTGTTACCATAAGATTTGAGATGTTCTTACTCTATTCCTAAGTTATAATATGATAAAACTAACATATTCATAATATCTTTATACACTCTTAACTTTTAATTAAGTATTTTTTATGTTTCATTATCGTTCTAGTTTTTTAGCTTTTCGTTTAAACTTTAAATTTCTTCTTTTTTAATTACTGAATTCTTAGCCAAATCAAGCAGTTCTATTGCAATTTTTGCATGCTCAGAAGCTATATCATGTCTAATTTGAATATTTTAAAACAAATTAATATAATTTTTTTCATACATAAATTCTATTTAAGTAATTTATGATTTCTTTTTTTTAAAAGTTATCTTAAGGATTTATTTTTTAAAGCAAAATTAATTTAGTATTTTTAAAATCATTTTAAAAAATATCTTTTGTTGAACTATTCAAAATAAATAAAATATTAAATCTTACTTGTTTAACCTAGATAAAATAGCACATATATTTAAATGAGTACTCGCAATAGTTGTGCTATCATGAACAGAATAGACTTCAATCATTAAGGATTTTTTCAAATAATTTAAGGCAACGTTAGGTTTTTCATCTCTATATAACATGAAATAATTTATCTTAATACATTTTATTAGTTTTAATTATACTTTCTATAATAGCATCCTAAATTATTATATGTGATTGCTAATAATTTATTTATAACGAAATTCTATTAAGATTTATTATATTCGCTTAACAGCAACTTCTCACATTTTTTCAGCAGTTCTAAGCAATCAGCTTTCTTTTCTATTAACAAAGTATAAAATTATAAGATTTCTATTAAATTAATATGAAATATTTACCTATTTTTAAATATTCCATTCCAAGCTTATTTGATTTTAGAATTAATTTCTCCATCTAATTTATATTTAATCATTTATTGTAATTTAGATAATTCAATTATGGCTATAATAATAATAATTAATATTTTTTACCTATTTATATTCCTCTTCTTGAGGTTTGAGCGAATTCTAATCAGATATATCTAGCTTATATGCTTGGACTTAGTTAGATATTTCTGACATTATGGCTCACTTCTATTAAATATTTTTTGCTAATTAATTATTTTTTATGAAAAAAAAAAAAAAAACAGAGAATAACTTGTCTTATTTATTATATTTATCATAATCAAAAGCATAAAATTGAATAGAAGTATTTGTTTCCTTTAATCTATTGATCCGTTTACTTTTACAAGATTTGTTTTTATATTTACGTTGAACAAATAATAAATAAAGTAATCAAAATCCTTATTTTTTTTATTTAATAAAAGATAATCATAGCCATTGAATTTGTATAATTAATCAATTATTCATTTATCAACAAAAATATCATTAATTGCTCATTCTTGAAATACAGGTCTAAATTAATAATAGCTTGTTAAAATATTTATTTAAATTATAATAATATGGTTTACATGCATATTCATTATTTATAAAATCTATAAGAAAAATAAAATATAAAAATTATTAAATAATTTTTTCATTTATTTTAGCTATTTACCAAAAAAATGAAAATTTACTATTATTAAGTTAAAATTTGGATAAAATTATAAATTTTAATTAATAATGTAATTAAATATTTTATATTAAAAAAAGCTTTTGAAATAATTTTTACACGAATTTTTTAATAATTTATTATTTTATGTGTTAAAAAAAATATATATTTATAATTTTATCAAGTTTATATATTTGGTAGCCTTGTAAATCTTAATGAAAATCTTTAAAAAAATTTTTATTTTTCACATACTGCTTATGGGATTAGTGTTTTATAAGCTCCAAAGTACTGGCTACTCTTTTGATTATAAAATTAGCCTATGTTTAAGTCATAATTCATTATGATTTGTTTTATATAAAGTAATTAGTAAAAATTATAATAATTTTAATATATAAGAAATTAGAAATATAAAGAAAACAATTAAGTGTTTCAATCTTAATAATTAAAATAAATTAAAAATAAAATTTGTACCCTACTCAATACCTCAATCCTACCACAAAAGCAATTAAATATATAATTATAGTATATAGGAAAGCATTAAAATTTAGCAGTTAAAAATAGTTTAATAGAAAAAAAAATAATCAATTAAATAGAATTTAATTAAAATTTTGGAAGAAATGAGAAAAATGGTTATAAAATCAAGAATAATTTTTCTAATAATATTTAGCTTTACTTACTGCTAAAATAAAAATAATTGCGGTGTTGGGTGTAAGATTTGTACTATTGACTAAAAAGATGATGATTCTTATAAGTGTAGCGAATGTAAATATGGATACAATCTTGATACGAATAGCTATAAATGTGTTTACTCTAATTGCTAAGATAACTTATTTCTTTAAATAGATGAGTCTTAAGGCGATGATTCTAATGGAAGTTGTGTTTCTATCTGCAATCCACTTTATATCGGAGATCCTATTTAGAAAATATGTGTGCCTTTATCTTAATGCTCTTCTGAATTTGAAACTGAATAAAATTTTCTTAGCTCTAGTTTACCCGAAGATATATTCATCTATTAGGAAATATACTATGTTGTGGTATAAAATGGTTATTTGTCCTTATTTGATAGAAGCTAAGTTCAACTAATAACACATATTAACTTTTAATCTAATGATTTAAGAGTTTAAAATATAAATGGATTAGTTGTTGTATTGACGAAACAAAATTAGGTTGCTCTATGGGATATTATAACAGGGTAGAGATAGATAATTTACAATAGTACTGATTTATCAATAAATCAATAAACATAATTAAGAAATTTGAATAATTAATACATAATGCTATTATTTGATAATGAAAACTCAATGCAATTAAAAGTAATTTACGATTTACTTAATAGTAAATTTACAGTTTCTAATTTGATTTCAATAGATTAGAGTGATAGCTTGATTTAGCTAAATAACAATCTTATTATTTAAGAATTTGGAAAATCTATGATACTATAATAAATTGCTGTTGCTAATTCAAATAATTTATAACTATAATTAAGAAGTAAAATAATCTGCGATACTTCAGTTATAGGAGAGGTTATTTAAATAATCAATACTTAATATTTTGATGAGTATTTTTCTGTTCACAAAAATGGTATATTTGAAATAAATTATGGTCTAAATTCTTGTCTCATAAAATTAAACGAACAAAATATCTATAAAGGAAAGTTAATTAACATAGGGGAAATCTCAACTAACCTTCATTTGATTATTTTAACTTAAGAATTTTTACTTTTAATTTAAATAACACTTCAAAACAAACGATCGCAAATAATAATAATAATTCAATCTTAGATTTTGAGGTAGGTAACTTTTTGAATACCAATAATTCGATAATAATCATGAATAATTTAAACTAACTGTAAATTTATAAATTGATATAATCCAACACATCATTCAATTTGGAATATTACACCAATTTCTCACTTATTAGTAGTTAAAAATTATTAAAATTACAAAAATAGTATTAAAATCAGTATGATTAAATTCTTGAAGGTGATTAATAATATGAAATAGCCCTGATGAATTCTTAAATACAAATAATACGTTAGAATTTCATTTATAATTCACAGCTAGAAGGAAAAATAATTGATAATTACCAAATGCCATATCCTACACCTAGTTCCTAGGTAAATTCCTTAGTGCTAATATATCAGCCTTCACTTCTACTTTCTTGCCATTAGAATGGTGATATATTATTTTATGATACGTCATCAGGAATTGATTTTAAATTAATAAATAAAATATAAAATTAATAGGCTTAATGCTTATAAATTGGAAGGTTTAACAATAATTATGTAGTGGTATAGATGAGTGACTCAATTTTGTTGATTGATCCTTATTTATAATAAGTGATAAATTCAAATAAAAATTTAAATAATATTAATTCACTCTCTATTAATTATGATAAGGTTGCAATCAGTTATAATAACTGTATAATTATTCTTTCCCCAATTTTTTAATAATTATTTAATTTGTGCGATGACTCTTATTTTTTAAACGTTTAGAGTGTTTTCTTAAATAATGACCTGAAATTATATGTCCAAACAAGTTAAGCTATTTCAATTTACTAAACAATTATTTAATAATCTTCATAATAATAAGAATCATCATCCTAATCAGTAATATAAATAAACTCGATAACATTAAAAAGCAGTATCACATACTTTAATTGCATTGTTTTATTTAAATCTGACTAAGACAAAATAAATAATATTTACTCTATAGATGAAATAGTAATTTATGACAGTTAATTTAGCTTTAGTATTTTTGATTCTTCTCTACAATTAATTCATAAAGTTTCAAATATTGCTTTAAGTTCAGTAAATTAAGCAAAAAGGGTAGTGAATGACAATACTGCTTACTTTTTAATAGGATACTCAAAGTCTGCAAATCCTGTTGTGAGAATACATGGAATAACAAAGACATCTGAAGTTTCTTTTGCCAACGATTTCACATTTTAATATTCCCCATTTATTGATGATCCTATAAAAAACGTTAACTAAGCAGGAAAAGTATATTACCATGTTAAACATATAATGCAATTAAATTTTTTTAGTTTGCACGAAGAATATCAAATGGACTTTGATAGAAATATTACATATACTTGTGGACATGATTATATCTATGGAGCAACCTAAACAACTTAAGTTAAGTTACAGATTGGTTCAAGTAATAATTATTTGGACTATGTTGGAACTTAGTAAGGTTTGTCGGGAGCCTTAAAGTATTAGCTAAAAAGATATGAAATTTTAAGTACATCAAACATTTTTTCTGGTAGTCACAGTAATGACCAAATATAATAAGTATTATAAAGTACAAATTTGTATATGTATTTTGTCATTACTAGCTATTAAATATCTTCATTCAATTTATTTACTAACCAGTTTATTGAATTGCTTTCTCCTTAATTATCTAGTGATCCTCCATTCACTTCAATCTCAGAAATATTAATCTTAAAAAGCATAATTTGCTGGAATAGTAATCAAATTCTTCTGTCTACATATGGAAGTATAAATTAGAAGTATTATTTTAAGGGATTTTCACAAATTAATGGATGGGTATTTGATGATGTAAATAATTATTTCTTCATTTATGGTTCTAGTTTAGCAAAATTAGATACTAAACTTAAATATTTGTTAAATATTTCAAATGAATCATAAAATCTTAACTTTATTGTATGTCATAATACTTAAAATACAATTATTTGCAGTAATTCTCCTTCTTAGTTCTCAATTATTGATAAAAAAAAAAATACAATACAAATTGTTCAAGTTAATGGATTCTAAAGTTAATTTAAAATAGGATTAGATGAAGCTTAATAAAATATTTATCTCTATGATACTTAAGTCTATATTTATAATTTGCAAGGTGTTTTTAACTAAGTGATTTCTCTTAATGCCAACACTCTGAACACTTTCGAAGTACAAACTGCTTATGTAATTTTTTCCTCTTATTAATGTAAATATTTTTTATTTATTTTTATATTTAAACAAATTTAGTTAAATTTATTAGTCTCAATTATTTTTAGATAATATTTATTAAATATTTAAAAAATAAATTATAGATATGGCTTTTTTAGATAGAAAGAGTTTTTCACTTGAAAGCTAAATTGTAGCACCTTCTGGGTTGAGTATTTTGAAATATATTTACTTAAAAGAACTATCAGAAATAATGCTCTATTGTAATAATTCTCTTTTTGCATAAATATATATATATAGTATACCTTCTGGTACTTTAGCTGGTAAAATTTCAGGGGTATTTTCTTGGAATAAAGTAGGAGTTGTTATAGATATGGCCTATGATTCAGATCAAACAAAAGTTCTTTACTTAGATGACACTGGAAATTTTTATATTTATGAACTATATAATGAATATACTCTACTTAACAATTACAAATTTACAGAAATTTATGACAGGAATGAATCTCTTCTTGGTTTTACTTTTAATAGGGAGTATAATAATATTTTTGTATATAGCAAAACTTCTATATATCAAATAAATTATAGTAAAACTGGAGTTAAATATGAATTTGGATTAAAAGAACCTTGGAACTTATTTACCTCTATTCCAATTAGTTAGTATGAAACTTAATTTATAGTAGTTAATAATAATAACAACATTTTTAAATATAAAAATCTTACTATGTAATATGAAAATACTTTAAACTAATAGCCAATAGATGTTGTTTATGATCCTTCTTTGGATGTCTTAGTTTACGCATTTTCAAATCATCTTAGTTTCACGTAATAATATTAATTTTCATTGAATAATAATTTAATACCTCAAACACAAATGCTTGACTAGATTTAATTCTATCGCTTTTTAATGAGCAATCTATATCTAACTTATGATAAAAAAATAATCCACTGCAATATTAAAAACGCAAGTATAATAAATATTATTTAATTTGATACTAAGATTTTTGTTACTAGCTTTGAATTAAATCAATATAGAGATATTTTACTTGTTGGATTTAGTAATGGATAATTACTTTAGTATAGTTTAAATAATTAATATTCTAAATACTATACTATTTCTGATACATAAGCAATAAGCATATCTGTAATCAAGATAATAATAGATGATGATAATTAATAATAACAATAGGCAATAGCTGTTACAAATGGAGGTTAAGCAATTTTAATAGACCTTAATAATAACTTGCTAATTAAAAAAATTGATCTAATTAGTTTGGTTAATGAAGACAATTAAGTAAATCTGTAAGGTTTAATTTATGATAAAGTATACTCAAGGTATATTTTCTATTTTAGTGGTTAAAAGAAGGCTTACGTTTGGAATTTCATGTCTAACTAACAAGAAAATTTCTTGATGCTGCCTAATGATTAAGCAAATAATATAAAATAAACAAACTTGTGGATTTTGACTTCATGCTATTATCAAATAAATGTATATTCTAAGGCGAAAAATATTTAACTGTTTAATATAATAAAAAGAAATATTTTTCGTGATTCCATTATGGATTATTAAGTTATAAATGACAATTAGATAATCATACTTCTCTAAAGTAGGTTTGAGATATTTTTAATTCAAGAAAGTAAAAGCATGTTAATTTATCAATAGCAATCTGTATATCCTAGATTTTTAGGATATATCTATAATTAAGTAAAAAATTTTTTAAAAATTTATATGCTTGATTCAACTAAATTATACGAAGCAAATATAAGCTTAGGAATTTATGAAGATAATACAGTAACATAGTGCGCAAGCATAGTAAATAGTTAGAATTTTTTAAGTGCAATTTAATAATTTTTATCTATTATTCCTAAGTAAATTGAGACATTTAGTTTTTATGGAAATATTTTAACTTAATAACCTGATTGGAATAATTTAATTTATTTTTAAATATCAGGATACCAATATAATATCATAAATACTATTATGTAGTAATTATCTCTTTAAAATACTTAGATAATTACATCTCCCTAAAATTAAACAGATAATAACTTAATTTTAGCATAAGATACTTTCTAAAACATATAATAATAAATTCTTTATCTAAGTAACTATAGCTTAGTTTTTTAAAACAGCAATTAAACACAATCAATTTCTATGAATTAAAATATCTAAAAGATCATTTGGTAAAATATATCAATTTAATAATAATAAATTAATGCTACTGAGATTGTTATACAAAATGCATAATAGGTTATTCTAAATTAAATAAATCTATAATCATTACATAATAACAACTTTAATAATATAAATAGTAGTCTGATTAAATTTATAAAAATAGGAAGTATTTTAATTAATGAATTGATAATTTAAGATTGTTTTTATTCTTAATAATCATAAAAATAATTGTTTTAATTTTATGATGTTTAGAATATAACTATAAATTAGGTTAAAATTATGTATAATTAGGATATAAATTAAATTTTTAATTTTTCACTAGTCTCAAATCTTGCTGTAAAAAATATTTAAATCATTGGAAATAAAATTTTATCTAAAAATCGTTTACTTTAATCAAGTATTTAGAATGATTAAAATTTAGCCTTTTTCGAAATTTATGGGTGTTTTTCTAGCTTTTTATAGAATTTTGTTATTTAAAATAACTATTAAGTTCCTATTTTATAAATCTATAGTAATTACACTCAAAATAACTAGCAAATAACCCTTATGGATGATATTTTATAATTTGAATCATTTATTTCTAATAACAATTCACTGAATAGCTAACCAATTTATGAAATTAGAAGCTCTATTGTTGAAATTAATAACCTAACACATTCTTAAAATTAAGGTAATTTTATGATCAGCTTATCAAATCAGGTTAAGATTTCTAATAGCTAATTTATATAAAATTATGCTTAAAATGGAGGGGCAATATATTTTTAAGGAATCCTTTCATAAATTTAAATAAATTCATCTTAATTTTTTGGTAATTAAGCAAATAGTAGTGGAGGTGCTATTTATATGGAGGATATTGGTTCATGCGAAGTTATATTTAATGCTAATAGTACAGTCTAAAATAACACAGCATTAATAGGAGGAGGAATAAGAATAGTAAAGAAAAACGCAGATAAACTTATTCTACCATAAAAATACCCATTTTAGCACAATGTTTTCAACAACAAAGCAGAGATTTATGGTGATGATTCAACTACTTATTTATAAAATTTAATTTTTCAAAATTATAAGATACCAGATGAATAAGCATCTTATAATTTTAGCTTTAGTGATAATTAAAATGATGTACCTCTTAACTATTAATCTCAATACTAAAAATCCATTTCAATAAGTAATTTCTAAAGTGGAGGTTATCTTGTTTTAAGAATTTACATCGTTGATAATTACAATAGATATCTTTCTTTTTCTAAAGAATACCTAACTCAAGGACTTTATCCATAAGAAGTAGAGTTAGAATTAAAAGGTATTGAAGTTTTGATTGATAACTTAAACAATTAATAGACTTAATTGATAGGTGAAAAAATATTAAATTACAATTAATATGATACTAACAGCAAAAGCTATGAACTTACTGGGTTATCAATATATGGTAAACTAGAAACATAACAAATATTTTCTATAAGTTCTAGTGTATTCTCTTTATCGTAAAACTAAAAAACTATACTAATGTAAATTTAATTTAGGAAATGCTTATTAGGTGAAATAATAGAGGAACAAACAACCCAAATAAGTATCTGTAAATAATGTTATGTAGGTTCATATCAGCTAATAGATCCTTAAACTTTATTACAGCAGTCACTAATTAAATAACAAGATACAGTAAAAAATTAATGTAATTATTGTCCTTTATCTGCTAGCTTTTGCTAGGGATCGATAATAATTCTTAAAAATGATTATTGGAGAAGTGGTAATAATTCAGATGAAATATTAGAATGCAATACCTACACAAATTCTTGTCAAGCAGAAAATCCTTAGAGCTTTGAAGGATGTGTTTAAGGATATATAGGTCCACTTTGTGAATAATGTGATATAACAGGAGAAATCTGGGAAAGTGGAAGATATACTTAACAAATAAATCTTGGATTTTGTAATTTATGTTCAAACAGAACCGTTTAGTATTTTTTCATTATACTAAAAGCAATATTTTTAATAATATATTTCATATTTAATCTTAAAGTGTTCATAAATTAGTTTCTTTACTCATAGACTTGCTACTATTTAAGGGCTATGAAAATGTTCCCTATTTCTAAAAATTCTGTGAAAGATTACTCAGGATTTTATATTAAAATAATAGTAAACTATCTTTAGTTGTCATCTCTTTTAATTTAACAACCCTAAATTATTCCTGCTAGCTTTGATGCACTTGGTAATTTTATTGGTAAATCTAATAAATAAGTAAGTTTAGGTATAGATTGTATGATAAGTAAAGATGCATTCAATAATTTAGGCAAAGTAGTTATTTATGCTTTAATTTAAAGCTTAATTCCCTTGGTTTTTATAGTTTTTATGTGTATTTCGCTATTTGTGATATAACAGATACGCTAAAAATGGATCAAAAAATATCACTACTGGACTCTGTTTTAAATATTGTATATATTCTTTCAGCTAGAGCAAATATAATACTTTTCTAACTCTTTAACTTGTAGATAAATAGGTTCACAGAAATATAATCCTAATGATTTAACTTAATTATGCGAATAAGAGCACATATAAGTTTTCATTAAACCATTTTCATTAATAATTTTATTTGGATGGTCTATAATGCCTTTGACATTTTTATATTAGCTCTATAAGAAAAAAAATAAATTAGATGAATGTCATACAAAATATAGTTTTGGTTTCTTTTATGGTGAATTGAAGAGCAAATATTACTTCTGGGAGTTTGTTAGAATGTACCTAAAAGTTACTCTAGTCTATCTACATATTTTTTTGTCTAATTCATTGTTAAACTTTTCTGAAGTTTTAGTTATAGTGATTGTTGGAGCTTACATAATAGCTGTTTTTTATTTTTAACCTTTTGTCTCTAAATAAATTTCTAAAAGTGAAATTATAGCTTATGCTTTTATAATTTTGAAAATTCTCTTAAAAATTCTTGCATAAGATTTGAACTCTAGTCAATTTATTATTGAATTATCTATTTTAATAATTGACTATATATTATTTGTTTCATTAATAGGCATAATTTTAATAAATAAAATTTAAAACTAGTAATCTATTTTAGGTAAAGTTTTGATAGCAATTATTTTCAAAATTCTACCTACCAGTATTGCAAAAAAAGCCATTAATTTTAGAAAAGTCAGTCTTAAAGCATACTTTAGATGGAAATTTATAAGGTCAAATATATATTGTATAATCTAACAAAAGGCCAACCAAAACATTGATAATATTAAGGATAAATTTACTAATGGTAGTAAATAATCTTAGAATCAGTAATAATCACATCTTGGTAAAATTGATTAAAATAATTATTGTATTTTTATAAAATTTTTTTAGTTTATTTTTAAAATAGTAGCATAAATACTAACTGCTATTCATAGTAATCTAGCCCTAAATAATTAATAGATAATCTAAAAAAGAAAAGAAATTTTCAAATATAGGACAATAATTATCCAAATTAATAGATTAATTTAGATTATGTAAACGAAGACTAAGACTAGAGTTAAGGAGATGACTAAACAGAGTAATTAGATCCAAAAAAAGTTTAATAATATAATTTTTAGACAAGACCTTCAGTCTATAATCCATAAATAAATATAGATCTATTTATATGAATACAATCTTTACTGAGTAATGATAATATATTCTTTTATGTGTTTTGTTATTTTATCATTAACTTTTTTTAATTTTTTTGTAAATTTTTTTGATAAAAAGTAGTTTTTAAAATTTTTAGAAGCTTGCTTTTAGTTTTAGCTAGCGTTAAAACATAAATTAAAAATTAAATAGATTAATTATTTTTATTTAATTTTATATGTAAAATCTTTAAAAATTTTTCTATTTAAGTAGCAACTCTATTAATATAAGAAATAAATAAATTTATTTATGTGCAAAAAAAAACTTAACACTTTTAAGGATAAAATTTTTTCTTTTTATTCCATAATTGAATAAAAATAATGTAAATAAATTCATACAAAATATAAACATCACTCACACTAAATTAAAATGATTTATTTATCATTTTAATTTTATTTTGTTATTTTTTTATATAAATTTAATTTGTTAGCATTGAAAATTAAAAAAAATGTATTAAGCAATTATCAGAAAGAAATAATAATGTTTTAAAATTTTTTAAAGAAATAAAAAATAAGAATGTTTGAATTTTTGATTATCAGGATGAAAAAGAAACATTTAATAAAGAAAAAATAAATTAATGCTTGGAGTCAAAAGATATTTCTAATCAATTTTAATTATTTAGTCATCGGTATTAATTAATTTATTTGTTTTATTAAAGAAATAAATAAGGGACATCTGTCAAATTAAATATACTGATAAAAGATTTATTAAGAATATGACTGAGTTGGACACATTAAAAAATAAAAGACTTATGATACATAATTATTAATATATTTAGTTAGATATTAATGAGTATTTTGATGAACATCAATGAATTTCTTAACAAAAATTAATAATAAATGATATATTTAGGAAGACAAACAAACAAGCAAGCAAGAAATCAAAGATAAAGTGAAATTTTGATAGATGTGTAAGAAAAAAAACATAGTAAAAAAGAAAGAAGCGTAAAATATAAATAAATAAATAAAATAAATTAACAAATCCATAAATCAATTGTTGTTTGTTTGAATCATATAAATAAATTATTAATCAAACATTAAATCAATTTAGTTTAGCATTAATCAAGTCTTTCTTAGTGCAAAGAAAAGGAAAAAGCGACACAAGTTATTAATAATAAAATTAAAAAGTATGTAAGGAGTTGTTTACTCGAACAATAAATCATCTTCATCATCATCTTCTTCTGCTTCAAATAGTAAAAATACAGCAAGTACCAAGAATGGTCCTAATCAAATTGGTGGAGCTAAAACAGCTCAAAAATCTCAATAGTACTTTGATCAACCAAAGAGAGGAGAAGTTGACGAATTGAGAGAGTAAATTTTTTCAAATAAGATATTATTATTTTAGATTTAATTATTAGATATTATAAAATATGAAATTTTCTCATTTTAATATGGCTATTTTATTACCAAAATAGAATTCTTAAAAAGCACATGTTTGATAGAGATGAAAAGAAGAAGAGAGATCTAGTCAAGAAAGTTATTGCATACATGACTTTAGGTAACAGATACAGCTTAATTTTATCTTGTCTAAAATTTAACTTAGTGTTTTTAAAATGGATATTCATCATTTAGATTTAAAAAGAAAGCAATTCATTTCTATAATTTGCAAAAGCTTATTTAGCATATGAACAATAATCAAAATTAATTATAAAAATAATTTATTTGAAGCAAGTAGGAGAATAGTAAATAAATATAATTTATTATTTTAAAAAGGAATTGATGTATCCAAGTTATTCGATTAAATGGTCATTGTTTCTTAGACAGCAGATTTAGTTCAAAAGAAAATGATTTACCTTTATTTGACTAATTATGCAGAATAAAATCCTGATACTGCATTGATGGCTATTAACACTTTCATCAAAGATTGTGATAACAAAGATCCCAAGGTTAAAGGTCTAGCTTTAAGATCACTTTGCAGTTTGCGTTTTTCAGGTTCATTTGAATATCTTATTCCTGCCATTAATAAGGCACTTTAAGACATTGACCCTTATGTTAGAAAAACTGCTATCATGGGTTGTGTTAAGGTTTTTTATATGAATCCTGAAGTCATCAAAAGTAAGAAATACCTTTTCCAATAAAATTTTATTTAGTAACAAAAATAACCAAAGAAAAAAGAAGAAAATTATTGTTTCGATTTGTTTTGAAAATTATTTTCTTGAAAGAATTGAAAATAGCTTTTTAGGCATTTTGAATAGCTTTAAAATAATTTATTTTCTTTTTAAGTTTATTTGATTAGTTAGTTTATATAAAAATTATAACCTGATAGAATTTGAAAAAAGCTAAAATAATTTTTTATGTATTTAATAAAAGATAAAGAAATTATTGATACTTTATACAAGATGATTAAGGACCCTGATGCTTTAGTTATGTAAAATGCCATTTGTGCCCTTAATGAAATTTTAGCTGATGAAGGTGGCATCAAAACCTACCGTCAAATGATTATTCACCTTTTGAACAATTTGAAAAATTTCAACAATTGGGGTCAAACTATTGTCCTATAGCTTGTTGCCAAATATACTCCCATCAATGAAGAAGAAATGTACGATATAATGGTAAATAAATAAATATATATTCATAAAATTGAAGTTATTGATAAATCAATAAATGTTAAAAATAGAATCTATTAGATGAAAGACTTAAGCAATCTTGTATTTCAGTAGTTCTAGGCACAATCAAAGTATTTATGAACTTCACTCAAAATAATTAAAAGATTTACAATTCAGTTTTCAAGAGAGTTAAAAGTAAATTAAATTATAATTTATGATACAAATGTAAAATTCAAACTATTAATTCAATAAAAGCTCCTTTGATTACTTTAATGTCCTCTACAGAAACAACAGGATCTTTTGAAATTACTTACCCTGTACTTTGTCACATTAACTTAATCACATCAAAGTAAATAGTTTTATTTTAATTACTTTTCTTAAATTATTTATTTAATTATTTAAGGGGTGGAGCTAGCTTCTTCTAGGATGATTTTAAATAGTTCTATTGCAAAGCTGATGAACCAACATATATTAAGTTTATGAAGTTAAATATCATATCTAACTTAGCTAACGAAATTAATATTGGTGATATCATGAATGAATTGGGAGAATATGTTACTGATGTTGATTCTGAACTAGCTAAAGAATCAATTCGTACTCTTGGTAAGATTGCATGCAGAATCCAAGAAATGGCTACTCCCATCATTAAGTAGCTTTCTAATTTTATCAACATGAAGTAAGATTACATCACCAATAACACTCTTGTTGCATTCCAATGTAAGTTTGTCTTTATTAATTATTTCTTTCTTTCATTCATTCATTCATTCATTCATTCATTCATTCATTCAAAAAGCAGAATTATTTAAACAAGATTAAGAAATAAGCAAAATTAGTAGCATAGAAATAGCCATCAAAACAAGCAATAATGAAATAACAAAATAGGTGTCCATTACATAAAAAATAAAACTAAATAAAATCATAAAATAATAATTTAAAAGCAAATTATTGAATTAAAGATAAGAGCAAATAAATAAATATTTTATTATTTTTTAAAGAGATTAGAATTGAAAACAAATATAGAAATAACAATATCAATAAATATGGCTTTATCCTTTGTTTTTAATTTACATTTTTAATACAAAATTGTTAGCAAATAAGCTTTATGGTTGGTTAAATTTAAATAAATGAAATAGATTTTAATTAAATACTACAGGAATTAATTGAATATATTTAATAATATTTTTTTACTAATTAATAATGTAGAAATCTTAAGAAAGTATCCTCAAGTTTTCAAAGAAATTGTTGAATGTATTCCTGAATGTTTTGATTATGCTACTGAAACTGAATCTAAGGTAAAAATAATTGAAAATAATAAAGATTTTTTTATTAACATATTGTAAAATATTAGTGTGCTCTTTTATGGATACTTGGAGAATTCAGCAATTAAATTACCGATGCTCCTTATCACTTAATTAACTTTATCTCTAATGAATAATCTGAGCATATTGATGTCAAACAAACTGTAATTAAATGATTGATATTTTACTTTAAAGAACCCATTTTTAATTTGTTTGTCTAATTATTAAGTATTTAGTTACTTGCATAAAGATCTTCTTAAGAACTCCTGATGAGATGAGAGATACTTTGGGATAGGCTTTCTAATCTTTCTTGGGTAAAGATGAGAGCATAGACTTAAAAGACAGAGCTGCCTTCTTCTATAGAGCTATGCAAGACGACATCGAAGGTTTTAAGAAAATAATGCTCAATGAACACTCTAACCCTGTTGAAAAATATTGTGAAGAAAAGGAAGAATCAGAAGAATAAACCAACTTCGATTTCAATACCTTAGCTGTCATATACAAAAAATCTTAAGATAAATTCATTAAGCCTTTCTCATATTTTGCTTTACAAAGGTTTTCATTTATTTATTTATTTATTTATTTATTTATTTATTTATTTATTTATTTATTAATTTTTGATAATAATTCCTGTTAATTTTACTGTATTGGCTTAAAATTATTCAAATATAAATTTATAGAAATAAAGAGGCTGCAGAAGAAAAAATGGATGAAGAAAAATAAAAAGAAGAAGCTTCTGCCGATGCTCCCACTCAATAAGTTGCAGCAGAAACTCCAACTGCTGCAAAATAGAATACAGCTGATTTGATTGATATGGGAGTAGTTAATTTCAATCTTTAATATTTTTTTTAATGTTTAATAATAAATATTATATCAAATAGGAGGAATAAAATCATTAAGCATCTAACTAAGCTCAACAAGGTAATTCTACTCCATTAAATTTGCTAGATATGGATGATGGATTTGGTGCTCCTAAGTTATCTGGACTTGAGGCTAGTGATTTAGTCTTAAACTTTAGTGTTGATCCAGATGATTACGAACCTGCTTGGAATAGTCTTAATGAAGGGTAAAATTAGCTTTATTTTAATAAATATTGATTGTAATTTTAAAAACAAATTTATTTAATTAATCAATTAGTGCTGTTAATACAAAATTGGTCAATCCTGGCGTTCATTTAACAGAAAATGTTGTAGAAGAATTATTTAAATAGCACAGAATTTACAGTGCTGCATAGGGTGAAGAAGACGATACACTTAAATTTTATTTATATGCCAAACATGTAAAACTGATTAAATTCACTTTTTATTAATTTATATTCATTCTGTTAAAAATATAGCAATCAACTGGAAATGTAGTTTATATGGAATTCGATTTAAATACTGCCTCTAGAGTTCTTAGTCTTTGTACAAGATGTGCTAATGAAGAAATTGCTGCTTTCTTCTCTAAGTTCGTTTTGGGATTCCTTAAAGATAAAGGAATTATAAACTGATCAATCAGTCATTCAATATTGTTAAAATAATTAATTACTTTAAAAAATTATCAAAAACTCTTTAATATCTTATTTTTAAATTATATGTTTGAGTTAATCTAATCAAATTATCAATTTACCTTCATTCAATGCTAATTTAATATTAAATCAAAATTAAAAATTTAAATTATATTGTCTAACTTCGATGATATTTATTCAGATTTATTTTTTTATGTTAACTAGCTACCAAAAGATGCCAGAATAATACTGTAAAATTGTATAAATAAATTTCAACAAGCAGGTTTGCTTGTTTTGTCAATATTTCAATAAAATCAAGTTAGAAAAAAAATTCAATCAAATATTTTTTTTATTCAAATATTATTTTTAGTTAATTAAATCTTTAAATGAATAAAGCATAAAATTTTCCATTAATTACTTTAATTAGATCATATTAAAAATTTATTATAAGCACATACAAAGAGGAAGATTAATTATATTTTTAAGATTGAATGAATGAATACCTTGATTACATTTACAAAGAGTTAATTCAAAATTAAAATTTAAAAGAATAAATAAATTTTAATAAATTAATAAAATAAAGATAGTAAACAATACATTTATGCTATGAATAAATAATTAATTAATATTTATTGCATCTTAAATTTACAAAAAATATGAAATATTATAGAACAAAGTTAGAGAGAATAAAATGATCTTCTTTTCTAAATTCAAAATCTAAAAATGTATTGAATATTAATAGTTTAAATTCACAAGTTTATCAAAATTAGCTTATAAATATAAATGAAGAAAGTTCATGGAAAGAGCAATCACCAAAATAAAAAAAATTATGTTTAAAAAAATATTCGCAAGCAAAAACAAAAATGAAAAATAAAAAATTAATTTACTAAGAATTAAAATTTGAAAAATTTTATAAAGAATAATTAAGTATTTATTATTTATTATATTTTATCAAGCTAGCTGACTTTTGGCTTTAATCTATAAACAAATAAAAAATTTTGTTAAAAAAAATGGTTGAAATAAATTAGAAACGTTTATTTGAGATCTAAATGTAAAAATTTAAAATTCAAGTATCATAGAACTATTAAAAAGTAAAAAATAAATAAATAAATTGAAAATTTAGAGCTTAAGAAATCCATTTAAATTAATAAAAGATTTTTAATAGAAGTATTTTGATTGTAACAATTCAGACTATATTCTTTTACAAAATAATTAAATTGAATGATATAAATTGTGTAAATAAAGAAGAATTTACTTAATATGATTGATTAATAAAATATTAAATTTATACAGAATGAGTTAAAATAATAATGTATAAGACAAAGGTGATGATGATAACGTCTCCGATTTAGAAAAAAAGACTTTAGATGAAAATTTAGATATGGATTAATGTTTGGAATATGTGAATCCAAAAGGAAAATACTAGCTCATATTGTTTTCAATTTTACTTTTATAAGGCATAGTAGGATCATTTGTATTTGTTGGAGGTCCTTATTTTTTTTAAGATCCTATTTTTATTTGTTAAGATGGATCAACATGTAGTTAAGAAGATGCTTGTAAATAAGGAAACTACTCAATTTCCGATAGCAGTAACCATACTCTAACTCTCCAGTTTGATCTATATTGCGATAGATAGTATCTCAAAAATTTAAGTCTTAGCTTTATTTTTATTGGTTCTCTTTGTGGGACGTTCTTTTTTAGTTTTCTGAGTGATTTAAAAGGAAGAAAATTGCCTATGATAATATCATGGGCTTTTAGCGTTTTGGGTATTGGAATATTAGCTTTTTCTCAAAATTATGCTATGATTTTTGTAGGTTAGTTTTTAGGTGGATTCGGAATCTATCCAACGAGCACTTTGGCTTTTATCGTTATGAGTGAATAATCAACAGGTAATTTTAGAAAGGTAGCTACAGGATATTTATTATTAGGCTATACACTTAGTGAGGGATCAATCAATTTGCTAGGTTTTCTTTTTAACAACGATTGGAAGATTTTAATTAGATATTGGTTATTTATTCCTTCCATTATTTTGTGGTTTCCACTCTTTTATTTAATTGAAAGCCCAAGATTTTATCTAAATAAAGATAAGGAAAAAGTCTTAGATTGTTTGAACAAAATTGGAGCTAGAAACACTAAAAAATCATACTAAGCAGCTCCGTTGCAGTTAACTAAAGAATAAATTAATTTCCATAAGTACTCACTAATTAAGAAGAAAGAAGTTTATTCTTATTTAACCCTCTTTAAGTATAAATCAACTAGGTGGATTACAATTGCTTGCTCTATATAAAAGTTTTTAATGATATTTGTTAATTATGGTACTTAGTTCTCTCTATCTGATTTTGGCTTTAATATTTACATTAATGCAACCATAGGATTCTTGGCTGAGATGGTTTGCTTTGGATTCTTAGTCAAAGTTTTGAATACCTTCAAAAGAAAACCTTCTGCTTTGTTCTTTTAGATTTTGAGTAGCATTTTCTGCTTGCTATTTATTGCTTTTCCTATCCCAGACTCCTGCAAAAATAGCAGCTGCTATCAGAAATATGTATAAATCTTGCTCTTTTTACTTTCTAAAATGTCGATTAACTCCTACTTTGTTGTCATAAGTACTTATTTCCCTGAATTATACCCAACTTCTGTCAGGAGCTTAGGTGTAGGTTTTATCAGAGCAACTGGAATCTCAGGAAGTATTCTATCTTCCTTCGCCATAAGCTGGAGTAAAGAATTGGGAATATCTCCTCTTGTTTCTTTTGGTATTATTGGTAGTTTTGGAATTATTTTTGGATTCTATCTACCTGAAACATAAAATCAACCATTACAAGATGAAATAATAGAAATTAAGCATCAGAAAAATTCTCTATTAGAAGTAGATGCATATTAAGCAGTTTCAAAAATAAGTGATACTTATAACAATTAACTTAGTAATTAAAGTGATGATTGATTTCTTAAAATATTTTAAGTTTGTATATTTTTAAAAAAAATATAATATATATGTTATTTATTTTAAATATAAAAAATAATCAAATATTATTTATTTTTAATGTATATATACTATTAGTATTATCTTCAAGTATTTTAAAATTTCCTTTAGAGAATTATATTTTTTTTGATAATCCAAATGATACTATATAAAATAAATACTTAATCATTTTGAACCTAGTTTAAAGGTATACTTTATTTAATATAATCTCAATATTGTAATTTTGATATTTTATTAAAATATTAAATGTATTTAATTTAGCTAAATTCTTTTAGTTACTAACAAATTTATTTTGACTTCGATGAATTGATTGATTAAGTTTGATAGATGCAAATTTAATGTAAATAAAATTCAGTGAAAAAGATGAAATTTAATTTGGTGTAAATTGTTAGTTATAGTGAATCTAGAACTATCTCACTAGATAGCTGGCTAACAAATGAACAAAAAATAAAAAATAACTTTATTTAATATTTATTAAGAATGATATTTATTATAACATTTATTACATTAATTATTATTTTTTCATTTTAAAACATTTTTTTTCATTTTTTTTTTGTGGGTTTTGAGCTGCTATCATAGCTACTGTAAGCAGAATCAAATCTTTATTATTCTTCTTTTCTTAATCTGTCATATTTAGCAGTTATTTCTTCTTTTTGTCTTTACTAATGTTCTTATAAGCTAATCTTCCTACTATTTATTTATTAAGTTTTAATTAAATATAAAAATCTATATATTTCAAAAGTGTAAATAATATTTAATTTCTTCTTTTGATAAGTAAATTTTTTTTTTAATTTTCATTTCTAATCAGTTCTGATAATTTCTTTCTTAATTATAATCAAATTGAAAGCAAAGCTCTTTCTCCTTTATCTTTTATTATCATTATTAATTCTATTAGATTACCTTTTCAAATCAAATAGAATAGCAAACTAGCTAGCTATCTATTCAATTAATAACTCAACTGAATGAAAATTCACTTATCACTTAAGAAATTAAGAAAAGAAAATATGATTAAATAAATAAGAAATTACCCATCTTCTTGCTCAATTAGAAATTCATGAGTGGTATTTCTGGTAATGAACGATTTTTTATAAGCCCAGACAGTCCAAATGCATAACATTTAAATAACTAAAGCTGCAAAAGTGATATAAATGCTGGTTTTAACATTATTCTATATGAGATCTTTAATGTGCTAAGCTTCTTATGGACTATCTGCTCTTTCAGATGCCCAATCAAGAATTTTATCTTTAGAAGCAATGGCTATTGATGCAACAACTGCCTATGCTGTAAATAATAAAAATAAGAAGAGCAAGTAGCAGTTCATTTTTGCTCTTGATTTTTTGACATGCTATCCAAAAAGTGATAAAAGGAATTCTATTAATCCTAAAATAATAAATCCTAAATTGAAAGGTCCTATTTTTTTAACTTCATACCACAACCACGCTCCCATTGCAATGACTAATAATGATTGCAACAAGAATAAAAAATTAAAGACATTATACAAGCAATATAAGCAGGAGTTTCCTGATTTTTTCTCTTAACTTCTCATCTAATTCGCTAATTTATCTTATTATTTATTGTTTTTTACTTATGTTAATGATAATTATTAATTGATTGCTATCTTAACTTACTTTACAAATTATTAATTTTTTCTATTTAAAAAAATTTAATTGTTTATAAAAAATAGAAAGAAGCAAGCAATTGATATTTATTATTAAGTACTCTTAAATTTTATGTTATCTTCATTATTAAATTTAGTTTAAATATTAAATAAATCATATTATAATTTTTTATTACTATTTATAACTTTAAAAATAAATTAATTATAAATACTATTAGATGATACTCTTGAATTTAGCATTATTCATTGTAAAGCTAATGAGGTTAATAAAATTAAATTATCATTTATAAAAAAGTCATTTTTATCCTTTATTTAGCCCTATTAAAAATTTATTTTATAACAAATATGTTTAGAATGATAAAAAAATTAAAAAATTAAATATTAAAATAATTTTAAAACATTTTATTGATTTAATATTGGAAATATTGGCAAAAAATAGAAATTAAATTATTATTAAAACTTAATATTTATTTTATGATATAATAAATAATTACCATTTAAAAAATAATTCTCTACTTAAATATTTTATAAAGACTAAAATTTGAAATATGATCTAACATAACATTAGAGTTTATAGTCCTCAAATAAGAATTTAATTCTCATTATTTAATGAGCTCTCCATCTCAATTTAAGAGTAATTTATTAATCATCTATGTGAATATAAAGAGATCCAAACCCGCCTTTACTAATAATATTTGAAAATATTTAATTAATTTGTCATTAGATTCTAAAAAATATACTTGATTGTCTATTCTATTTTTCGAAAAAAATAGTTTTAGTTCATGAAAATTGGCATAATAAAAAATAGTAAGTATCAGTAATATTTAATTAATATATAAAAAACATTTTACTCTTATTTTAAACAAAAATAATTATTGAATTTTATATCATAAATCTTATTTAGTTTTTAATAATATTTACTATTATAAATAATTTAATATTCCATTTATTAAAAGTGATAATAAATATTATCTCAACTTTTCTCAAAATTATTGAAATAAAAGTAATATTCAGAAACGAAATTAATTATTTTATTTTTAAAATACTTTTACTATTTTTATTTTGTAGCAGATAAATGAAATATATTTTTAAGAAAAAAACATTTTATTACATAAATTTGAATGCATATTTTAAAAAATAACCTTTTAATAATGTGTTTTAAACTTAAAAAGCTTTATTTTAGAAATTTAAAAAGACAAAAATTTATTACTATGAGATAAAAGAGTTTTATTTTTTTTTGTTTATCATTCAATTATTTTTACTTTTATTAGACATTAAACTATAAAAAAATAATTAAGGAAAATATTTGATTAATGATTTAAATACTAACAAAAACTTCGGAATAATAATAATAATAAATAAATAAAGAAAAAAATAAAATAAAGAAATAAAAAAAAACTTATTAACTTAAAAAATAAACAGTTAAATGAATAACAATTAATAACAAGTAAATTATGAAAGGAAATGTTCTTCTCATAAAAATGAAAAAATATGCTATTTACAAATAGGACGTTAAAAGTAAGCTAGCATAGGTGCATGTAAGGTGTGCGTTGTTGATAATAACTTAAGTGGAAGAAACTTGGCTTTGGTTTCTGACATCTAAGCTATGATTAATAGTTAATAACTAAATAGAAAATAATATCTACCTATTTTAGATGACAATAAAATTCTTACAGAATACTCTAAAAAAATTGACTAAGCAGAATACAGAGATATTCAAAAGGAAACAAAATAATTTTTTGGAAATGCTAAGAATAAAATAATAGCTAATTTAGATAACTTAGAGAAGTAAATTCTATAAAAATAATATCCATAGTAACTAGTTGACAAAGTAGAACTTGCTAACACACTTGAGCATGTTTAGTAAAAAGGCAAATTTAGAAGTCTTTTTGAAGGATATATGATTGAAGATTAAAATAATGGTAAAGAATTAAAGAATTTTCTTGAAAATTAGGCAAAAAATTCTGCAGAAAATACTCAAATATTGTAAAAAAAACTAGACGCTTTCAATTAATGCTAAGAATTATTTAAGATATAATAACCTATATCATAAAGACTAATAAACATCATAATATCTTTAATTGAAGTAACAGGAAATACATTTAAATAAGATGATAGAAGCGTTGCTTTGCTATAATAAATTGATATTATGTGTGATAACTTTGAAGCTAAACTTTAAAAACTTAATTTACTGAATTCAAATTAAAAAGAAGTTTAGTAAAATTAGAGTAAACTTACACTCTTGAAATTCATTTATTCCAATTATAAAGTCATTTCATCAGATTTAATAAACTTATCAGAAAATATCTTTTAATCTGAGATTCAGTTTACTAAAAACATACAGGAAATTAATATTTAGAATTAATAAGCTCTTTCTAATTACTAAAATAGATTTGTCACATTTAATGAAGAAGTTAAAACTTTAGCTGATAAATATTGCCACAGTGTTCAAGAAAGACTAAAAGGAAATAATGTTCCTTTAAATAATAATCAAATAGTCGATCAAAGAATTTAAAGTTTATAAAAAATATATTTGGATAATTAATACCAAATATAAAATAAAAAAATAGAGCTAAAGCCATTACAAGATCCTTTTGGTTATATTTTGTGTTTCTAATAACCTCTTTAAAATAATTATCGCTATAAATTATAGCTTTAATTTGTACCATTCAAAAATAGAGAAACCACATATAATTTTAGTGTTGGATTGATAAAGTAAGAAGAAATTTAAAAATAGGATTTTTAAATTAAAGACTCTCATTTTTTGTATAGCTATGGATAAACTTATACATAAGCTTTTAAAAGCTAGAATAATAATATTTTAGCATAATACAACAATTAATTGAGAAAATTAGATTTGATAATTTGTTTACAGAATGGTCCAAGACCAAGCATGATAGACCTTAAATAAAAATTTAACTTATTTGTTATGGCAAATGGCATTTAAGAAATAAAAATTATAGAATATATGTACTCTAGTATTCCACAACTCCTCCCCTAACCCCCCTCCTAAATTCAAAATAAATGAATTAAAGATTCCAATTAATAAACTAAAGTCGAATTAATTAATTGATTATAAATATTCAAATATATATATATATAATTAGTATGCTTTAAAATATAAAAATTGAATTAGTTTTATTTTGTTCAGTTTATTATATTATTAAATTGAGAAACTCTTTTTTTCTATGTTAAAAAAATAAATTAAAAAGTCTTTAAACTCAGAAGAACTTAGAAAAAAGATAAAGTTTTATTGAAAATGATAATCAAACATTTTTACATTAATGTAAGTATAAAATAGTGATTAATTAATTATTTTTATAAACAAATCAATAAATAGTTTATTAATCAAATTTATGTGTGTTATTTATTTATTTTTTTTTTAAATTTTAACTTCATAGTATCATTCATTATAAATTCTATTACATATTACCAATCATTCTTTGGTTCAAAGAAAGATAAAACTTTTATTTGTTATTATAAAGCTTTAATTGAAGTTGATATTATATGCATGTATAAAGAGCTTTTAAGAGTACTTTTATTTTTGTTTCAAAAGATAGTAAGCAAGACAAAAATGCTGTAAAATAGGAAAACAGGGTAGGCAACTAAATATTTTTGATGTTCTTAGTGGATAAGTTCATTGAAAAAATTAGTAGCAGCATAAGTAGACCACAAGATACTCAAAAGAGCGAATACATAACCTATAGAGAATCTTTATATTATTAAATATAATATTAAGAAAAATATGGCACAAATAATTATTAAAATATCATTTCTTTCTTTCTTTGTTTTTATTTAGTTATTTATTTTAATTCAATAAAATTTATTTTCTTATAATCTATATTATAAAATCTTTGAATGATCAATCATAAATATATTTTTTACCTTAAACTTATAAATACATTAAAGAAGGATAAGATTATAACTGGCATGAGGCAATAACCAAGAATGCTCAATGTATTATATAATGGAATTTCTCTATGCTTTTTTAATATAAGTTTATGTTTAAATAATTTATTTATTAAGCTATTTTATTATATATTAATTTACCATGCTCAAAAAGTTCATTATGCAGTATATAGCTAGAGTACCACTGATTCCGAATCCATAGACATATCCAAATTGCATTTTACCACTCTTTATTTTAAAAAAATATTATTTAGTTGATTGGTTGCTTGCTTAATTTATATTTCAATTTAAATTATTTAGCTTTTTATACATTTTGAAACCAATATCATTTATTTATATACAACTAACTAACTAAATTAATAAATAAATAAGTTGTATAATCAATAAATTTTCATACCAACAACAAGAGAAAACCAAAGATGAATCCAAGGATGATAGGTCCAGACATATCAGGGTCTTCTAAGAATTAAATATCGCACTTTTAAAACTTAAGGACTGATAAAGTTCTAATTTTAATGCTATTTAAGTCTACACCCAATTCTTTAAATTTATATATAAAAATGTATTAAAACTAATTCTATAAATAAAAGAAGAGTATAATATAAATTTTTTAAATTTTTTTGAATTCATTTTAAATTTTTATAAAATGAAAATTGGAAATAAATTCAAGATCCTAATTTTGTAAATTTCGCTGTAAAAAATGCATTTTATGCTATCAAAAATGAGCTATAACCAAAAAAATTTAAATTTATTACCAACTAGAAGTGGTGGTTCATTATCAGGATCTACATTGTTAGGATCAAAACCTAAATTTGAATAACCTAACTATTATTGATACTACTATTATTGATATTATTGCTATTGCTATTAGGCTTAGTTGGGATCAAACCTCTTAGGTTATTGTTATCCCTATTAATTTGAATTTTATTTGGTAACTGTATTTTCTACCATATTGAATTAAAAGTCTAAACTGCTTGAGTTATCAAATTATAAATCTTCTTATCCTTTAGGTTGTGCATTTGGGTTAAAAGCAAAAGGATTTCCTGCGTTTTAGGGCTTTTAAGGAAAGGGATTTTTTTTAGCAATATTCTTTTAGTTAACTGGGTTTGGCACAGCTGGTTTAGCAGGCTATTAAAAAGTGTTGCTGAAACCATTATTAGGGATTCCTTAACTAACTTCAAAAGCATTCTAACTATCAAACTATTGTATATCATCTACTCCTTCAGCTTAAACTGTATCTCCCCAACCACCATCTTAAGGGTTATAAATACCATCTGTTTGTCCGCTTTGGATAGGATTTTTTATTCCGAATGGATTCTTGAATGCAACTTAGTCTATTTTTACATAAATAATAATTGAATATAAATTAAAGCTATGATCGTGTTGCTTTAAAATCTGAAAAACATGCTAAAATGGACCTTTAAAAAGAAAATCAATGCAATTATATTTTTTTAATATTTGAATTCAGTGAAATAAAAAATGAAGCAATTTTTAGGTAAAATTTACTCTTTTTTTTAACTGCGAAAGGATTTTAAGCCATCTTCTTGCTAATATAAACAAATAAACTAATAAATATATTTAATTATTCTTCTTTCTAAATTTATCTTTCTTTTATAATAATTTTTATTTACTTTTTTTTAATTAAGTTATCAATCAATTTTTTGACAAGTCAAGTAAAATTTTCTTTATAAGGGGCTCTTTAAACTTAACAGATCTGCTTGCTGCATCAAAAATCATGAAATTAATAAAGAAAGCATTAAATTAGTAATAGATGATGTTTACTTAAAAATATCTCTAAAAATCTGCATTAATTTCTAAAACCTATTAGATCCCAATTAATACCAATTTAATTTCATCAACACACGTTATGTCCAAATATAATTTGTATTCAAAGTAAGTAGAATCTTAATAATTCCTTCCATCTCCTGCAAATTTCATCATTTCTAAATTATTTTCATCAGCTATAACCAATTTATACAAAGCCAAAATTAGAAATGAGCTATATCCACAAATCAACCAACAATCTTAAAGTAACAAAATAAATTATTATTAATTATTAATAACTATTAAAATTTTAGCGATCCCTTAAAATAAATTAATTTTGATTCATCTTTAAATTTATTTTTAATAAAACTATACATTTAATTGTAACAATTACGTGTTAGTTATATATAAATTTTAAATCTAAATATCTATTTAATTTAGGTTAAACTACTTGAATCCATTAAACAAGAAAAACTTTAAATTAACAAATTAGATTTTTTTAAAACTAAATCTAAAATGATATAAAAATAAACAGTATTATTAACAAGCGATAATCAATCGTAATTTGATTCATAACTATATTTTTATTTAAATCTATTTTAATGTAGAGTAGTAAACAAATGCATTAATTAGTTTAAATCGCTTTTTATTGATTAAGTATTTTTTTTTTAATGGTAAAGAATATTAATTAAAAATGATTGCTTTTCAAAAAATTGTATTTATTAAATAAATTGATTAATTCTTTCTTGGTACATAATAAATAATATTTTTTTGACCTAAATGAAACAAACTTTTTGAAAAGAGGAGGTAGTAAGTTTTTAAAAATAATTACTTAAAATCCACTTTTTTAGATAATTGTTTTTTTATTATAGATTTAACAAAATTTTTATAAAAACTACCCTCTTTTTCATAAAAATGAATGTAAATCTGTAAATATATATAGGTAGAATAACTTTGAAATTAAATTTTGCTTGTTGATTAATTTATTCAAGTATTCTAAATATTATCATGTTATTTTTTTAAATTCAATTTTTGAGTTCAGGTTTTGTGAGAAGTAATTTTAAATTTATAAATCTTTTGATAACAAAATAAAATATTCACTAAATTTTGTTTCAAACAACATAATTAAGATTTTTTTTTTTTTTAAATTAGTTTTTTAATGTTAATTAGTTTTATTTATTCAAGTGAAATTATAAAATATCACTTATTATTTTTAAATAAATTAAATTATCGTAGAAAAACATCCATAATAGAATACTTACTCTTAAATATTTTAAAGTTATTTATTAATTGCTTTTTTCTTTTTTTACTACTATTTTATTATTAATTGAAATTCAAAATTATTTTTTACTAAAAAGAAAGTTGCATAATATTTTTTGTTTTGATAATTGAATTAACTTTTAATAAGCACTCGAATTGATTTTGAAAGATATGATTGTAGTAATATTAATATTAAATTTAAAGTAAAAGAATTTAGGTTTATGACAAATTATCAAATTGTGATTTCTTAAAATGATTAAAGGTGGGTTCGCAAAGTATTTCAAATTAATGATAAATGGAAAAATCAAAAATATAATTTACTTTACTTTACTTTAAAGTAAGCAATTTATAGTTAGGAATTAATTAAAATTAATTAAATGGCCTTATGATAACAATTATTTACTAAAAATAGTTAAAATTAGTCTTATAAGTAGAAACAGTAATATAATCAATCATACATATTTATTTTTATGAATTCAAGTATTTTAATGATATTATTTATAAAAGACAAACGATTTGTCTTATTTTTATTATTATGTGTAATCACATATAATTTTGATCTTCTTAGTACATTTTTAGTAAATAATACAAGGCAATTTTTAATTAATAAAGAAGGTAGTCAGTCAATGAGCAACTTTATAAATGAGTTAGTTTTTTTAAAGGACTTTAATATAATAAAATTTGATAAATTAATTTGTTAGCTTTCATTATTCTTCTTCTTTGACAGAAGCGCATCTATTGACATCGCAAAACATTAAGTTTCTTATTTCTACATATTCAAAGCCAACTGTTTAAAGGCAATCCAGATATTATCCATCAGTAAATTTATTAGTTCCAGCTTTGCACTATTTGTTGCAGTATTGAACTATAGTAGGTCTCATTTGCTTAGCTTTATTATACTAAACTGAGCAGCCGTATTGAGTTATGCATTCCCATGAAGCGCTGCATGAATTTATCAGTAAAAAGATAAAAATTAATAGAAAACACTAAAATTTTTACATATTTACTTTATTAATATTTTAGACTATTTTTTCTTTAATTTTTGATATACAAACAAATAACTTTGTATTGTTAATTTACTACTAATACTTATTACTTTTTTAAATAGAAAATCAAAAAGAAAGAGCATGTATATGTTAATAAATAAATAAATAAATCTAAGAATGACATCAATCATTTTTACTAACAAACTAACTAATTAATTATTAATACTATATGATCTAATTCTGCAAGCAATGTTCATTAGGTAAATGAAAAAATCATCAATAATAATATCAAAAGTCTGATTAGTTATTACATTTCTCATTAATAGAGCAAAATATTTCAAATTTAAACTATTTACATACATTTATTTTCATTCATTTATATATAGAAGAATTTCAATAGGATTGGTTGATTGTTTGTTTGTTTGTTACTTGTTTTGCTAATAAAAATTTCTTTATTCACACTATATTTTACTACAAATAATAAATAAACAAAGCACTTATTGCGTAAATTTAATCATTTGTTTATTCTTTTATGATCTACAAATATTTTAACTTACACATTATTTTATTTTTGAAGGTTTTGAATTCTAATATTTTATAGTTTAATCAAGATTATGGACCACTAACTTTTTTTGGTTTACAATTTATTCTATTACTTAAAAGTATTTATCTAATATAAAAAAATTAAAAGAAAGGAAAAGTTGATAAATATTAATATTTAAATGTATTATTTATTTATTATAATATTATTTTTTAGATAATATTAAGGTTTACCTGAATATTAAAAATCTTATTAACAATTAAAAATTATTATAAAAGTTTTATACAGCAATTGTCTTTATTTTTCTAAAAATAAATTAAACTATTAAAATATTCAAAAAGGTTGAGCTTTCTTTAAATATCCTATTTTTGAAATGAATAACTATGGAAATATTATAAAAAATAAACACGAATTATGGATAATAAATTATGATTTCATTCAATCTTCCAAAAAACTTTCTATTTTATAATTCTAAATATTCATTAAAATGCCTTAAATAGTAGAGTAAAGCTGTCAAAAATATTTAAAACTATCCTACTTAATATAAAAAACTTTTAATATAACTAACACAAAACTATGAAAACACTACACAGATAGATTTACATAGTATCAACTGAATTTCCTAAACACTAAATTTTGCTTTTTATTTAAAAGTTAACATTCAATTCTAATAGATATATAAGTAAAAAAATTTCATAGTTTTAGAAATATTCTTAGTGAATATATTTTAATAATAGAAAAGTAAGAAATTATTGACTATATAAGAATTAAAATTAATTATTTACAGTCATTTAATTTATTATAATGACAACTTTAGGAAACAAAACTCTAAAAAATATTTCAAAAATAAAATAAACATTTTTAGAAAAAGACTTTATCTTTTCTTATAAAAAATTTTGGCTGGCTTGTAAATAAAATCGATATTTATTAATATCAATTGGTTATATATATAAAATATTTTTGATTTAATTAAAAACCTTAACTCAAATGATAAATATTTTATCAAAGAAGCATTTTGAAAAGAAGCTTGATAAATTAAAACTTCTTTGATTGAATTGATAATAAACTTTATTAATTGAAGTTGTTGGTAGAAGTAATTTAATGCTTTTAAAGAATTTGTCTATTTGAGATGTTAAAAAACTTCTATATTAACTCCTTAATTGGTACTTTTGAAAATGATATTTTAAATTCTTTAGCTTATCTATCATAAATAAACTAGTTTTTATTTAAAAACATTCTAATAATAAGATATGAATATTTTTTTAAATATTTAAAAAAATAACTTCAAAGTTTAAGATTAAAAATAAAACATCCTTTTTTAAAGCAAATAATTGTTTCTTTCTATTTCAAATTGCTCATCTAATTAATTTTTTGTGAAATCCAAAAAAACAAGTTTAACTTTATATAATATATTAAAATAAATAATATTTTTAATTAAAAATAGACGCTTTTAACTTAAAATCAATACATTTACTATAAATTTTTCATTTTTATGATATATTTTTTGAGTCTTTTAATTTTTCTGAAAGGTTGGAGAAAAGTTTCAAAGCATTTTTTCGCATTTCTCTAAATATTTTTATTGGTTTTATCTAAGCTAATAATCATTATGAATAATTAAGGGTCATATTAAATTATTAGAAACTACTTATTTGTTTATTTTAATTGGATTTTCAATTTAAGTGTTTATTTTCTTTTCATTTTTCTTTCAAGTTAGAGTTTTCTAAAAGTGTCTTTCAAATATAAAAAATAATGCAGATAGAGTTTATAAATTAGTAGAAAAACCTATTTTTATAACATATCCTTTTTCTGTTGATATAGAAAAATTAATTAAGCGCAGAGATAATTTAAATTAATAAAAATTAGAGAAACACAGAAATAATTTGAAATAAATAGATAGTGAATTTAATCAGAATTTTCAAAATCAGCTTTCGACAAAATCAATAAGAAATTAAATTAGTAAACAAGTTGAATATGTTTGTAATTAGAAAAGAAAAGACAAATTTCTAGATTCAATTTAACAGATTTAAAAGAGAAAATAAGACTAAAAACAATGAATTTTGTAGTTTTGTATGTAATATTGTTAATAAATAGAGAGCTAACTGCAATAAATTAGTTAATAGTAAATTAAACATTTCTTTATTTATTAGGAAATAAATCTATTTTTTATCTATCATAAATTAGAATCTTTTTCTCTATGCGTTAATAAATTTATTTATTATTATCTGTTCCTGATTAGTGGTAGAAGAATTGAGATTAAGCTAAAAAATTTTTTCTTAAAAATAATAATTAAAAAAAAATATTAAAAATAAAAAGAATATAGCATATTTTATCAATTAGAAATTTTTTCAGAAGGTTTTAAATCATGTAAAGTAAATAAGACTATGATACATTAATTAAGTTACTTATCCTTGGTGATTCAGGAGTAGGAAAAACTTGCTTTTTAGTGAATTACTGCAAAAAATCTTTTACTAGAATACATCTACCTACAATTGGTATTGATTATGAGCATAAATATGAAGATGTAGATGGAAAGCATGTTAAACTTTAAATTTGGGATACAGCTGGCCAAGAGAGGTTTAAAACTATTACTTAAAATTACTATAAAGGCTCTATGGGTATTATACTTGCATATAGTGTAACAGATCCTAATACCTTTAAAAATATAGCAGACTGGATGAAATAAATTAGCGAAAGAGCAGATCCATCTGTTAAAATAGTAATTATAGCTACTAAAATTGACATGAAAGATTAAAGAAAGGTCTCAACTTAAGAAGGAGAAGAGTTAGCTCAAAAATATGGAGTAAAATTTTTTGAAACTTCTGCTTTGGAAGGAACAAACGTCATAGAAGCATTTAAATGTATTGCTAGTTAAGCACTCTAAACAATTTAAGCATCTTCTCCAATTAATAACTTTAAAATAATTCAAAAACCTGTAATTTAATCTAAAAAATAAGAAAAAGATGCAAAATGTTGCTGAGGTATTTATTTATTTATCTTTATATCGTTTTCATTTATTGATTTACTAAAAATTTGTTTATATAAAATTAATATAAATTATACAACCAACCAATAAAAATAAATTAAAAAAAATAATTATCTCAACTCACTTACTTTGTTATTACTATTTCGTAAAAATTTATGTATTTATTTATTTGTAAATTAATTTAAGTAAACCCTAATTAAATTAAAATAATTTTTATTTATTAAGATACAAAATTAAAATACATTGTAATTCCTCATTAATTCTCACCAACCCCCAAATTTTTTTAAGCATATTATGGTGAAAATCAAATGTAAAAATTTTCCTAATTTATTTAAATAAAAAACTCTATAAAAAAATTGATGAAATAAAGTTAAATATTTGCTTGCATAGTATTTTCAAATTGAATTAAATTTTCATTTTCATTTTTCATTTTAACTTATTTGTTTCAACATTTCTAATATTTTCTCAGCAGTTATCAACAAATCAATACTAGTTTATTGTTTTAAACAATCAATTTCATCTATAAATTATTCTTTTAGTTTTTCCAAAGGTAATATTTAGATTATTTTTTCAATTTATTTTTTCTCTTCTTCACTCATAATTTCAGATTGATCTTTAGAAACAATAAACTTCAACAAAAGATAAAGTATTAAGTTTTCTTATATTTTAACTATAAATTATGTTTAGTCTAAACAAACTGAGATGATTTATCTAACATACTCCTCATCCAAAAATATCTTTTTGAAGATTTCTTATTGATATGGAAATAGCTTTTCTAAACTAAAATCACTTCCAGCAAATGTGTACTCCTCTTCTGATTTTCTATTTTTTAGACCTACTTTCTTGATATCGTTGAAAACTTCATTAAATTAATTTCTTAACAGATGGCGAGAATAAAACTTTTGGGTATATTATTTGCGAAGGAAAATAAACTATTCACTTTCATCTTAATCCAAAACTTCTTTGTAATTTAGTTTCACTATATTTTGATCATCAATTAAAACAGAGCAAATCTCTTCCAAATCGTTCAAGTTCATTTTTTCTAGATTATTTTTATTGATACAAGTCACAACAAGTTCTTCTACGTTACTTTTGATTATTTTTTTTATTTGAGTAACTTCTGAAGAACATACTTCCGAGAAGAATAATTAGAATGTTTTAGAGAACAAGTTTAAAAAAGGTGTAGAATCTAAAAGTATTTAATATATTAATTGTGAAGTGTAAAATGATTAACCTGAATTCAGTTGTTTATTATTTTACAAAGGCTTTTGTAATTTTTCAATTAGTTTTTAAGGTGGGTTATTCTGAGTAGTGGTATTACTATTATTATCGGCTAAAAGAATTATAGAATGGACAAATATGAATATATCATATATTTTATAGGTTGGATTAAAAACGCTTTCCTTTACTACCTAAGCTAATTCCTCCATTCCAATCATACTTAAGCATTAAAAAATTATATTGAATAAATCAGCTTCAAAAAGAATAAATTTTGAAAGAACTTTTCTTAAGCATTTGAAAAAATGTATTTTTTCTTCTTCACATTTAAAACTAAATTAGTCATTAAAGAATTTTTAAATGGAAGATTGTGTAAACATTTTTTTTTCAGATATTGCGACTAGGTAAGGCAAAATAGTTAATGAAGAAACTGATAGTGTATAGAAATTTTCTTTTTCTTCTGTTAAATCACTTATTTTTTAAATGTGCTCTCTAAAGCTATCACACATTATAGATATCATATTTTTGGTTAATTCTTCATCGTTTATAAGCTTCAAGGCTTAGAAAACTTAGATTTAAGCATCAATATTATTAACTTCAATATTAACAAATTGAGTAAAAAATACTAAACTATCACACCAACTCTATAATAGTTATTTATCTGATAAAGTATTTTAATAATTAATAAGGTTTCCAAAGAAAAGAGCCTAATTTAAATTATTAACTGCATTCACTAATTCCTTTGGATATCTTTACATCAAAGTTTTTATTTATTAAACTTGTTTAAACATATCAAAAGTTACATTAGGTAATAGAACAACAATTTCATTTACTTCTCCTTATTAAAAAATTAATTTTTTTTGTATGTAAAATGCGAGATATTCAAGCATATTAAATATATCAGCTCCTAATGTATTTAATATATGGTCAAAAGTTCTTTAAATATATATATTTTCCATTATAATGTGAGTGAATGTTGGGAGCTTACTCTTATAGATCCACTCATCTTTAGATTTTTAAGTTGATGCAATAAATCCAATCATTCTAAAGAATTTTTCACAAAGAATAGTTGCAAATTTTTCATCAGCTAAAGCAAGAGTATAAAAAAGCTTAGAAAGATATTTGTCGCTGTTAGGACATATAACTTCATAACTTAGCAAAAGGCAATCCAAAATAGTTAAATCTTGATTAATCTCTTTTTACTTTTAAATTAACCTTATGTATTTATCAGGATAATTTTGCTGTTAATTTTTTTTAATCTTAAAAGAAATAGGTTTTTCAAAAGATTTTAAGAGTATGCTTGATATGAGATAAGTGGAAGGAGGATTTAGTTCAAGAATTTCATTTATTTTATTTATTATGAGCTAAAGGAAGTAATTAATACCTTAAATATTTTAGTTGTATGTCTTTTCATCAATTACTTTATCTAGTTTTTATTGAATTGAAACGCTTACTATTTGAATATAATAGTAGAAGGAATCAATTAAGAATGTTTCAATGCTTTTCCATAGCCTAGGCTGCTTAAAGAGCTAGTCGTCATATAATTATTTGATTTTATCAAAGCCTTAATGTTTCTTGCAAAAACACTTCTTATTTACTAATGATTCATTTCCACATTAGCAATAAGCGTTTACAATACCCGGATGTACTACTCTTTTAAATTTATGATTTTTGTGTTCTTCTGTTTTAAAGCAATCCTCGCATAATATTTGATATGATGTATCAATTTCTATACCATTTAGTGTTTAAGCATTTTCTTATCTTGCAGGACTACAATCAAAACAGTCGTAATAATAACCGCCAGCATTAATTTCTTAAGAACATGCTCCTTAATTTAGAATAGCATCGACATCTGAAAAAGATATTTAATCTGCAAGTGTAAGTTAGTTGCTGCTGCTGCTGTTATTTTCTTCTTAAATAGCTAAATGTAATAGTTTATCATATTTAAGTTAAAAATTGCTTTAATTGAGTTATTTAAAAGAGAGGATTTGCTACGAAAACTAATTAAAAAGCAATGAGTATTTCTATTCTAGAGTCATATTTCTCCTTTTGAAATAAATGTAGGTTCCCGCTAAGACAGCAGCACCACCAACTGTGTATAATACTACTTTTAGCTTATTGTCTCTCATTTGAGCAAAAATATAATATTTTGATATTATTAATTATTATACAAATCTTTTTGAATTAATTTTTTAATTGGGTATAAAGAGCCATAAGAATTTCAAAAATTTGACTTTCTGATTATTATGTGGTATCCAAAAGATTAAATTTGATTTTCATATTACTAATTATGTTATATTCTGAAATACTAAATTATTTTTTTATATAAAAAATATGCTATGATTTTTTAAAGATGAAATTATGATTAAATAATAAAAATATCTTAAAGAAAATTCATTTTTGGAGAATATTAAGATAAAAGCTAGTTTATCTAATTCGTTTAAAGCTTAAAAAATGTGCTCGCTATCAAATATTTTTATTTATTCACTTTCTCATAGAATTTGAAAAAATTCCTACTAAAATATTTGATCCAATTTTGATTTTGGAATATTAAAATAGAAAGTTGAATTATTAGAATTTTCTAGATAAGAATATCTTAATTCTTATATATTTATATTTTGTAGTAATCTAAATTAAAAAAATTAATTTTAAAATAGAATGAATTAATTTCAATTTCAAAATCTCTTAGTTTCAGAAAATTCTATTCAAAGGTATTTTCATTTAATTTGGAGGAGAAAAATACAAAATTTTTTTATAGAATTTAGCAAACAGACCAGAGTAAACTTTTTTTATTTAGTATAGACGATGTAATTAAATTTAGACAATTATTTAGTAATATACAAATAATAAAATCGAATTTATAAAAATTTTTAAATATCACTCAAAAAAATCCTTAATTAACAAGAGAGAATCTATGGTAAATAATAAAATTGAAATATTTTTTTTATAATTTTTTATTTAAAATTACATTTCTATTAAATATTATCTTTCCCTAATTTATATAAATAAAAAACAACATAAAAAAATTCTTATATTAAAGTTAAATATTTGTTTTGTATTTTCAAATGAAATTAAATTTTAATATTCATTTTTAATTTTAACTTATTTTTTTCAACATTTCTAATATTTTCTAAGCAGTTTTACTTTATTGTTTATAACAATCAAATTCAGCTGTCAATTATTCTTTTAATTTGTCAAAAGGTAATTTTTAGATTATTTTTTCAATTTATTATTTCTCTTCTTCACTCATAATTTCAGATTGATCTTTAGAAACAATAAATTTTAACAAAAGATACAGTATTAAGTATTCTTATATTTTATCAATAAATTGTTTTTGTTCTAAACAAACTAAAATGATTTATCTAACATACTCCTCATCCAAAAATATCTTTTTGAACATTTCTTATTGATATGGGTATAGCTTTTCTAAACTAAAATCGCTTCCAGTATATGTGTACTCCTCTTCTGATTCTCTATTTTTTAGAGCTACTTTATTGATATCGTTGAAAACTTCATTAAATTAATTTCTTAACAGATGACGAGAATAAAATTTTTGGGTATACTGCTTGCGAAGGAAAATAAACTATTAACTTTCATCTTAATCCAAAACTTCCTTGCAATTTAGTTTTACTAAGTTTTGATCATTTATTAAAACAGAGCAAATCTCCTTCAAATCATTCAAGTTCATTTTTTCTAGATTATTTTTATTTATGCAAGTCACAACAACTTATTCTATATTCCTTTTTATTATTTTTTTTATTTGAGTATCTTCTGATGAGCATTCTTCTGGGAAGAATAATTATAATCTATTAGAGAACAAGTTTAACAAAGGTGTAGAATCTAAAAGTATTTAATACATTAATTGAGAAGCGTATTATGATTGTTAAATAACGAACAAAGGTTATTTTATATTCTAAATTAGTTTTTAAGGTGGATTATTCTGAGTAGTGGTATTAATATTATTATCAGCCAAAAGAATTATAGAATTGACGAATATGAATATATCATATATTTTATAGGCTGGATTAAAAATGCTTTTCTTTGCGAACTAAGCTAACTACTCCATTCCAATCATACTTAAGCTTTAAATAAATAAATTAAATAAATCAGCTTCAAAAAGAATAAATTTTGAAAGAACTTTTCTTAAGCATTTGAAAAAATGTTTTTTTTCTTCTTCACATTTAAAGCTAAATTTGTCATTAAAGAATTTTTAAATGGAAGATTGTGTAAACATTTTTTTTTCAGATATTGCGATTAGGTAAGGCAACATAGTTAATGAAGAAACTGATAGTGTATAGAAATCTTCTTTTACTCCTATTAAATCACTTATTTTTTAAATTTGATCTCTAAAGCTATCACACATTATAGATATCATATTTTTGGTTAATTCTTCATCGTTTATAAGCTTCAAAGCTTAGAAAACTTAGACTTATGCTTCAATATTACTAACTTCAATATTATCAAATTGAGTAAAAAATACTAAACTATCGCACCAACTCTTTAATAGTTAATCTGAAAATATATTTTAATAAATAATAAAGTTTCCAAAGAAAAGAGCCTAATTTAAATTATTAATTGCATTCACTAATTCCTTTGGATATCTTTACATCAAAGTTTTTATTTATTAAACTTGTTTAAACATGTCAAAAGTTACATTAGGTAATAGAACAACAATTTCATTTACTTCTCCTTCTTAAAAAATTAATTTTTTATGAATGTAAAATGCAAGATGTTCAAGCAAATTAAAAATATCAGCTCCTGATGTATTTAATATATAGTCAAAAGTTCTTTAAATATGTATATTTACCATTATAATGTAAGTGAATGTTGGGAGCTTACCCTTATAGATCCATTCATCTTTAGATTTTTAAGTAGATGCAATAAATCTAATCATTCTAAAGAATTTTTCGCAAAGAATAGTTGTAAAATTTTCATCAGACATAGCAAGAGTATAAAAAAGCTTAGAAATATATTAGTCGCTATTGGGAAATATAACTTCATAACTCAACAACAGACAATCCAAAATGGTTAAATCTTGATTAATTTCTTTTTCCTTTTAAATTAATCTGATATATTTATCAGGATATTATCGTTGGCAATTTTTCTTAACCTTAAAAGAAATAGGTTTTTCAAAAGATTTTAAAAGTATGCTTGATATGAGATAAGTGGAAGGAGGATTTAGTTCAAGAATTTCATTTATTTTATTTATTATGAGCTAAAGGAAGTAATTAATAGCTTGAACATTTTAGTTGTATGTCTTTTCATCAATTACTTTATCTAGTTTTTATTGAATTGAAATACTTACTATTTCAATGTAATAGTAGAAAGAATCAATTAAGAATGTTTCAATGCTTTTCCATAACCTAGGCTGCTTAAAGAGCTAGTCGTCATATAATTATTTGATTTTATCAAAGCCTTAATGTTTCTTGCAAAAACACTCCTTATTTACTAATGATTAATTACCACATTAGCAATAAGCGTTTACAATACTATATATGGGAATCGGAAGAAAATTTCTTAAGACTGATAAATTTTACGATTATCCCTATTTATTAAATATAGCGATTCGATGTTTCAATATAAACTTTATGATAACGATTTGATCGATAAGTACCGACTCTAACAATTTTAAAATCGGATCGCAAAAAATCATAAATCGGTAAGATTATGATACGATTCCCACATATATACAATACATTATTATTTTCTTCTTTTAAATTTATGATTTTTGTGTTCTTCTGTTTTAAAGCAATCCTCACATAATATTTGATAGTATTCATCAATTTCTAAACCATTAAGTGTTTAAGCATTTTCTTATCTTACAGGACTACAATCAAAACACTCGTAATAATAATCGCCAGCATTAATTTCTTAAGAACATGCTCCTTAATTTAGAATATCATCGACATCTGAAAAAGATATTTAATCTGTAAGTGTAAGTTAGTTGCTGCTACTGCTGTTATTTTCTTCTTAAATAGCTAAATGTAATAGTTTATCATATGTAAGTTAAAATTTGCTTTAATTTAGTTATTTAAAAGAAAGGATTTGCTGTGAAAACTAATTAAAAAGCAATGAGTATTTCTATTCTAGAGTCATATTTCTTCTTTTGAAATAAATGTAGGTTCCCGCTAAGACAGCAGCACCACCAACTGTGTATAATACTACTTTTAGTTTACTATCTCTCATTTGAGCCAGAATATGATATTTTGATATTATTATGGAAATGTTTTTGAATTAATTTTTTTATTTGGGTATTAAGAGCCACAAAACTATTTAAAATTTGATTTTCAAAAAGATTAAATTTGATTTAATATTTCTGATTATGTAATTCTGAAATGGTAAGTTCAAGTATTCAATTTTTTTATATAAAAAATATACTATGATTTTTTAAAGATGAAATTATGTATAAAATAAAAATATATTAAAGAGAATTCATTTTTGGAGAATATTAAGGTAAAAACTACTTTATCTATCTAATTCGTTTAAAGCATAAAAAATGTGCTCGTTATCAAATATTTTTATTTATTCGCTTTCTCATAGTCTAAAAATTCCTATTAAAATATTTGATGAATTTTGATTTGGGAACAATAAAATAGAAAGTTGAATTATTAGAATTTTCTAGATAAGAATATCTTAATTCTGATATATTTATATTTTTTAGTAATCTAAATTAAAAAAATTAATTTTAAAATATATAGAATGAAGTAATTTCAATTTCAAAATCTCTTATATTCAGAAAATTCTATTAGAAGATATTTTCATTTAATTTGTATAATATAATTTTTGTAGAATTTATTTAGCAAACAAACAAGAGTAAATTTTTTTATTTAGCATAGAGGATGTATTTAAATTTAGACAACTATTTAGTTATATAAAAAACATAAATTTGAATCAAATGAGTTACTAGAAATTTCATTATATTGCCTTTATCTATCCCTCCCCCACTATTAGATTCTGATCATTTTTATTAGTGCTTCTAAAAAGAAATTAAAATTTAAGGATTTTTCTATGTATAAAATTTAGTAAATCAAAATTATTAATAAACATTTTGAAGATTTCAAACCAAATATCCTTAATTTAATTTTCTGATAGCACAAAAAAGCAATAAGAAATATCAAATTTTTGAATCAAAAATTTTCTTATGAAAAATTAGAATAGAACATAATAAATTTTAGATTTATCTAGAAATAAAAAGTTTTTCTAAATCAATTTTCTTGTTAAAATTAATAAATGAAATTTAATATGTATAAAAATACTCAAATATCATTTGTATGCATCTTTTATAACAAGCGTATTGCACATTTTTGTTTTGAATGCATAAAAATAATGAAGTTTCAATTAATATTTAAACACAGCATTTATAAATTCCTCCATAATTTCTTTCTAAAGCGAATAAAGAAGTTGAAAATTTTTAAAAAAAAATAACACAGCTTATATTTATTTTCTGAAATTGATTACAGGTTATAAGATAATCAAATTTTTCTATATATTAAATTTTCTAATTAATTTTGAATAATCATTTTACCTATTTACTTTAATTAATTATTTATAGAAAAGATTTGATAAAACAAACGGTGCTCTTTAAATATTTTCAAATGAATTTATAAAAAGATTTATTTATTTAGAATGAGCAAAATAAAGGTTCATAAATAATGTCTTATCCCATTTTTAGAATATGTATCTTAATTTTTAAGGAATTTAATATAAAAGTTAAACTATGCCAAAAATTTGATTTTATCTTTAATTCAATTTTAAAGTTTTATTATTTTAGAATTTTAATATAAATACTTTTTTAATTAATTTTTATAATTTATAATGACAATAAGCATCAAGAAGGGGTTATTTAATATATAAGAAAAATGAAGAAATAAAAAATATAAAATAATAAACTAAATTTCATACATATACTGTTTAATCTCTTTAAATTAGGCATTTTCTTTAAGATCAGTGAAATATTTAGAGATTACATTATTGTATGAATTAAAAAATAAAAGTGAGATATTTTTTTAATAATTTTTTCTTAAAAATTACATTTCTATTAAATACTATTTTTCCCTAATTTATATAAATAAAAACAACATAAAAAAATTGATATAATAAAGTTAAAAATTTGAATAGTATTTTCAAATTAAATTAAAATTATAATATTCATTTTTCATTTTAACTTAACTGTTTCAACATTTCTAATATTTTCTCAACAGTTCTCAAAAAAAATATGATAGGTTTTTGTTTTAACCAATCAATTTAAGCTATAAATTATTCTTTTAATTTGTCCAAAGGTAATATTTAGATTATTTTTTCAATTTATTTTTTCTCTTCTTCACTCATAATTTCAGATTGATATTTAGAAACAATAAATTTTAACAAAAGATACAGTATTAAGTTTTCTTATATTTTATCGACAAATTCTTTTTCTTCTAAACAAACTGAAATGATTTATCTAACATACTCCTCATCCAAAAATATCTTTTTGAAGATTTCTTATTGATATGGAAATAGCTTTTCTAAACTAAAATCGCTTCCAGCAAATGTGTACTCCTCTTTTGATTCTATATTTTTTAGATCTCTGATATCTTAAAAAACTTCATCAAATTAATTTCTTAACATATGACGAGAATAAAATTTTTGGGTATATTATTTGCGAAGGAAAATAAACTATTAGCTTTCATCTTAATCCAAAACTTCTTTGTAATTTAGTTTCACTATATTTTTATCATTAATTAAAACAGAGCAAATCTCCTCCAAATCGTGCAAGTTCATTTTTTCTAGTTTATTTTTATTGATGCAAGTTACAACAAGTTCTTCTACAGTCCTATTGATTATTTTTTTCATTTTAGTATCTTCTGATGAGCACTCTTCTAACGTTTTAAAGAACAAGTTTAACAAAGGTGTCGAATCTAAAAGTATTTAATACACTAATTGTGAAGTATAAAATGATTGTGTATTCTTTAACAAAGGATTTTTTAAATCTTAAATTAGTTTTTAAGGTGGATTATTCATAGTGGTGATATTACTATTATTATCGGCCAAAAGAATTATAGAATTGACGAATATGAATATATCATATATTTTATTGGCTGGACCAAAAATGATTTTCTTTGTAGCTTAAGCTAATTGTTCCATTCCAATCATACTTAAACATTCAAAAATTAAATTTAATTAACCAGCTTCAAAAAGGATATGTTTTGAAAGAACTTTTCTTAAGCATTTGAAAAAATGTGTTTTTTCTTCTTCACATTTAAAGCTAAATTTATCATTAAAGAATTTTTAAATGGAAGATTGTGTAAATATTTTTTTTTCAGATATTTCTATTAGGTAAGGCAAAATAGTTAATGAAGAAACTGATGATGTAAAGAAAATTTCATTTTCTTTTTCTTATATTAAATCACTTATTTTTTAAATTTGATCTCTAAAGCTATCACACATTATAGATATCATATTTTTGGTTAATTCTTCATCGTTTATAAGCTTCAAAGCTTAGAAAACTTAGACTTAAGTTTCAATATTATTAACTTCAATATTAATAAATTAAGTTAAAAATTGTAAACTATCAGACCAACTCTATAATTAATCTGGAAATGTAATTTAAAAATGAATAAGATTTCCAAAGAAAAGAGCCTAATTTAAATTATTAATTGCATTCACTAACTCCTTTGGATATTTTTACATCAAAGTTTTTACCTATTTAACATGTAACATGTAATAAGTTAGAGCAGGTAATAAAACAACAACTTCATTTACTTCTCCCTCTTAAAAAATTTATTTCTTTTGAATATAAAATGAGAGATATTCAAGCAAATTAAAAATATCAGCTCCTAGTGTATTTAATAAATGGTCACAAACTCTTTAAATATTTATATTTTCTATTATAATGTGAATGAATTTTGGGAGCTTACTCTTATAGATCCATTAATCTTTAGATTTTTAAGCTGATGCAATAAATCCAATCATTCTAAAGAATTTTTCGCAAAGAAAAGTAACAAATTTTTCATCAGCCATAGCAAGAGTATTAAAAAGCTTAGAAAGATATTAATCGCTGTTAGGACATATAACTTCATAACTCAGCAACAGACAATCCAAAATAGTAAAATCTTAATTAATTTCTTTTTACTTTTAAATTAATCTGATATATTTATCAGGATATTATTGTTGGCAATTTTTCTTAACCTTAAAAGAAATAGGTTTTTCAAAAGATTTTAAGAGTACACTTGATATGAGATAAGTGGAAGGAGGATTTAGCTCAAGAATTTCGTTTATTTTATTAATTATGATCTAAAGGAAGTAATTAATACCTTAAATATTTTAGTTGTATGTCTTTTCATCAATTACTTTATCAAGCTTTTATTGTATTACAGCACTTACAATTTCAACATAATAGTAAAAAGAATCAACTAAGAATGTTTCAATTCCTTTCCATAGCTTAGGCTGCTTAAAGAGTTAATCGTCATATAATTATTTGATTTTATCAAAGCCTTAATGTTTCTTGCAAAAACACTTCTTATTTATTTAAGCTTAATTTCCACATTAGCATTAAGCAATAAAAACACCATGATGTTGGTATCTTTTAAATTTATGATTTTTGTGTTCTTCAGTTTTAAAGCAATCCTCGCATAATATTTGACTTTATGTATCAATTTCTATACCATTTAGTGCTTAAGCATTTTCTTATCTTTTAAGACTACAATCAAAACAGTCGTAGTAATAATCGCCAGCATTAATTTGTTAAGGACATGCTCCTTAATTTAGAATAGCATTGACATCTGAAAAAGATATTTAATCTGAAAGTATCAGTTACTTGCTATTATTTTCTTCATAAATTGCTAAATGTAAAAGTTTATCATATGTAAGTTAAAAATTTTTTTAATCGAATTATTTAAATGAGAGGATTTGCTGCGAAAACTAATTAAAAAGCAATGAGTATTTCTATTTTAGAGTCTTATTTCTCCTTTTGAAATAAATATAGGTTCCTGCTAAGACAGCAGCACCACCAAATGTGTATAATAGTTTTTTATCTCTCATTTGAGCAAAAGTATGATATTTTGATGTTATTAATTTTTATACAATTCTTTTTGAATTTATTTTTTATTTGGGTATTAAGAGTCATAAAAATATTTAAAATTTAATTTCTGATTTATTATGTGATATCTAAAAGATTTAATTTGATTTTCATATGACAGATTATGTTATTGTGAATTCATTATATCTATCTAATCTTAATCTTAATTGATGATAATCAACATTATTAATTCTTCTATTTACTAATCTACATTATCTATTATATTATTTTATTGGATCAAATTTTTATAATACTTTTTTAAAATATTTTTTACTATATTCTATATATTTACATGTTATTCACTAATTTTGGCTGCTTTAATAAAGAATTTTCATTATTTTGTTTCTACCTCTCCCTCCCTGCTAAAAGATTTTTATCGTTTTTATTATTGTTTTTATAAAGGATATATCTAGGTTCAAGATTTAGTAAATCAAAATTATTAACATTTTTGTGAGATATTAGAATAGAAAATAAAATAATAAAATTTATCTTGATTTTTCTAAATTAATTTTCTTTTTAAAATTTTTCAATATATAAAAGTACACTAAATATAATTTGTATGTCTCTTTTATAATAAAAGTGTATTTGAACATTTTTTGTTTTTAAAGAAATAAACAAGTTTCTATTATATTTATTTGCAGCTTATAAATTATACTATAGTTTCTTTGTAAAGATATATAACAGTTCAAAAATTGAAAAAAATTGGATGAAAGCATGACAAAGATTGAACATATTTTCTGAAATTAATTACATTTTTTAAGACAATCACATTTTTCTATCAAATTAAGTTAAGTAATATAAATATCTTTTTAACTCAGTTTTCTAATAAATTTTGATCAGTTTTATTATTGTTTTAATAAAGTATATTTCGAGGTATAAAATTTAGTAAATCAAAATTATTAACATTTTTGTGAGATATTAGAATAGAAAATAAAATAATAAGATTAATCTAGAAATAAAAGATTTTTCTAAATTAATTTTCTTGTTAAAATTAATAAGTATATGAAAGTATGCCAAATATAATTTGGATGTAACTTTTATAATACAAGTGTATTGTATATTTTTTGTTTTAAAGAAATAAAGAAGTTTCTATTAATATTTATTTCCAGCTTATAAATTACTCTATAATTTCTTTGTAAACTGAATAAAATAACACAAAAATTGGATCAAAGCTTGTAGATTGAAATTATTTTCTGAATTCATTAAATTTTATAAGAAAATCATATTTTTCTATCTAATTAAATAAAATAAATATCTTTTTAAATCAGTTTTCTAATAAATTTTGATCAATTTTATTTTTTTTTATAAATTAAATTTGTATGTATAAAATTTAGTAAATCAAAATAATTAACAAGAAAATTATATTTTATCTATTCTATTTAATTAATTAATTTTAGATAATTTAATTTAATAAAATATTGCTCTCTCTTTAAATATTTACATATTATTTTTTTTATGATTTATTTATTTCTTAATATAGAAAGAACAAAATAATTGTTCATAAACGATGTCTTATTCCATTTATTGAAGATTTATCTTAATTTTTAAGGAATTTAATATTTTTGATAAACTACACTAAGAATTTGATTCTATCTTTATTTCGATTTTAAATTTATTATTTTAGAATTTTAAAATAAATATTTTTTTTAATTAATTTTTATAATTTATAATGACAATAAGGATCAAGGAGAAGGAGGGTCCAGTTAATCGATACAAAAATTGAATAAATAAAAAATATAAAATAAATTATTTTTTCTTAAAAATTACATTTCTATTAAATACTATTTTTCCCTAATTTAAAAAAATTAAAACAATATAAAAAATTGATATAAAAAAAATTAAAAATTTAAATAGTATTTATTAAAATTAAATTAAAATTATAATATTCATTTTTCATTTTAACTTAGCTGTTTCAACATTTCTAATATTTTCTCAACAGTTCTCAACAAAAATATGATAGGTTATTGTTTTAACCTATAATTTTAAGCTATAAATTGTTTTTTTAATTTGTCCAAAGGTAATATTTAGATTATTTTTTCAATTTATTTTTTCTCTTCTTCACTCATAATTTCAGATTGATCTTTAGAAACAATAAATTTTAACAAAAGATACAGTATTAAGTTTTCTTATATTTTATCGCCAAATTCTTTTTCTTCTAAACAAACTGAAATGATTTATCTAACATACTCCTCATCCAAAAATATCTTTTTGAAGATTTCTTATTGATATGGAAATAGCTTTTCTAAACTAAAATCGCTTCCAGCAAATGTGTACTCCTCAGATTCTATAATTTTTAGATCTTTGATATCTTAATAAACTTCATCAAATTAATTTCTTAACAGATGACGAGAATAAAATTTTTGGGTATATTATTTGCGAAGGAAAATAAACTATTAGCTTTCATTTTAATCCAAAACTTCATTGTAATTTAGTTTCACTATATTTTGATCATCAATTAAAACAGAGCAAATCTCCTCCAAATCGTGCAAGTTCATTTTTTCTAGTTTATTTTTATTGAAGCAAGTCACAACAAGTTCTTCTACATTCCTTTTGATTATTTTTTTTATTTGAGTATCTTCTGATGAGCACTCATCTAACGTTTTAAAGAACAAGTTTAACAAAGGTGTCGAATCTAAAAGTATTTAATACACTAGTTGTGAAGTGTAAAGTTATTCTATATCCTTTAACTAATGATTTTTTAAATCTTAAATTAGTTTTTAAGGTGGATTATTCTGAGTAGTGATATTACTATTATTATCGGCCAAAAGAATTATAGAATTGACGAATATGAATATATCATAAATTTTAAAGCTTGGACCAAAAATGATTTTCTTTGTATTTTAAGCTAATTCTTCAATTCCAATCATACTTAAAAATTAAAAAACTTAATTTAATTAACGAGCTTCAAAAAGGATATGTTTTGAAAGAACTTTTCTTAAGCATTTGAAAAAATGTGTTTTTTCTTCTTCACATTTAAAGCTAAATTTATCATTAAAGAATTTTTAAATGGAAGATTGTGTAAACATTTTTTTTTCAGATATTGCTATTAGGTAAGGCAACATAGTTAATGAAGAAACTGATAATGTAAAGAAAATTTCTTTTTCTTTTTCTTTTTCTTATTCTTATTCTTTTTCTTTTTCTTTTTCTTCTATTAAATCACTTATTTTTTAAATTTGATCTCTAAAGCTATCACACATTATAGATATCATATTTTTGGTTAACTCTTCATCGTTTATAAGCTTCAAAGCTTAGAAAACTTAGACTTAAGTTTCAATATTATTAACTTCAATATTAATAAATTAAGTTAAATATTGTAAACTATCACACCAACTCTATAATTAATCTGGAAATTAATAATAAAAATGAATAAGATTTCCAAAGAAAAGAGCCTAATTTAAATTATTAATTGCATTCACTAACTCCTTTGGATATTTTTATATCAAAGTTTTTACCTATTTAAAATGTAACATGAAATAAGTTAGAGCAGGTAATAAAACAACAACTTCATTTACTTCTCCTTCTTAAAAATTTTATTTCTTTTGAATATAAAATGAGATATATTCAAGCAAATTAAAAATATCAGCTCCTAGTGTATTTAATAAATGGTCAGAAACTCTTTAAATATTTATATTTTCTGTTATAATGTGAATGAATTTTGGGAGCTTACTCTTATATATCCATTCATCTTTAGATTTTTAAGTTGATACAATAAATCCAATCATTCTAAAGAATTTTTCGCAAAGAAAAGTAACAAATCTTTCATCAGCCATAGCAAGTGTATTAAAAAGCTTAGAAAGATATTAATCGCTGTTAGGACATATAACTTCATAACTCAGCAACAGACAATCCAAAATAGTAAAATCTTAATTAATTTCTTTTTACTTTTAAATTAATCTGATATATTTATCAGGATATTATTGTTGGTAATTTTTCTTAACCTTAAAAGAAATAGGTTTTTCAAAAGATTTTAAGAGTGTGCTTGATATGAGATAAGTGGAAGGAGGATTTAGCTCAAGAATTTCATTTATTTTATTAATTATGAGCTAAAGGAAGTAATTAATACCTTGAATATTTTAGTTGTACGTCTTTTCATCAATTAATTTATCAAGTTTTTATTGAATTACAGCACTTACAATTTCAATATAATAGTAAAAAGAATCAACTAAGAATGTTTCAATTCCTTTCCATAGTTTAGGCTATTTAAAGAGCTAATCGTCATATAATTATTTGATTTTATCAAAGCCTTAATGTTTCTTGCAAAAACACTTCTTATTTATTTAAGCTTAATTTCCACATTAGCATTAAGCAATAAAAAGACCATGATGTTGGAATCTTTTAAATTTATGATTTTTGTGTTCTTCTGTTTTAAAGCAATCCTCACATAATATTTGATATTATGTATCAGTTTATCTACTATTTAGTGCGTAAGCATTTTCGTATCTTGTAAAACTACAATCAAAACAGTCGTAGTAATAATCGCCAGCATTAATTTGTTAAGGACATGCTCCTTAATTTAGAATAGCATTGAAATCTGAAAAAGATATTTAATCTGAAAGTGTCAGTTACTTGCTATTATTTTCTTCTTAAATAGCTAAATGTAATAGTTTATCATATGTAAGTTAAAAATTGTTTTAATTGAGTTATTTAAAACAGAGGATTTGCTGCGAAAACTAATTAAAAAGCAATGAGTATTTCTATTTTAGAGTCTTATTTCTCCTTTCGAAATAAATATAGGTTCCTGCTAAGACAGCAGCACCACCAAATATGTATAGTAGTTTTTTATCTCTCATTTGAGCAAAAATATGATATTTTGATATTATTAATTTTTATACAATTCTTTTTTGAATTTATTTTTTATTTGGGTATTAAGAGTCATAAAAATATTTAAAATTTAATTTCTGATTTATTATGTGATATCTAAAAGATTTAATTTGATTTTCATATGACAGATTGATTATGTTATTCTAAAATATTAGTTAAATTGTTCAATTTTTTTAAATAAAAAATATGATATGATTTTTTAAAGATGAAATTATGTTAAAAAATAAAAATATATTAAATAGATAGAATCAATTTTTGGAGAATATTAAGATAAAAACTACTTTATCTAATTCGTTTAAAGCATAAAAAATGTGCTCATTATCAAATATTTTTATTATTTCTTTTCTTATAGAATTCTAAACAATACATACTAAAATATTTACTCGAATTTTAATTAAGGAAAATTAGAAAACAAAGTTGAATTATTAGAATTTTCTACATAAAAATTTGTTAATACTTCTATATTTATATTTTATAGTAAGCTAAATTTAAAAAACAAAATAGGAAAGAAGTAATTTCAATTAAATCCATTCATTTCCGAAAAAAATAAAAATTGTCGAAAATGAAGGGGGGAGGGGGGAGTAGGGGTTTGGAAATATTGACTCAATAACCAAGAAAAAGCTGAATGGTTGATTTTAAAATGAATTTTCATTATTTTGTTTCTACCTCACCCTCCTACTACTAAATTTTTATTGTTTTTATAAAGGATATCTCTAGGTTCAAAATTTAGTAAATCAAAATTATTAATATTTTTGTGAGATATTAGAATAGAAAATAAAATAATAAGAATTATCTAGAAATAAAAGATTTTTCTAAATTAATTTTCTTGTTAAAATTAATAAATATATAAAAGTATTTCAAATATAATATACTTGTATCTTTTATAATACAAGTGTAAATTACATTTTTTGTTTTTAAAGAAATAAAGAAGTTTCTGCTAAGAATTATTCTTTAATTTATTTGTAAATTTAATAAAACACTTCAATAATTGGATCAAAGCATGACACAGATTGAATATATTTTCTGAATTAATTACATTTAATAAGATAATCACATTTTTCTATCTAATTAAGTAAAATTAAATAAATATCTTTTTAACTCAATTTTCTAATAAATTTTGATCAGTTTTATTATTGTTTTTATAAAGTATATTTCTATGTATAAAATTTAGTAAATCAAAATAATTAACAAGAAAAATTATATTTTATCTATACTATTTAATTAATTAATTTTAGATAAGTTAATTAAATAAAGAATTGCTCTTTAAATATTTCTTATGAATTTTTTTAAGGATTTATTTATTTATTAATTTAGAAAGAATAAAATAACGGTTCATAAACGATGTCTTACTCCATTTATTAAAGATATATCTTAATTTTTAAGGAATTTAATATTATTGATAAACTACACTAAAAATTTGATTTTATCTTTATTTCGATTTTAAATTTATTATTTTAGAATTTTAAATAAATATTTTTTTAATTAATTTTTAAAATTATTCTGACAATAAGCATCAAGGAGGGTCCAGTTAATTGATAAAAAAATTGAAGAAATAAAAAATATAAAATAATTGAATTAATTAGAAAAGAAAGCAATTTAAAAATATTAAGATCATCATAAATTATAAAATAAATACTAAAATAATAATAAATTATAAAATAAAATATGAAAACTGAAATTATAGTAAAGTAATAAGAAAAAATAAAAAATTAGCAAAATATAGAGTATAAAAATAGTTTCAAAATAGTTTTCTATCTATTATGATAATCAAAAAAAAAAAGCAATAGAATATAAACTTTCAAGATGAAAAGAGTAAATTAATAGTAGAGGAATAAGTTTAAAAAGAATCAATAAAATTAAAAAATAAAAGTGACATATTTTTTTAATAATTTTTTCTTAAAAATTACATTTGTATTAAATATTATTTTTTTCTAATTTAAAGAAATAAAAAACAACAAAAAAAAAATTGATATAAAAAAGCCAAATTTTTGCATAATATTTTCAAACTAAATAAAAATTAAAATATTCATATTTCATTTTAACTTAATTGTTTCAATATTTCTAATATGTTTTCAACAGTTATCAACATATCAAGACATTATTTCTGTTTTAAATGATCAATTTCAGCTATAATTTATTCTTTTAATTTGTCCAAAGGTAATATTTAGATTATTTTTTCAATTTAGTTTTTCTCTTCTTCACTCATAATTTCAGATTGATCTTTAGAAACAATAAGTTTCAACATTAGATATAGTATTAAGCTTTCTGATACTTTAAGTTTATGTTATTTTTGTTCTAAACAAACTGAAATGATTTATCTAACATACTCCTCATCCAAAAATATCTTTTTGAAGATTTCTTATTGATATGGAAATAGCTTTTCTAAACTAAAATCGCTTCCAACAAATGTATACTCCTTTTTTGATTCTCTATTTTTTAGACTTATATCATTGATATCTTAAAAAACTCTTTTAAATTAATTTCTTAACAAATGACGAGTATAAAACTTTTGGGTATACTATTTGCGAAGGGAAAGAAACTATCCACTTTCATCTTAATCCAAAGCTTCATTGTTATTTAGTTTCACTACGTTTTGATCATTTATTAAAACAGAACAAATCTCCTCCAAATCATTCAAGTTCATTTTTACTAGATTATTTTTATTGATACAAGTCACAACAAGTTCTTCTACATTCCTTTTGATTATTTTTTTTATTTGGGTATCTTCTGATAAGCATTCTTCTGGGAAAAATAATTTTAACGTTTTAGGGAACAAATTTAACAAAGGTGTTGAATCTAAAAGTATTTAATGCATTAATTGTGAACTGTAAAATGATATATTGAAATTTAGTTCCTTATTTTGTAATTCTTAAATTAGTTTTTAAGGTGGATTATTTTGAGTAGTGGTATTACTATTATTATCGGCCAAAAGAATTATAGAATTGACTAATATGTATAAATCATATATTTTACTCGCTGGATTAAAAATGATTCCCTCTATAACCTAAGCAAATTCCATGAATCCATATGTGCATAAAGATTCAAAAATAGAATTCAAGAAACCAGCTTCAAAAAGGATAAATTTTGAAATAACTTTTCTTAAGCATTTGAAAAAATATATTTTTTCTACTTCACATTTAAAGCTAAATTTCTCATTAAAGAATTTTTAAATCGAATATTTTGTAAAGATTTTTTTTTCAGATATTGCGACTAGGTAAGGCAAAAAAATTAATGAAGAAACTGATAGTGTATAGAAATGCTTATTTTCCTTTTCTTTTTCTTCTGTTAAATCATTTATTTTTTAAATGTGTTCTTTAAAACTATCACACATTATAGATATCATATTATTGGTTAATTCTTCATCATTTATAAGCTTCAAAGCTTAAAAAATTTAAACTTAAGCATTCATATAAGTATGCTCAAAATTAGTAAATTAAATAAAATTTTCTAAACCTTAACACAAACTCTAAAATTGATTTTATGATGAAACAGTATTTTTTAAAATAATGGTGTATGTAATAAATGGTCACAAACTGTTTAAATCTATACATTTTCCATTATGATGTGGGTGAATTTTGGGAGCTTACACTTATAGATCCATTCATCTTTAGACTTTTAAGTAGATGCAATAAATCCAATCATTCTAAAGAATTTTTCGCAAAGAATAGTTGTAAATTTTTCATCAGCCATAGCAAGAGTATAAAAAAGCTTAGAAATATATTAGTCGCTATTGGGACATATAACTTCATAACTCAGTAACAGACAATCCAAAATGGTTAAATCTTAATTAATTTCTTTTTCCTTTTAAATTAATCTGATATATTTATCAGGATATTATTGTTGGCAATTTTTCTTAACCTTAAAAGAAATAGGTTTTTCAAAAGATTTTAAGAGTATGCTTGATATGAGATAAGTGGAAGGAGGATTTAGCTCAAGAATTTCGTTTATTTTATTAATTATGAGCTAAAGGAAGAAATTAGTACCTTAAATATTTTAGTTGTATGTCTTTTCATCAATTACTTTATCAATTTTTTATTGAATTGCAGCACTTACAGCTTCAACGTAATAGTAAAAAGAATCAATTAAGAATGTTTCAATGTCTTTCCATAGCTTAAGTTTTTTAAGGAGTTAATCGTCATATAATTATTTGATTTTATCAAAGCCTTAATGTTTCTTGCAAAAGCCCTTCTTATTTACTAAAGATTAATTTCCACACTAGCATTAAACTTTTACAAAACCAAAATTTACGACTCTTTTAAATTTATGATTTTTATGTTCTTCTGTTTTAAAGCAATCCTCACATAATATTTGATATGGTGTATCAATTTCTATACCGTTTAGTGCTTGATCATTTTCTTATCTTGCAGGACTACAATCAAAACAATCGTAGTAATAATCGCGAGCATTAATTTGTTAAGGACATGCTCCTTAATTTAGAATAGCATCGACATCTGAAAAAGATATTTAATCTGCAAGTGTCAGTTAGTTGCTGCTGCTGTTATTTTCTTGTTAGATAGCTAAATATAATAATCTATCATATTTAAGCTAAAAATTGCTTTAATTGAGTTATTTAAATGAGAGGATTTGCTGCAAAAACTAATTAAAAAGCTATGAGTATTTCTATTCTAGAGTTATATTTCTCTTTTTGAAATAAATATAGGCTCCCGTTAAGACAGCAGCACCACCAACTGTGTATAGTAATAGTTTTTTATCTCTCATTTGTGCAAAAATATTATATTTTGAATTTATTAATTATATATATATAGTACCCTAAGGTACTGTCTTTTTCAAGGCTACATACACGAATAATAATAAGATTTATATAAATCAAAATTTAAGGATTTTCTAGATGTAAAATTTATTAAATCAAAATTATGAATAAACACATTGAATATTTCAAAATAAATATCTTTAATTTTATTTTCTGATAACAAAAAATCAATTATAAACATCAGAAATTTTTCTGATAACAAAAAAGTGATAAGAAACATCAAATTTTTGATAAGATATTAGAATAGAAAATAAAATTATTGGATTTTTCTAGAAATAAAAATATTTTTTAGACTTCATAAAGAGCTATTTAATAGTCATATAATTATTTTATTTTATCAAAGCCTTAATTTTTCTGGTAAAAGTATTTCTTATTTACCAAAGATTAATCTCCACATTAGAAATAAGTAATTAAAATACCCTGATATACTTAATACTCTTTATAATTTATGATTTTTATGTTCTTAAGTTTTAAAGCAATCCTCTCATAATATTTGATATGGTGTATCAATTTCTATACCATTTGGTGCTTAAGAATTTCTTATCTTGCAGGACTACAATCAAAACACTCAAAATAATAACTTTTAGCATTAATTTCTTAAGAACATACTCCTTAATTTAGAATAGCATCAACATCTGAAAAAGATATTTAATCTGTTAAGTGTCAGTTACTTGGTGCTTCTGCTATTTTCTTCTTAAATAAGTAGCTAAATATAATAGTTTATCTATCATATTTAAGTTGAAAATTTCTTTTGCTCCGAAAATTAATTAAAAAGCTATCAATATTTCTATTCTATTATCATATTTCTCCTTTTCTAACAATAGAAGGCACCAGCTAAGACACCACATTAATTAATTAATTGGGTGTTATGGTAATTTTTATCTCTTATTTTAGAAAAAATATAATAATTTGATGTTAATTATTTTGTAAATTTTTAAAATCAAATGTTTTATTTTTTTTATTTTAATTATAAAGACCCTTAAAAATATCTAAAATTCGATTTTCTGATATATTTGTTTTTAATGAATTAATTTTTGAGTTTATCGAAACTAAATAACAATGTTCTAAAAATAATTAAATTTGATTGAACTAAATTAGAGCTGTTGCTGGTTTTGAAAAATCATGATCTGGATTGTCAGATATTTAAATACCATGATTTATATCAATCAATTTATAATTAAAAAATAATTATAAATTAAAAGATTTAGCTTAGCTAGAAATCTTAAAAGAATAATAATTTAATTATTTTTATAATATATTGCATTTAAAGTGCATAATAACAATTATTTAATTTTTATCTAAATTTTTAACTGTTTTCTTTAAATTAAAAAAAATGGTAAATTAAACATATATCATAAAAATAAGAAATATTCTACTATATTATATATATGAATTTAAACACTTTTAGAAGTCTAAAAAAATCCTTTAAAAATAGAATTAATTAAAAAAAATTAAAAGCATTTTTATAATGAAATTAAATATTTTTAATTTGTTCTTATTGCCATTTTTAACAAAGAATATTTATAAGTTAATCATTTTTTTTATTATTCTAGTTAACATAGCATTCCTAACATAAATTCACTCATCTTCAATTCATGATAAAGTTTCTTTTCTTTTAAAAAATTAATATCAGTTTAAAATTTATTTTTCAAATTATAAAATGGGATTATTTAAATCATTTCTTCAATTTATAATTTTTCACTCTCATTAAAAATTTTAGATTAATTACTCTAAATCATGAATTTCAAAAGCATATATAAAAGTTAAGTTGTTGGGTTTTAAGATTATAAAGAAGATTGTACTAAAATATTAGTATCAATAATTGTGTTAACACATTTTGCATTCAAAAATATTCTTTTAAAAAGATCTTGCTGATAAGGGAATAGATTTTCAATGCTAAAATCACTTCCAGCATAACTTAACTCTTGAGATGAATCATTATTTTTAATAGCCATAGCTTAGATAATTTCGTTAAATTGAAAAATTAGATTTCTCATAAGATGACGTGGATATAACTTTTGAGTATATTATTATTTAAGAAAGATGAAATCTTAATTTTCCTATTAATTCACAGTTCCTAAATAATATTATTTTACTATATCTGTATTATTAAGATATGCTTAACATATTTATTGTAAATCATTTAAGTACATTTTTTCAAGTTAATACTCTTAAATACAACTAACAATCAATTCTTCTACATTCTTTTTGATTAGGGTGTCTTCATTTAAACTAAATCCTGGAAAGAATAATTCAATTTTATTAGAGAATAAGTTCAATAAAGGAGTAGAATCTAATAGCATTTAGCAGATTGAATATGAAATACAAAAATATTATTATATTCTTAAACTATTGTTTCCTTATTTAAGATTATCTATTATAGAAAGTAATGTTTAAATATGAGTATTTTGGGCGGCTAAATTATCGTTACAGTCTTCTGCCAATAAACAAATAGAACTTGAAATTTAATAAATATCATAAACTTTACTTTATGGATTGTAAAGATAGTAATTAAGAGATTCAATAAATTAAGTATATTCTTGTAAAACTTCATCAAAGATAATTTACAACATATTATAAATTTATCGATTATTTGCTAATATAAAATTAGAAATAATTTTTTTTATGCATTTAAAGAAATTTGCTTTTTGTTCTTAATCCTTAAATTTAAGTTTCGTGTTAAAGAAGTTTTAAATTGAAGATTTTGTAAATATTTTCTTTTCTGATATAGCAATTAAAAAAGGTAACTAACTTAAAAAGGAGATAGAAAATGAACAAAAATTTTAATTTTCTTCAATCTATTCACTCAAATTTACAACATTTTCTGTAAAACCATCACATAATAGAGCTATCATGTTTTAAGTTAAAGATTAGTCATTTATTAATAAAAGGCCTTCAAAAATATTTATATAAGCATCAATTACCTGAATTTCAACTTATGTATATTATACGAACGATTTTATACCTTTTGTGATATCCTCAAATTATTTCTAATATATTTGATTTAAATCTACTTTTACAGAATTTCTTAAATAAAGTACAAAACTTAAATTATTTATTGCCTTAATAGATTCTTTTGGATATCTTTTCAATAGACTTTTTAGCTAGTTTACAAATCTAAACATATCAAAGCAAATATTAGGTAAAATAATTATATTTTAATCAAGCTCATTGCTTTATAAAATTTGGTTTTTAACGTAAAAAGTTAAGTATTCAATAGGATTAAAAATGTCTACACCTAATTTTTCTATTAAATTATCAAAAATACTTTGAATAAATATATTTTCCATCACAAGATGAGCAAAATTAGGCAGTTTATTCTTGTTTTACCATTCATCCTAAGATTTTTAATTTCTTGCTATAAATCCAACCATCCTAAAGAATTTTTCACATATAACAGCAGAAAATTATTCATCTGCTATACTTAGCGAGCGAAAAAGATTAGAGAGTAGCTCATCATTTAAATTATCAACTACTTCATAATTTAGAAGAAGACAATCTAAAACACTTAAATCCTTATTGACTTGCTTTTATTTTTGTATCAGTCTGACGTATTTGTTTGGATATTCATCGTTGCTATTTCTTTATACCTAAAATGAAATAGGTTTCTCAAAAGGCATTGATAGTATGCTTGTAATGAGATAAGTAGAAGGAGTATTTAACTCTATGATCTCATTTATTTTGTTAATAATGAGCTACAAATAGTAATTAATACCAACAAGTTACTAATTATAAGTCTTTTCATCTATGTGATTATTTAGCTTTTATCTTATTGCATTGCTTACTATTTCAAAATAGATATAAAATGAGTCAATGAAGAATTGTTCGACTCCTTTCCATATTTTTGGTTATTTTAAGAGTTAACTATTACATAACTATTTAATTTTATCAAAGCCTTAATGTTAATTACAAAAGCATTTCTTATCGACAATACTCTCAATTCCGCATTAGCATCTATCATATCCAAAGCCAGAATATTCATGTCTAATGAATTTATGGTTTTTATGTCCTTAAGCTTTAAAGCAATCTTCACATATAGCCTAACAGATAACATTATCATCCATACCTTTATTAGTCTTAGCATTTTCTTATCTAGCAGGACTGCAATCAAAGCATTCATAATAGCAGGCTCCTATATTAATTTTTTAGTTGCAAGCACCTTAATTTTTTAGTTCTTCAGTTTCTTAAAAGGTAATTTTTTCGGTGACTGTTCTCAGTTGATCATTTTCATCATATATTGCTAAATATAACAACTTATCATATTTCAGTTAATAATTGCCTTGGTTTAATGATTTAAAAGTAAGAATATCTTATTGCAGCTAATGAAAAAGATTCTAATACTTCTGTTAAATTGTCATATTACGCCTTTTAAAATAGATAAAAGCTCCTGCTATTACAGCAGCTCCGCCTAGTGTGTACAATATGAGTTTTTTATCTCTATGCATTTGAAACAAAATATATATTTTGGTGCAATTATTTATTAATCTTTTTTAATTAATTTATTTCTAAAGATATATTTATATTAACAAATGTATCAAAAATCATCAAACATTTCAATCAATTTATATTAGAAATTTAATCAGAAATAAAACTTTCTAGACTTTTCTTGAAATCTTTAAAAGATAAATATATTTTTAATAAAAAATAGATCTTCTTTTTAATTTAAATTTTAAGTGTGCTGAATAGCTCAAAATTAGCTTAGTTTTATTAACCGTATAAACTTAATAATGAAATGTAAATTTATATATTATTATGAATAATAATTTATTAAATAACTTCTTTTGGTTTTTTACAATTTATTATTTTTTCAGTTTATTAAATTAATATAATACCTTAATTAATTTTTACTATTCTTATTATTTTCTCTAATTAATATTTTTATATAAAAATGTAAAAAACATAATAAAATTAATGATTATTAGGATATCCTAAATAAAAACAATTTGCTAAGATAATAAAAAAAAATAATTTAATATACTCTTTAAAATAAAATAAATTCATCATACATATCCTATAAAAAAATAATAAGCAAAATTTTATAATTTGCAATAATATCTATACATACCTTACAAATAACATATAGCCGAACTAACTAATACTTCTAAAGTATAAAAATAGTTTGATTTGTATTAATTTTGTAAGAACGGAGATTCTATTTAAGACAAATAATATAAATGTAAAGTTTTTGATTGTTATGAAGGATAATAAACAATTGGTAGAATATTTTGCGAATATCACGAATTTATACAAAAATAACAAGAAGTACCTACTATTCATAAGAGTATGCTCTGCTTTAGGAATCAGAATAATTAGCTTTTACTAGCTTAAAGTAAATGCCTTTTTAATTTTGTAAATCGAAATGGCATTTTACTCTAGTAGCTTAGAAATCTTTTTTATAATAAAAATTATCCAGAATAAATAATCTTCTTTTAAGTAATTGTGTTTGCATTATGCCATAGATAGCCAGTCTGTCTACTTAAATTGTTTAAAAAGTTTTAAAGTAATTTTGCTAAAATTTGAAATTTCTTCAAGAAAGACTATAAATATATTTATTAATGATGACAAAAATATATTTTATGAAGTATTATGTTTAGTAATTAATAAATTTAAAAGATATTGATTAAAATCAATCAATTATCAATTAATAAAATTTTCAAAAATGTTAAGAAAAAATTAATTAGAATAAAAATATTAGAAAAAATATTTTATTTTTTTAGTTAAAAATAAATTTTTATTTTTAAAAGAAGAATATTTTTAAGTAAGAAATACATTTAAAAAAATTATTATTATGAATTTATTCTTATGAAAAAGAATTTATTGTATTATTTATTTTAATAATTAAATATTAAAATAGATATTAATATATATCCTTCCATTCATGGGAATATTTAAGTTATTAGTAATCAGTGCGTGCGTGTTTATTTAAATTTAATTTTTTCAAATATTTAGGAAATTTTCTATGTCCTTTACTTAAACTCTTTATTACCTACTAAAAAGTTATATTTAATGCAAAGGTTGTAGCTTATTTTGCTGCGAGTGTTTATGTAATTCAATAAATCATCGAAATTGTTTGGTAGTATTTTACTACAATCAGAGAAATCAATTTCAATGTCTACACTTCTATTTTACTTGAGATGATCAATAAGACTATTGATAGATTATTAAGTTAATTAGCAACATAAACGAAGAACCAAATTAAGCGATTTTAGGGTTTAAATTAAGCTAAAAGAAGAAAATATTTCAGAAATGCAATTATCTGTGATTGACTAACAATTAGAAAGATTTAATTTGATAGTTTCAAGCTAACAGTATTGGAGTATATTTGTGATATTTATTAGTTAATTGTCAGTAATATTAGATGACAAGAAGGAAATATTGAGATATTTTAAACTGTATATTGGGAATCCATATAAATTTAGGTGGTTTATTTCACTGATTGTGGATACTTCTATTTTAAATTGTTCTAATTTTTAGAATAGTTTGTCTATATAATTGAACAAATTGTCAACATTCTAGTTAATCAGAGACAATTTTAATGTTTTTAGATTTGGTAAGAATTAAAGTGTTTAGAGTAGCTTCTTAATTAGAGAAGTATCCATTTGGTGTTATTTAGATACATTGATTGACATTTTTGCCATTTGAGGATTTAGATAGAGGGCTTGAATAAAGTTGTTTAATTCCAAATTATTGTTTAAATCATATTGATGAGTGTTATTTTCTTAGAATTATTGTCTGTATAAATAAAATAAAGCACTATTTAGCCTATTTTCTTCTGCTTTTTCAAATTTCTCAAAGCAAAATTCCTTTAATTTAAGTTTTAGTCTATCTAAAACACCTAAATTTATAAGCTCATTTATGACTAAATTTTCATTAAAATTGAAAATCTATTCGGTGTAGTTTAGCCAAAATGAAAATATTCTATTCAAACTTATAACTTCAATTTCATCTTTTTATATTAGATTTATTTAATAACCGGTAACAAATTATCTGAATAGATTTTCTTAATTGTAATTGCTTGCATATTTCAATTTTTAGTTTTAATTGAAAAGTTCTTTAATTCTTTGTGAATTACTTTTATATTAATCAAATTCTGCTAACAAAGTTTCCTCTATAATTAAGTATTAATTAAATAAATAGGATACAAATTCTTCATAAGATTAATATAAAGGCATTTACTCATCAACTAAAATAAATTGTTGCTTCAAATACGAAGTTGATTTTGAATTCTACGAAGCTATGCTGCTACATTGAATATTTTATTTTGGTTATTTAAAATCTTAATAACCATTAATCTCTACTGATTAATTTTAATCTATTTCTATCAATTATTATTGATCATCTTATTCTTTATTTTTTTAAGTAGAATAATAATATTTTTATAAATTTTATAATATCTACTTAATTTCTTTCTTTTCAAATAATTCCAAAAATAGTTCTGATTAGCAAATCAGATAAATGAAAGTTAGATGGAGTTGCATACGGTCTATCAAATATAATACGTAAATATTAGTGAAAAAATTATAATTCTTACTATTCTAAATTAGATTTATTAGTTATTAGTTGTTATAAAAAGAAGTTTTGTGTTTTAAGTGATCAGAGATAAAACTAGGTTAAATATCATTGTCATTAATTTAGATAGATGCATCAAAATCTATAAAATAGCAAGATCCTTCTTTAGATAAAATAATATTTTAAGGTTTGATATCTCCATGCACAATCTTTAACTAATGCATTTGATTTAATTTTTCGTTTAGTTAACAAAAACTGTACTACAAAAACTCCCATATTTATTCGTTGGCATTCTCATACTGATTTCGAAATGCTTTCATATATGACTTTATTTAAAAAAAATCAGCAATACCCGCTTATTACATGAATGAGCAAGTATTTTTATTAGCCATTTCTTTCTTATCTAATTTAATGATTTCAGGGGTAAATGACTATTTTTATTATGCTAAGTTGTCCAAAAAATTATTAAATTAACTCATATTTATTTCTTTATGATTTAAAACCTTTCTAATAAATACTTTTTATGTGAATTTTTCAAACTTCATTATTATTGAATTTTTTGGTAGACTTGCTTAAAAAAGCTATTATTAACACTTAAGTTTATTCAAATTTATCTCAGGATTTTCATCCCTTTAAAAATATGGTTTGCCACTAATTTTGGGAGAATTCTCTTGATATATTTCAAAAATAAAACTTTAATTTGAATTTTCAGAAGATGATTCTTTTGAGTTTTCAGAACTATTTTTTAGGATAATGGTTAGAATTAATATTTAAAACTAATCATTTTAAATGAATAGTTAAAAAGTTAATTATTTTACCTGTGAGAATAATATTAATTATCATATATTTAGTTCAAGAATCTATGTGTTTCGAATTAATAATCATCATAATCTTCAGTGAATTAAAAATTCATTTTTATTAATCTTAAAATTTTCGCGTCTTAATTTTAGAAATTAATCAAATTTCTTTCATTCAAAAATGCATAAGAAAAATTTATAAACAATTATTAAATACTATTTTTACAAAATCTATTAGATATTTTAATTCATTCTGTTTCTATATTTTTTTCTATTATAACTCATGATAATTAATTTTGTGTACTTAATGTAAATATTATTATTTATTTTTAATACCTTTTATACTCAAAATTATTTAAATCTACTCCTTCTAAAGAACATTTAATTTTTAAAGATATTTAATTCAAAAAGTAATGAAAATGAAGAAAAAACAATATAAAAATAAAAAGTTTATTTTTAATTGAAATTAATTAAGCTAAATTATTATTTAGATATTTACAACAAATAAATAAAAGTAATTCAAATAAAAGTATTTTAAATTAATAATTTTTATACAAATTGCTTTTTTTAATTAAGTATATAAAAATTCTTTTTTAGGATTATATTCTTGTATGTGATACACAAAAAGATTAGCCAATATTTAACAAATAAATTTAAAATAATTATTTAAATCTGCTTCTGTATAAAGAAAAGTATTTCAAATTAATAATTTTTATACAAATTGCTTTTTTTAATTAGTTTATAAAAATTCATTTTTAGGATTATATTCTTGTATGTAATACACAAAAAGATTGACCAATATTTAACAAATAAATTTAAAATAATTATTTAAATCTGCTTCTAAATACATTTAATTTTTAAAATATATTGAACACAAAAAGAAATGTTCTGAAGAAAAAAACAAATAAGAAATAAAATAATTTTTTTTAATTGATATTAATTTAAGCTAATGTATTATCAAGTTAGATATTTAAACTAATAAAATCAGTAAAATTAATTCAAATATTTTTTTTCAATATGAAATAAAATATTTGAAATAAATGATAAAAAGTACATATATTTTAAACATATTGCTTTTTATTAACTAAGTATTTGAAAACTCTTTTTATGATTGTATTCTTATTATACAAAAATTAAAAAGATATTTTTTAAAGATTATCCAAATATTTAACAAATAAAAAATAATTTTTTTTAATTGATATTAATTTAAGCTAATGTATTATCAAGTTAGATATTTAAACTAATAAAATCAGTAAAATTAATTCAAATATTTTTTTTCAATATGAAATAAAATAATTTGAAATAAATGATAAAAAGTACATATATTTTAAACATATTGCTTTTTATTAACTAAGTATTTGAAAACTCTTTTTATGATTGTATTCTTATATACAAAAGCTAAAAAGATATTTTTTAAAGATTATCCAAATATTTAACAAAAAAATTTAAAATAATTATTTAAATCTGCTTCTAAATACATTTAATTTTTAAAATATATTGAACACAAAAAGAAATGTTCTGAAGAAAAAACAATATTAGAAATAAAATAATTTTTTTTAATTGATATTAATTTAAGCTAATTTATTATCAAGTTAGATATTTAAACTAATAAAATCAGTAAAACTAATTCAAATATTTTTTTTTCAATATTAAATAAAATAATTAGAAATAAATGATAAAAAGTACATATATTTTAAACATATTGCTTTTTATTAACTAAGTATTCGAAAACTCTTTTTATGATTGTATTCTTATTATACAAAAATTAAAAAGATATTTTTTAAAGATTATCCAAATATTTAACAAATAAATTAAATAATATTATTTTATTTTTAATAAATTTTAATTAAAATATTTTAAAATAAATTTACATTCAATGAAAGTTTGTTATTTCTAACACCTTTTATACTCTAAATTAAATCTACTACTAAAACACTTTTAATTTTTGAAAGATATTTAATTCAAAAATAAATGTATTGAAGAAAAAAACAATATAAAAAATGAAATAGTTTGTTTTTTTTAATTGATATTAATTAAAGCTAATTTATTTTAAAGATATCTAAATACAAAAAATAAATAAAACCAGTAAAAGTAATTCAAATATTTTTTTCAATCATCAATAGATAATATTATTTGAAAGAAATAATACAAAATATATTTAAACAAATTACTTTCTACTGACTAAATTCTATTTTAAGATTCTATTTTTGTATTACTTAAAAGATATTTATTAAAAATGATCAAATATTTAACAAATGTATTAATAAATAAACATACTGCAACATCTAAATAAAATCATGCTTGGAAAAAGTAGTTATTGTAAATAATATTTTTTTAAATCGCAATATATTTACAACACTATTAAAAATAAAACAACAAACACTATACTATACTATTGATTGATACACATTTATATATGAAATAAATATATTTTAAATTATTCAATTCTTCTTTTATCTTCTATGATTTTTTTTAACAGTTTCAACTTTACTGCTTTCTTCTTATTATTATTTTATGTTTATTTTAACTGATGATTTTTGCTCTTTCTTTGTTTTTTTAACTGATGAAGTGGGTTTTTATTTATTTTCGTCCATTTTTTTTGAAGATTTTTAATTTTTAGATGAACTTCTACTGCTGCTTCTTGTTTTTTTATTTACTTATTTCGATTTATGTGATTATTTTTTATCAGTTGTATTATTCTTTTCTTCTACACTTTCCTCTTAATCTTAATCTTAAACTTCTTCATCTTCACTTTCACTTACTAAATCAGATTTCTCATCAGCATTTTCTTGCTTTTATTCTTTTTTAAGACTTCTCTCTGCTTGCTCTCTTTACTTTTCGAGAGCTTCTTATCCCTCTCCATAAGGATCTACATTAAATTTAACCTAAGACTATTGATTTTATAATAAATAAATAAGATTAAACTTATATAGAAAATAATTTAATATACCCATGATTCTAGGTTCTTAACATATCTGTAAATAATCTCTTTAGATTTCTCAGAGAGTATTGTTTCATCTAGAGATTAGAGATGTTGATTATTTTATTTAAATTCTTGCACATAGTCTTATGTTTTTTTCAAAAAGAATGTTTGATACTTCTTTTAAAGCGATTGGATATACATCAAATGGTTGGGATCAAGCGATTTTGGGTAGTTAATCTTAATTTAAAGCAAATATCCAATAGCATTAAGTGTATTTAGTTTATTAGGAGTGTTGATTAAGACTGCTGTCTTTGCTGTCAGGAAATAAATTTACCTTTCACAGAGCTCCTTAAAATGTTCTTTAGGTTTCACTTGGACATTGCCTTCATTTATAGTTTCTGAGAAATATGATTTATGAGTAAAAACTACAAACTTTTTAATCACACTCATATCCTTGCCTTCATCTAATAATTAGTTCACTATTTCATCAAAAGCTCTCCAAAAAGGAGGAAATCCTGACTATTTATCACCTTAAAGACGACAGCAAGCTAGATTCTTTCTGAGAAGATCAACTATTTCTTTGTTTTGACAATCAAAGAAATTCTTAAAAATATAAACACCAAACTGAGAATGAATAAATTTAGGATTGCTTAGCGTCAACTTACAGAATTAAAGTAAGATAATCTGAATATCAGAAATTTACTTTTGATTTTGATATTGTTATTAAAATAAATAAGATTCTTCAAATGGTTTTAATTTCAATTTATTTTCATCTTCTTTTTCAGCTTCCATTATTTTGTTTTTTATGTCATTATTATTTGAGTGATCATTGCTATTTTCATTTGATTCTAATTTCTTTTCATCTCCTATCTGACCCTAAGGAATGTAGTAACTAATATAATCAATCAAAGAAGTAAATAAGGGATCGTCGGAATGGAGCTTTATGTAAATAGGCAAGTGCTTAAGCTTTTAATTACAAACAAAAGCAAGTCCTTCAACGACAGAATAGTAAGATTTAAAAAGTATTTTCTTGTATTCAGAGGTTTCTAAGTTAAATTAAATTGCCTTCTTCTTCTCTTCTCTAAGGAAGAGCCAGAGCTATTTGATAACTTTTTACCTATACTTAAGATACTCTTCAAGTCTTGAAGTTTTTTAGCAAGATTCAGACAATCCAACTCTCAATACGTTCAAGTAAAAGTCTAATTGTAACCCTAAACTAGTAAAAGTATAAATGCAAGTGTTGTCAGTTGAAGTATATGAAGTAGCTGTATCAGTGATTTCTAAGCACTTTTATATAAAACTTTCACAATATATTTCATCCAATTAATTTAAGAGATTGGTGCAGCTAAACAATTTAATAAACAAATAAGTATATTCTTCTTACAGCTAAGACAAATCTAAAGACGTCTCCTTTTCTTGAACTACTATTTCATGTAAATTGTCAGTACAATCTAAAATCGCATGTTTAATCAATTTCTCCTTGCATTACTTTATTTTTTTATATAATTAACAATATTAGAAAATTCAAAAAAACTATTTAAATCCTCTTCAATTAATTATTGAAATTTAATAAATTTAAACAGAAATAAGTTTTCTTTCAAATTTATAAATTTAAAATATTTTTTTTTCAAATTTATAAATTTAAAATATTTTTTTTTTAAATTAGCCAAGTAAAATATTTGTTTTAAATAATTTTGAATTAAATTTTTTAAATATTAATTTTCATTTTAAGAATATATATAATATTGCTGTTGAATTGATTATAACTTCAATATCCATTTTAATTAAAATTATTAATAAGTAAATTTCAGTGCCAAAATATTAGAAATTTTCAATGATAATTTAGTTAGTTGAATAATAAAAATTTTAATTTTTAAAAAGAAGAGATGAATGTTTTTTATCATATAAATGAATGTAATATTTTTACTTTAAAAGGATCGATGTAGGCCCTTGGGGTGTGTAAGAGGAAGTATTAAAGGGTGCTAACGCATCCAAAAACAAGTCCCATAGATTAAGATTTATCTTCAATGAAAGAATCTTAGTTTAGTATTGTATTTAGTATGTCTTCAGCTATTTTCTTTGATATTGTTTTGAACTAGGTTTCTTTTAAATTCTGTTGGAGGTCTATAGCTGGAATTGATAGCAATAATTGGTAAGAATACTCTTTTAAGATAGGGTGTTTATTCATATTCTCATAAAAGTTATCAAAATTAGCCACCAAGGCTTTAAAGAATTCATTTCTAATGATAAGCAACTTTTCTGATTGCTTTTGGTTGTAAATGCTCGATGGATTCTCGCCTTACGATATTAGCTATAAGAATTTCATCGTTTTTTTCAAAATTATAACAATCAATTTAAACAAATCAAAAATTTTATCTTTTAAATTCGATGATGGTAACTAATTTAGCAATTGGAAAATATTTTGGAAATCGTAAATAGCACCAAATTCAAAACCAAGAGAATTTATCATATTTTAGATCAAATCTTCTTTTTCATAAATTTTGGAATCCACTTCATCCAAAAGTGTATAAAATTTCTTTATAAAAGTTTAACAGGCTAAAGAATTGGTTTATTACTATTTTTAAAAATATTTAATAAAACGCATTCAAATACAGCTTAAAACTTACTTTGAACTAGAAAATATCGCTAACACCATCGTCTTCGCCTCCTTCGAGATTTATGACGCTAATTTATCTTTCACCCTCATTAACTTCTAAAAATTTTTAAAGAATCTTAAATCCCTCTGCTCTGACTTCTTCATATTTATGGAAGATAGTTGCCATTGCCTATATTAAAAATAAAAATTAACCAATTAAATATCTTAATAACAAACAAATAAATAAATACTCTTTTTAAGTCTTTGTTGTTGAGTGATCCAGGTAGAATTTCATCTATCAGGTTAACTAATTGAATAGCTCTGTAACTTGTGACAAATGTTGAAATGTTAGAAAAATAAATTAATCTCTTCCTGAATTTATCATATTGAACTAACTCTTTAAGAGCCTCCAAAGATGACTCTGTTTCTTTCCATTTTATATTGATAAGTACTTTTAAGAGTGCATTAGCGAGATCAATATCAGAATCAAATAAATAACACAATTAAATGAGATTCTAAGAATTCAAAGTCATTTAAGGAGAAATATTAAAGAAAATCTCAAAAGATTCAATACAATCTTGCTATATTGACTGACTCTTATCTAAAATTCTACTATGGAAAATACCTTTAATCAATATATTCATAATGTTTTCAAGAATGTTTTTTAAATATTGCTCTTCTTTCTATAATTTTCTCTATTAAGCAGCCCTCAATTTCTCTATTCTAATCAAGCCCTACTCAACTATAATCCTTACTAATCTCAATACATTCTATCTTACATTCTAAATATGGGATCTAATTTACATTTTATAAGTTAATTTGATGCTTATTCAAAATAATTTTCAAATCATTTCAATAAAACTAATTTACTTTGATAACATAATTAGGAAATTAGAGAGATTTACCATAAAAGAATCATCCTTTTTTTCTGATTTGTAATATTGACTTTGCTATAAAATTGAGTCAAAGAAAATAAAGAGATTGTCTTTGAGGAACTAGTGCTCTTCTTTTCTTGTAGTAAAAACCCAATTAAAATCCTTAACATTTTTTAAATTAGATTCTATTTCTGATTTGAAAAAATCCTAATCAATAGAAGAAAATTATTTGTCTTCTAATTTTATCACAAAACTATTGAGTCCTACTAGCTATATTAATAAGTAAATTAATTATAGCAACATTAAATACCAACAATTACTTTAAATTACTTTAAAAATCAACTGAACAAAGTTTTATAGGATATTCTCTTTTGTTTCTTAATCATCTACATCTTTTATTTGATCTAAAATCTCTTCAATCGAACAATTTTCTCTTGATAATTACTCTTGATTATATTTAATATTTAATTATGTTATTATCTCAACTAAGCATATGTTTGCTAAATTACCATATAAATTATAATCAGTATACTCTGAAATTGGCTTTGATTTTTATTAGTTTGCCTAACGCTGGTTTCCCCTGCTTTATCCAGATTTTTTAGGAGGCTTTTAAAAATAAAAAATAGATTTTATTCAAGCAAAAACAATAAATAAATAATTGTTTTACCATTTATTTTAAATATTACTAAGTAACTAACTTTTAATATATCAAAAATTTATTTTTAATTATTTATAAAGATTTAATTAGAAAAGATAGATTTGCAAATTAATTATTGGATTCTATTTAATTTATTATTTGTTTTTTGCGATTTTTTATTTTTTGAAATTCAAATATTTCTATTCGCGCAAATAGCCTATTCAAAATATTCGCCTCTAATTCATTTATCAATTTAATTATCTATTAGCAAGCTAAAATATTATTGTTAAAATGCTTATTTGCTACATTAGTAGGAATAACTAAGTTAATTAATAAACAAATAAAAATAATTCCTTAATTAATTCTAATTCATATTTATTTTTCACCAAAAGAATCTTCTTTCTATAGAGCTTATTTAATAGTTTAGTTCTATTCTAATCTTTTAACATTATTTATTTTTATCATTTAACATAATGTTCAGTCTTTTTATTTACTTTTGTTAAATTAATTAAAAACAAAAACAAAATATTTTTTAAGAAAGCGTTTAATTTAAATAAATAAATAAAATAAATCTAAAAAAATTATTTTAAAAAACATAAAAATTTTAAGAATTTTATTATAATTTAATTTTAAAAAACTAAAATTTATTTAATTTATTTTTTACTTCAGTTTTAAGAATAAAAATTATAAAAATATATAAGAAGCTGTATGATAAAATTGATTAATACTAAGAAATTATTGAATCTTAATTATAAAAAGTTTTTTTTGATATAAGATTATTTAATATTTATTTTTTTGAAAATCATTATGATTTTTTATCTTCATTTGCTTATTTTGACTCCATAGTTTCTATTAGACACCATTTTTTTTTGTCAAGTTTATCCATTTATTTGAATTCTTTTTCACTATAGTATATGTAAAATAATTAAAAGACCCAGAGTATTGGAACGCTGTAATTAATGTTAAGATAATCGTCAAAGAACTAGAATGAAGAAACAACCCACTTTCTAGAAAGATTTTAGAATGAAGTTAACATGGTAATATAAATACCTTCATATCCTTTGGTTGCTATTGACGAGTAAAATGTTGTTCTTGTTTAGATCAAAGAGGTAATTACTAAAGATTCAAATAGCTGTATAAACACTAATATACCTATTTAGACGTATTAGATATCTTGGAAAAGAGAATAGGTCTGTGCTTGATAAAATGAAAACTGTATTACTTAAAGTCCAAGCATTGAAATAAGAATAACATGACTAACTTTTAAAGAATTTTTGAAATATTTTGCTACTAAAAAATTCATCAAAAATTTAATTGGGAATTAATAGAACTAAGACATAGAAAGTTATTTTTTTGTTATTCCTGCTTTTTGTATTTTTAAAGTAAAAGTTGACATTAGAGGGCCTATTCCTACATTCTAAATCATAACAAGAAAAATTAAAGTTCTTAAATATTCATTAAAGTAGAATCCCTTCATAGTTTGAATTATCACTTTAATATCTTTCTTCTTCTTCTTTTTGTTTTCCACTCCTTGACCTTAATTATTAACTTTGTTATCTTATTATGCAATTAACTCTTATTATTCTTGCTCTTGTTCTTCTTATATTTCTTATTATTTCTTTTCTTGATTAAATCCATACTCATCTATGAAGAAATGCACAATGACATTAAATGCTATCATGAAGATTCCAAAGTAGTAAAAGAAAGTCTATTCATTAAAATTCAATTGGATGTAAGCTGTATTTGCAAAAATAAAGCTTAATTGCATGCCAATTGCTTAGCTCAAAGAAACATAAGAAAGCTTCTCTTTAGACATTATCTTTATACCCCAAGCATCGGTAGCTATATCCTAAAGAGCTATAACAAAAACAAGGAAAAATCCAAGAGCTGCAAGTAAGATGATATGACCACTTTTCATCCAATCTGCTATGACAAAAGAGCTCAACACAAAAGCAATTCCTGCAATATAATTCATTGGAACAATGTAAGACTTTCTCTATCCAAACTTTTTGTTGTAATATGCATCTAAGAAAGGTGCGAAGAAAATCTTCAAAGCAAAAGGGTAAGAAGTAAAGTTTAAATAAGAGAGCTGAGAAATTGAATATCCCATTTCATTTAAAATCATTGGCATTGTAGCAGTAAAAATGGTCAGAATTGTGCCTTGCATCAAGTAGAGAACAACAAGAACCAAAAAAGAAAATAAATCACTTTTATTCATTTGCTATTAATTGAAAATATATATTTATGCTTAATCTATTTAATTAACTTATTTATCAAAATATAAATAATAAATGCTTTATATTTATTTATATCTTAAAATTAACAACTAGTATTTATACTGATTGATTGATTGATTGATTGTCTGATTGAATGCAAACAAAGATACATCAAAAATTATATTCGATAAATAAATTTGCAAGTCTACTTACTAATTAATACTTCATCAATTCGTTATTAAAATTCTTCTAATCTAGATTAAATAAAAGATAATATATCATTTTAAGTCTATCAAACTCCTATATTTCCTATTATAGTTTTACTACTTTAATAAATAAATTATTTAGTTCTAAATAAACTGTAATTTAATACAAGCTATCATCAAGTTTTATTTTAATTCATTTCATAGGTTTACTCCATTTTTTTATTTGAAAAAATGAATATTTTGATTTTTAATTCATATTATTAGGCTATTTAATACTTTTAAATATGTCCCATTGTTATTGATGCTCAACAAGTTAAAACTTTAAATTAATAACAAATTAGTTATTTTCTAAAAAAATTTTACTACTGCTAGAAATAAATAAATGAATTGGTTCTATATAAATTATCATTCAACCCAAACTATCACCAGATTTTATTTCATGGGTTTACTCTATATTTCCAGCTAGAATATTTATAAATTATTTTATTTTCTATTATTGAATTTTATTATTTAAAACCCTTTAAATATGTCCCTTCATGATTGAATACTTCAAGAAAGTGCAAATATACTTAAAGCTAATCAGAATCATTTAAAAATAAATTCATTATAAAAGCTAGCAAACATTTTTTAGTTTAAAAATCTAAAAATAGGAAGAAATAACTTAATTCTAATGAATTCTAATGATAGATATTACAAAAAAAGTATATTTTTAAATGTTAAATAACAAATCTGTCTATTTTGATTTAAATCTAAAAATACTCAAAAAGTTTAAAATGCATAAAAAACACACAAATGTTAAGCAATAAAAGCAAGCATTATAGAAACCTAAAGTATTTAAATTTTTTACAAATTAAGTAATTATAAAAATTATATTTTACAAATAAGAAATAAACAAATAAATAACAAACTCAATCTTTCCATTTTAAAGATTTTTCAACAGCTAATTGCCACTTTTTATAAAGCTGTTTCGATTTCTCTTAAAACTCAATATGGGGTTCTATTTATCTATCAATTTAAATGCATTTCTTTATGTCTTCGATATCTTTATAGATCTATGCAGTCAAACCTGCAGCAAAAGCAACTCCAAGGCAGGTACTTTCAGCAACTCTTGTTTACAATACTTTTCTTTGTAATATATCAGCCTAAAATCTCATCAAAAAAGCACTATTAGTCAAACCACCATCAACTTTCAAGCTTTCTATTTTATTTCCTGTAGATGATTCAACAGTTTCAATTACCTATTTTTTCAAAATAAAAATTAATTTAATTAAAATGTTTGGATATATTTGTATAAAATATTTTAAATTACATCTTTAGTTCTGTAAGCAATGCCTTCTAATAAAGCTCTTAAAATATGTTCTCTTTTAGTATGTAAAGATAAACCAAGTATGCAACCTGCTGCATCTTCCCTCCAGTAAGGTGAAAACAAGCCACTAAAAGCTGGTACAAAACATAGATCGCCACTATCATCAATGCTTTCCACTAATCTTTGCAGTTCATCATATGTTTTAAAAAGTCCTTTTTATTCATTTTGTTTGTTTGTTTTTCAACAAATTTATTTTGAAATAATTTCTTTGGTTTTGAATTAATTTCTACTTAGGGGGGGGGGGGGGGGGGATGATATTAGAAAGCTAGTTTTTGATAGCTAAAAAAAAGTTTTATTAATCAACAATGCGAAGATTTATTTTAATATTATTTTTTTACAATCCTCCCTTTAAATACCATAAAAATTTAAATACTTTAAATATAAAAAAGCATAAAATTTGAAAATTTATTTACTAGTTTTGTGTATTATTTAGTTAACAAATTCAAATTTGGATGAAAAAATAAATTTGAAAGAATTTTCATTAAATTTGTTTTAAAAAATTTTATTTTCAAATTATTAAATTTATTTTTTTTTCTACAATAAGCATAAAACCTTTAGTTGTTTCTTAAATAAAATATTGTTTAAATTAGTTAACAACTTACTTACTTACTTGCTAAATTAAATATAAATTAAATTTAATATTTTACCTAGATTGTCTCTAGCCCAGTTAATTGAAGATCCTCCTACTTCGATAGATCCTTCAAAAGCATAATAGGTAGGCTTATCTTAACCTAACTTATAGAGAACTGTAGTTAACAAGCCTCCTTCTTTGTAAACAGGAGTGTTGCCAATGTTTACTAATAAGAAACAGCCTGTACCATAGGTATTTTTAGAGTCTCCTACTTAAAATAATCCATGACCTAAACTAGCAGCTTGCTAATCTCCCATACAAGCTCCGATGCTAATACCTTTAAGCAATCCATTTTCAATGACACCATAATTTTCAGCACTGGACAAAACTTTTGGTAAACATTTGCTAGGAATACCAAATTCACTTTTAAATAATTTAACAAAAATAACATATAAAATAAATTAAAAATTAAATGCTTGTAACTAACTTACTTCAATATTTTTTCTTCATACTACAAAGTGTTGATGTTGAGCAAAAATGTTCTGGAGGCATTTGTTACATCAGTCAAATGCAATTTGTTTGTCAAATTCTTTTTGTTTTTATAATAAATTAATTAATTAATAAAATATCAGACAAAAAGATATTTATTCTTAAGGATTTCTTTATGAAATAATTAATTGCAAAAAACAATTAAATCTAATATAAAATTTTTAAAGCTTTAAATTAATTACCCATATAACCCAAGAGTCCATTGTTCCAAAGATGACATTTTCATCTAACTCTTTTTAGATTTCAGGAACATTTTCAATCAACCTAATTATTTATCAAACAAACTTAAGTAAAATACTAAATTAATTAAGTTACCATCTTATTTTGAATGCTGAAAAATATGTATTAATTGGCAATCCAGTTATTTTTGAATATATATTGCTATTGTTGTCGTGTTTAGCAAGCCATCTCTTGCAAATTTCATGAGTTCTAGTATCGCTCCATACAATAGCGTTATGATAAGATTTACCTTTTAAATTTTTATAATTAAATTAACTAAAAGCAGCTAAACTAAGATAACTATAATTTGTGTCATTAGTTAATAATAAAATTAATTATGCTAATATCATTTTTATTTGCTATTTATTCATTAATTAGCTTAGCTAGCTTTTTATGTTGAATAAATAACTAGCTTTATTTCTATTTTTAAATCTGCCTTTGGTTTTTTTCTATTCTTGTAAAGTTATTATTTATTACCTGTGTTTTTGTTCCATGCCACTACAGTCTCTCTCTGATTTGTAATTCCAATTGTCTTGATGTTTTCTCTTTTGTAACCTTTTTCTTCTATTCTTTTGATGGTATTATTAATAGCTTGATGGGTATTCACTAAGATTTATTCTGGATTGTGTTCGAGCCAGCCTGGATGAAGAGTTATTTGATCATGAGGAATAATTTCCTTGTCGATCAATTAACCATGAGTATCAAAAACAACAAATTTTGTTGCTGTTGTGCTCTAGTCTATTGTTCCTATCAAAATCTCAGCAGACTTTAAAATTAAATAAAACCTTGCTATTTAAAATGTTGTTAAAATTAATTATCTACATTTGCCTTATTTTCGATTTTGCCTGTTTGCTTGCTTATTAAACTTAATAAAGTTGAAAACATTTTTGATAACAAAGATATTTATTTATTAACTAATTTATTTGCTTATTTATTTATTTACTTACTTACAAAAGATTCGTTTTGATTTTATTAAGGATAAATAATTTATTGATCAGATAGCAATCTAAACATTATAAATTGAAAAAAGATGAATTTTCCAAAAATTATTACGTGATTGACATCAAAGCTAAAACATTACCACAAATAATGTTATGAAAAAGATAAAAATATAGCATAATAAAAGCTCATAATTTTTATACATTTTTTACCCAAATACTTCGATATT